GAAGCGATGGTGAGCGAGGCTCAAACCTAAGGCTAGGGACAAGAAATGTATTAGTTAGTAAAGGGTAAGTAAGGATACAAGTGAGGGCTTACTGACCTAGGGACAAGAGGTCGAAACTGAGGTCCCTAGGGCAGCAGAGGCCGGTTTATATACATGGGGAGATTAGGGCAGGCTGTGCGCGTTGGTCCGTGCGCAGCTGGTCCGTGCACAGCATGCCGACGCGGCCCCGGGGGCCGGTGAGTCAGAGCGGCTGTGTCAGCGGAGCCCGAGCTGTGCCGTGCGCTGCCGCCCCATCTAATCTAATCGTACAGTAGATAACGAAGTGTCCATATCAGGCCAGTAGTACAGAGGTCGCGGGTTCGAGCCCGCAAAAAGGAAAAATTAAAAAACGGCTAGGCGCCGTACCAACTCGTGACACTATGTCCGCGGCTGATATACGGAGCGGCACCCCCCGCTCGGGGAGCAGCGCGCGCTCGCCCTGCGGCCATAGGCATTGCTCACGCAAAGCCGAAAAGTCAAGTACATTGCTCCCGAACTCATCCTTTTTTATTTTATTCAGTAGCTTTTTGTGTCCGGCCGAACCCGCGAAATGGATTCAGTCCACCCTCAAGTCTCGTGCAGTCAGAGGCTCGCGTTTGAGTCCGGAGCCTGAACTGAGACACCAGGCGTTGTACGCAATATCACGCATCGGAGGTGAGCGAGCTTTGCAGACGCGCTACTGTTGATGCCAAAAGCTGACCATTCCGGGCAGAATTAGAGCGCGACCGAGATGACGGGTGGCGACAGGCGACTCGCTCGGGCGTGAACAGCGCAACTCGACGGGTCTGACCATACGTGGGGGCAGTGGGCTTGCGACAGCGAGAATCACACGGGAAGAGACAGCGTTGAGAGGGATGTGCTTCGGGTGAGATCGAGAGCGCAGTAGTGGGTAGCGACTTGCGGGAGGACTGTAGCCTCGCCCGCACGGAGCGATTGTACTTGCCAAGGCGTGAACTGTGTGCGCATTGAATGTCTGTACGTCTACACACGAGTGCGCATCCAAATGCGCCTCTACATCCCGAGCGCGCACCTCTACACCCCCTGCGTGCGCCTCTATACCCCCTGCGTGCGCCTCTATACCCCTTGAACACGTCTTTCTCGCGGTTTCTCTCAACGCGCACTTCGTCTCTCCAGCACTCGTCTCGCCGTGCGAACAACGCGTCCCGGACGTGCCCGCACATGCATCCCTGACGCACGCGAATCGACCCGAATCAATCGTAGAACACGCACCAGATCGCAGTGACCCGCTCGCCCCTCAAACAGGAGCTCGAACACCTTCGCCTCGCGCGCGTCCACGGGCAGCATCGCGCGCGCGCTCGCGTCCAGTATCGACAGGTGCAGCGTCGCCAGAGGTGATTCGTTCCCCAGTGACGTCATGCCTTCCCCCGCGGGGCCGATCTTCTCTCGATCACGCCTCTTATCGTGCGGCCTGCGCTTCTTGTGCCTTGCGCAACCTTCCTCGGTCGCGCAGTCGCGGGTCCGCCTGCATAATCGTACCTGAATGCATGCCTCGTATCCTTCCGCAGCCATCGCCGGCACACGGTGTCGACGCTGCATATTGCAAAGTGACATGATAAGATGGTCCGATCGTCATTGGACGAAAGTCAGAGGCGCGTGGGGCCCTAAATAGTGCAGAGCGCCGAACGCGCTAGGGTCATGGTTCGGCGCAGGCAGGAGCGCAAACGCGACGATGGCCGTGTGACACTTGCAGGCGAACCCACTTGGAAATCTGCCTGCAGTACGCACCCCACAGCGATAAAGCCTTGATTCCGCGTGGCATCTCACAAATTTCTGAATGATTGCAAATGAAGATCATATTCAAACGCGGTCGTACAATGTTTGCGCCTGGGCCCTGCGCCTCCGGTCCACAGCTCCGCAGGTGCCGTAACAGATGGCCGGGGTTCTAGCCACAGCCCGCAGGAAGATCAAAGAGTGAGACGAGCTGGGAACCTGGAAGAACCAGGAGGGGGGTTCCAGCATGATGGTAGAAGATGTCGGAGCAAAGAACAATGAGCCTTAGTGAGCACGGGTGGATGGAGGCTTTGCGGTATTTGGCGGGGATAAACCAGTGGGGTGGCATCCGACTGCAGCGCGAGATGAGCGCCGCCAGACGCTATGAATGCTGCGTGATGGCCTGCGCGAGCCCAGGCACAGCGATCACACGCATTACGAGATGTTGCGCATGGCCGCGATCCGCTGTCTTGAATGCCCCCGCTCGATCGGACGAGTGCGACACGTGCGACAAAGACGAGCGTAAATGTGAGGTCGAGTCTCACGACGGGGTCGAGCTTACCGCAGAGAAAGGCCCCGAACATCTCTCGCAGCTTCGCGAAGGGAGAGAACGGAGACGCAGGAGCGAGGAGGGCGACGGCTCTCCGTGTATGCGCCGCTGGGCTGCCTATATGCCGCAGGGGGCAGAAGCGGCGTGCACAGAACTGTGAGAGCCAGCGGGCGGGGACGGAAGCAGCAGACGACAGTGTAATACAAGAGGACAGGCGATCATTACGCGAGCATCGCGTGAAGCAGCGGGGGTTATCAGAGGGCGCTGGAGGATGTGTCGACGAGCAGGTTATAAGCGCATTGCGCGCCGCGGAGAGTTCAGGCCAGAGCTTATTCCACGGGACAGCTGACGGGGCGAGACCCTGGCACGGTCACATGCGCAGGGTGGCCGGTGTTCCCACGGCAGCTGGCGGAGGGGATGGTATAAGCTCGAGGGGCCGGGGGACGCAGCCGAGTCGCCCCGCCCGCCCGCCCGCCCGCCAGCCCGCCATCGATGATGTCGCTCTCGCCCTCCACGTCCGCCGAGTACGACCACCCGACGGCAAAGCGCCGCCGCACGTCCTTCCCCGTCGGCGGCAGCGCTCGCGCCGACGCCATGGCCATGTCGCCCGACAACGCGCCGCCGGGCCTGTCCGCGCCGTCCGCGTCGTCAGCAACGCACATCCCGAAGCGTGGTGCGCGCGCGTGCACCGCCTGCCGTAAGGGCAAGAACAGGTGCGAAGGCGAGGTGCGTCCCGCGCTGTCTCTCCCGCGCCCTGCCCCTCACGACGCCCGTGGCCCGCGCTCCCGCCCGGCCCGGCCGCTGCCTAGGCTCCTTGTCGTCGGTGTCAGCTAAGCGGTACGCCCTGCGTCTTTGAGAAACCAGAGAAGAAAAATGTCCAGCTCATGTCTGGCGCAAGCGTCGAGTGCGTCCGCCTCTCTCCTGCTCGCCCGTCGTTGACCCCGCCCCCGTCTCCTCGCAGACGTCTCTCCCGCTTGGAGGGCCAGTACCTCGTGAGTGTGCAGCGCGACTCCCGCGTGCGCTGACGCTGACCGCGCGCACGCGCACAACGCAGGTCATGCAGAGCCAGATGATCGGCATGCAGTCCTCGCTCGACAGGATCTTGTCCGCCATCCACGCCCAGAGCCAGCAGACCGCCGCCATCGTCCAGCACTCCATCTACGCGAACGGCGCACCGCCCCCCATGCCTCCGCCGCTGCGCAACAGTGTGGACGTCTATGGGTCCCCCGGCCCCGTGGACGGCCCGTCGCGGCCTGTGCCCAGGTCCTTCCCGCCCCTGCCCGGCTTCGCGCCACCCGTGCGTCTGTCTCCGCATGCCTGATTGCCGCGCAGCTGCTGACCCCGCGTGTGCGTAGCCCCACAAGTACGCGACGTACGGCATCGTTCCCAGCACGGCGCCTTCTTCCGAGGACGAGTCCGAGGACACGCTCCCCAGGTCGACGTTGAATGCGCCCATCGAGGCATTGCAGGGCCTCGCAAACGCTGCCGCGGAGGCGGCGGCTGTCGCACCATCTGCGTCACCACCAAGGTAACACAGCTCTAACAGTGTTGGCCGTTCGTTAATCTGGCGTGATTTCAAGGGTCAAGAAGCGCAAGAAGGCAGAACCTACGCCTCGCAACGCGTTTCCCCATGTTGTCGAAAAGGTCAGCGCTGACATTCGGTACGACGACCTGTCCTAAATGAAGCCTGGCCAGAACCTCGTCTCTGACGCAGAAGCCCGCGAACTCTATACTATGTGCGTCTCCGTGTATGAAACGCACCATGACCGTGGTACTCACGGGCCACGCACCTCACATCGCGCAGCTTCTTCTCCGGATGCCACTTCTTCATACCCTGTTTCGACCCCAGCTACGACACATATGAGGCGCTCATGGAGCGCACGCCTTGGACGTTCGACTCGATCCTGGCCGTCGCGAGCAAGATCCGCAGCGGGACGGGCGCGCTGAGCCCCACGTTCTACAAGTGCCTCGAGGAGGCGCAGGGCATCGCGCGGTCGTCGCTGTTCGGGCCTGTCGTGCGTAAAGAGGCGGTGCAGGGCATGCTGTTGCTCGCGGCGTGGAGCACGAATGGCTGGCTGCCCAGCGGCCACGCGATGCGCATGGCGCTCGACCTTGGGTTGCATCGTGCGCTCGAGAAGCTCGCTGACCACGAGAGCGCGAAGAAGCGCACGGAGGAAGAGGAGCGTAACCTAGGTGAGTAGTGGGCCATACATTCTCTTACACGTACTGACGCTCAAGATCCACAGTCGTGTCTGCTCGGATATGGCTGTGCCTGTATTGGTTTGACCACCAGTATGTTTAGTCCGTGATAACCGCAGCGCTTGTGTATTGACCTCTGCTGCAGGATGAGCTTGGGTACTGGGCGCCCAATCGTCTTGCGCGACGAGAGCTCTATCAACCACTGCCGGCTCCTCCTCTCGCATCCCATGGCCTCGCCAACGGACGTGCGCCTTGTCTCACAGGTTGAGTTGATCGCGCAAAAAAGTGAGTGGGATGCCATAGTCAGCAACCGGACGGCGCACTGACGCAGGCCACCGACTGGCAGCACAAATCTACGAGACCCTGACACCGCTCAAGGGCGAGGTCAACCACAACACGCTCAACTTCATCCGCCGCGCCAACGTTGCGCTCGACAAGTGGTGGGAGGACTGCGACCATTTGCACCGTACGCGCCCATACTTATTTGTGCGTCGCGGAGGTGCTGACGGCCCGGCAGACCAGAGCATGGACGAGGAAGCCCTGCCCCGCAAGATCCTCATCGGCGAGCTGCACTATGCGAAGCTGTGGCTCGTCTGCGTCGCCTTGCGTGGCGTCTCCTGGGACAAGATGCCGTTCGAGCAGCGCGAGCTCGCGTTCCAGGCAAAAGACGCGGCGTTCAGCTGCCTGTCGAACCTGCTCAACTCGCCTACATACAGGTCTGCTCTTTCGCATCCATGATGCTGAGCGCACGCGTTGCTCACGCCGCCCGCGCTCTTTTTTTCATTCGCAGGGCTGCGCTGCGCTACGCGGTGCATGACAGCCTGGTGACGGCAGCGTTCTCAGGCCTGTTCCTGCTCAAGATGGCCAGCCTCTTTCCGGCCGAGCTGGATCTCCCCGCGATCACGGCGCAAGTCGAGCAGCTCGCGGAGCTGCTGTCGGAAGTGGCTGCAGAGAGGTCAGTCTCTTGCGTATATCATCTCTCGCGCGGGCGCGCTGACGTCTGTCTGCAGGTACGCGCTGACCCTCCGCGTCATGCTCGCCAATCTCAGGCGCAAAATCGGGCCCGTCATCCCCGCGCCGCCCGGCGCCCCGGACATGATGGCCCCACCGCCGTTCGCGGACCCGAACGGCCTGCCGCAGTTCCAGTTCACGCTGGAAGAGCTGGGCATGGGCCCGGGGACGCTGCCGGACAACCGGGCGCTGTTCAGCCCCTCGGCGATCCCGCTCTGGCTGCAGGAACAAGTCAGTGGTCGTTCCTCCTCCCCGTCGCGCGTCGTGCCGCATTATGCTCAATGGCTGCCGCTTTGCTTCATGCAGAACCTGACGGACCTCGGGCTGCCATCGAACGGGTCGGACGGCATTTTCCTGCAGATGGGCAATGGCAGCGGCTGGAATGGTGACTTTCCTCCGATGCCTGAGGCCTGGTGACGACTATTGACTCTGTGAGCTCTCAAGATGATCTGTTGTAACCTTCGCAGCGGGCGGCGGCGCTGGGCCCGTCTCTGTTGCAACCCTCGCGCGTTCTGTACCATTACTACGCTAACGTTGCATTGTATATCCGTGTGTCCGGACGTTCATGGTTTCTTCAGTGTGTACACAAACTTTCCTCGGCGTCAATCGAACCGTCTTTCTAATATATTTGAATATACGGTTACGGTAACACAGAAAACGCTAAAACTTCTGTCGTGATGTGCGCATAGTATGGTCCTTAGTTTACTCTTCTTCCTCACTGTCGTCTTGCTCCTGCAAGAACTGAGAGATTGCCAATCAATAGTGTTCGAACATTCACGGATAGGGTCTCGTAACGTACCTTGACGAGTGGTGCCGCCGCCTGCAGGAAGTGCTGCTTGCCCTGCGGCTTCGCTCCCTTCTGGTGCCAATAGATAATAGCCTGGTCAGAAATACAGTCCTTATTGTACAAAACCTGTGAAGGGTCGTCAATCAAAGGGGTGTATGCACATATGCGGGGGAGCCTACCTTCAGAATCTGCGGGAATGCCTTGATGATGCGCGTATCTTCGTAACAGTATACTTGGACGATGTTGATGAGAGCGACCTCGGTCTTCGCCCCATTGCAGAACGGCTCGAGGATATCCGCGAAGCCCTAGTGTCGAATATGGTTCAGTAAGAAGCATCACTACTTGCTGGCAACGCACGCTTATCTCACGAAGCGCGAGCGCTTCATTCTGGTCCTGGCGAGCCGACCATTCGACTGAGGCTATCAGGCCCTGCCAAATGCACTGCACCAGCTCCGTGTCAGGCAGGGGCTGTTCCTCCTGACGAGTCTTGATAGCAGCCACGATCTACGAAACGATCAGGACGGGCAGCGTGGAGGCACGGCAACGCAAGACGGACTTCGACATGGGGTACGCCCTGCTCGAGCATCTCCCGGAGCGTCTTAATGATCCCCTCCTTGAGGGACGCGTACTGGCGCTTCGTCCACCATTCCGCCACCTGCGGGAGGCCCGCCTGGCGGAAATGCGCGTCGAGTATTTTATCGTCGCGCTTGTTTGGTGGGAAGAACAGCGTCAGGTCCTTGATCCCGCCGCGCCGCAGGGCACCGGCGAGGTGGTCCATGGCCTGATCCGTGAGGTAGGCACGGAAGATTGTCGTGATGGCGTTGAGCGCAACATCTGGGTAAGGATCCGGATGAGCTGTGGACGACTCGAGCCGCAGGGCTGCGTACCGTTCTTCACGAGATGATCCTTCGTAAGACTCTGCAAACAGCTGGCACTGGCCAGGCCTTGTGACATCAGAAGGGCCGTGGCGATAGCTAGTTTCTCCTTCTGTGCATCGGTCCATCTGTTCAGGTACTGAAGTAGGGTAGGGAGGGAAGTATCCTCTAGAGGTCTCTGGAGGTACTTGTATCTGTGCGGAGATACGGTCAGGCACACGAGTATACAGGTTACTGGCATACTCCACATACCTCCTGATGAGCTTGTTCAGTACTTCAACATACTGCTTTATGTCTGCGACTTCCACGGGCTCTTTGGCGTGGACAATCGAGAACGGAGAGATCGGCGCGCCATCATCGAGGTAGCTGCCTCCGGGCTGAAGCAAGCCGCCGACGAGGAGGATCTCGAAAAGAACATCTGCATACTTCAGGTACTCGAGTGTGGAACCAGCTTGGACAAGTTTGTTGGTAAAGCCTTCAAAGTCGTTTTCGGGAACAGTTTCGAGGTGTTTGAGAAGCTGGTCTCGGAAGACTACAGAGTGGCCCGAGTGAGTAATTTTGAGACATGACGGGACTTGGAGGACGTACCGGTGGGTTCGTGCTTTGCGTGTGCCTTTACAGCACCTTTCCTGGCTCTGATGCGGACCCCCTGGAGCGAAGGCTTAGGTGCTGTTTGTTGCTGAGACATCCACAGGTTCCGACTCGCTCGAAAGATGTGGAACTGAACAAGGTGCGTGAAGCGCCCACCACTCCAGCTTGATCAAGATGTAATCGGCCCTTGCCGCCTCACGATCTTGATCGACTGCTACATTGCCGCCTAAAAGTAAAAATGTGGCGTAGCACCCAGGTATATACAAATGCTCATCTATCGTGGACACATTCTACAGCTACATTTATGATGCGCATATATGAGTTCAAATAGTACCAGAACATAAATTGTTTTTGTGACAGAAGGTGGAAGTCCCGCCGCCTGATTGGTATGGTCCGACCGAACGCTCAGTCACTTATTGACTCACATATTCTGCCTACGAGCGTATTTTTTGCGAAAAGGGCCATTGTATCGCACGTAAATTAGCGCGTGAGGCGGCATTCTTCTGTACCCGCCTTTCTCTGTCTGACCTTCCTCTAATATTTCCCGTTCGAAATCTTCGTCAGACACAGAACACCGAATAGCTCTGGGATACTCGGTGTCCTGCTCATGGGGTGGCAGGTTAAATAAATATCCACTTAGGCAGGATTACAGGCGCTCAAGTCGCTGCTTTGTCAGTAGAGTTCTATGTCTTGATCAGGCGTCTACCTGGCCGCACATCGCGCGCGTGTTGCTGGATCCTCCCCAGCCGCTCTCGGACATGAGAAACTCCACTGTGAATTTGGAAGCTAGCTTAATCGATTTAAACCATTCCTGTGGCTCAAAATTAGCTTGACAATGATCAATGTCCTGTGTACCGCGAAGGCTTGTGGCCCAAGGCACGGTCTAGCGCACGTCTATATTCATCACGCACGTTGCGGCGAGGAAACATCTACACGAAGTCTGTAAATTGCAGAAATAGAACAAAAACTGAATGTCCTGTTCCAAGGCCAAGGATACTAGAACTAACCCATACACATACACAATATCCAAAGAGAGCGTTAACGGCCAGTTATGAACATAGGAAATCTGGCGGCATTGCGTCAGTCCAGTCAGGATATACGACACACAGGGTAGTCAAGAAGTGGCTTTCCCGTGACCCAGCCATGTCAATTGTCCGTGGGCGCCTGCCCCACGCATGTCTCCCGTTGATGCCTCTTGAGCGCATCTAGCCTGCAACACTCCCGTCCGCATGCTGGGCATTTGCAGGAAACGCTCTTCAGATGAACTGAGGCGACATGCTTGCCGAAGCCACCGTAGTACAGCTCGCTACGGCAGGGCTGACCACTAGTCGACCACCGGCAGTCTCCACGCTTCCTATCTTGCCAGATGTTGACTATGTCGTCGAAATGCTGCTCCTTGAGATGTCGCGTAATTCCAGTAGGCGATAGATCCCATACGATCATGCCGCAGGGAAAGTCACTCCAGCGACACTTAGCGGCCTCGATTGGGACAGACTCTGTTAAATGCGGATCGATGCGGGGAGCGACGGCGGGTGGCATGACGGCGGGAGTACTCAGACCGTATGCGGTAGCCTCTTCGTGAGTACTGAAGTTTGTGCTGTGGGTCTGAGATGGCGCGATTTGATGTACATGGGTTGGATCGTCGTATGGAAATCTACAAGCATGGAGAGATGCGTCAGCCAGTCGGGGTACTCTGTGAGGGATCAACGTACCCCGTGGTGACATACACGGCATGCTGTGGACCCGGAGCGCTCATCGGCTGTTCACTTGCCTGTGTCACGCTGCCTCTAGATGGTGAGCTTATCGCATATGGACAGCAGGTTGACTTACACGTTGAACATTATCGATGGGTCACTTTCCTCGTACAGCAAGGTAGATGCTTCACGTCCGAGCTCGCATGCGTCTCTTATACGATGGCAGACATGCCGCTACTGTAGCATACAGCTGCGAACCCCTCGATTTTGTAAGCTACAACTAGGGCACAGGACACGACGGCGGGCTCGGATATGAATCGCACGACCCCAGGTTGCTTGAGAAGGTACCAGATGTTTTCGTGATATTGCGGAAAGAAGTCAGGTCTACTGTGGAAATCGGCTGCCTCATCATACGGCGTTCTTGAAAGGCTAACATGTGCAATCAGCAAGCATGAGAAATGACGATGCTCTCCGGGCTGCAGTCTTAGTCTCTGTACGCCAGCTGAGCCAAATTCTCAGACCCTGTTGGACGAACCACGCGGTAGCTGGCAATAATAGAACACAAATGGTACGTACCCGGCTATCAGATGTCCTGGTCATGACCGCCGCGTTCGCAACACTGAGCTTGGGCAGACACTGGTTTTCACCGTCCCTATGATCCAGCCGCGAACTTCTATGTGATAAGCATCAGTGAAATGCGAATGCGTTACGCGCAGAGAAGCCGGTCCTACAAGAATCGATAGTACGGGTGTAGTTACCGGTGAGGGAGATCAGACATTGCCCCACCATAAATGTACACGCAGCCCGTTCCATTCTCAGGGATCTGCTGCGCTGCGTCAAGACATGACCCGTAGAGGAGGAGCGGTACATGCAGGGAACTTGCTGTATGACGGAAGCGCAGTCACTGGTCTTCGAACGCGCGTTCATATGAGTGTTGGTGACGTTCCGACGCACATGGACTGCTTGCTGATCACTCCCCACAGCGATTTACTTCGCCGACGAAGTTGGGAGAACAGCTACAAGGCAGCCGTGACGCAGAAAGGGCAGATACAGATGGAATAATCAGTGTTGTTCTTCCATACTGCGAGTAAAGCTGCATAGTCAGGTATGTACCAAGACAAAAGAAAATAGTGTTAGCTTCCTTGTAGCGATATGGGGCGCACTGATTGGGGTAAGAACGTTGCATCCGGATGAGGATAAGGAATACACGGGGCCGCCAGACAATGATTGGCCGATATACTATCACATTCCCTTAGCCCTTGATGAACGTGGTCTCCACGGTGACCTAAAGAGATGCCAGGTCTTCAGAGGGCCGGTGTTCGTGCGCTGGGCAGCTGTTGAAAAGCGGTCCCGTGGGATGAATGCTAATATTTGCTACAAATTCTTTCCTGAAATGTCGTCATTGTCTGGAAGTTTGTTAGTGTCTTCCACAGATAACAAGGAGGACTGAATATCCGTACAGTGTAGGAATGCTGGTGTTGGTAGCCTCCCCTTTCTAATCCTAACTTGTACTATTCGCAACTTCATCAACTCTGTCCATACACCATGGTCTTCGTCCATGGAAGTGATGGCTACGCTTGTGTTCAACGAAAGGTTCTGTGAACGATGAAATGTTTTGAGGGGACACTATACGCGATCTAGTACGTTCAATGGGCGTCAGACAATGTCAATCTTGGTAAGGGTCTTGCATTTTCCCGCTGAGCCTGCTGACAGTACATTGGACCTCATCTCGTCCGCTGCACATCATGAAAGCTCGCTGCTCACATGCAAGATTAAAGTTATGTCTCCATCACAAAAGAAGTCGCAGAACTCACCGAGCCTGCCTTGAGCAGCCATGACGAGCTCATCGGCTCGGAACCCAGTACGGTTCGGCGACTGTTCGATCGCCAGCTTCCTGCGGGCCCCTCCGGGTGGTTTTTCGGCGGGAACATGTACATGCAGCCCTTCGCTGCTACTAGTAGCGGGCACGACGATGAGACGTCTCGCCGTATACACTACGTCTACTAAGACCCGCATACCATACAACTGATGAATTTGTGGGCGGTAGCGGTTCAAGCTGCGGCGGGAAGTGTGGGGCAAACTTTATTTTCATCTCCGATCGGCCACCATGTCGGCTCATATCGGGCGCCTCGATCTACAACGTACTATTCATAGCGCGACACAAGTTACTTGAACAGTAACCGCGTACAGCGGAGACGGGGAAATGCCTGCGAAGAAATGGACGGCCTGGTAAGCAAGCTAAAGCTCGGGTAAGTCTGTCTTGCAGAGGCTTGGGGTACAGTCTCTGTTATTTCTTGGTTCTTGAAAATACCCCAGATTGTAATTCCTATATTTCAGTGTCAGTGCCAAGCAGCGTTCCTCGACGCGCGTTTTTTACGCCTTATTTTTCGCGTCGTTCAGATGATCATCATTGCCAGAGTAAAACTTGCCATGCGACAGCATTCAAACATCTGTCTTCACTTGAGCCGAGGCTTTCCGTGTTTTCTGATTTCAGTCAGCACAGACAGCCTCTTTCCTGATGAAGAATTGCCATTCGTGGCGGCAGACATCGATGAATAGTCTTCCACAGCAAAGCATAGTAGACGTAGAAACCAGCCAGCCCGCCAGCCAGCCAGCATCCGGCACCTCACATAAAATGATGGCCTCTCTGCGCGGAGTACTTCCTTGCGGACGCTCACGCAGAGCAGACCACAGTGTGCCTCAGGGCTGCTGGCACAGCTAGTCATTGTACCATGGCACCCGCAATCACTAGCACTACTAGTGAGGCACAGCCAGTCTGTGGTTTCTTGATCAACTGTCAATGGCCGAGTGACTCGCAGATTCGAGTTCCAGTCCCGAAGGTAAGTAAAAACTCAGGCGCTCCCCGTATCTGTGATGTATATATCCGCTACTGCTGCTGCTAGCGGGCTCCGTCGCGTACACTCTCTGAGCCGCCAAATCACAGAATAACTCTCCACTCGCTTCGACCCGTTCTGCTCGTGTCTCCGATGCAGCATGTGCTGCGCGACTAACCATCCGCGTTTGCTTATTATCACCCTGGCGAACTACAGGAAACCCCTTGCGCTACCTGGACCCTGACGGCAAACATCCCTTTATGGCCGCTCCCCCAGCGAGCATCCTTGAACTCCGATGCTCCGAACGTATCCCCGAGAATGCGCCAAACCCAGCGCGAACGCCGCCATCCACACCACAAAGTTTTCTGCGCCACCGCAGCGGTCACACCCTCTCCTGCGCGCGCTGCACGACGGCGAGCCCGAGCGAGCACACGACCGCCATGAGCGGCGAGAGGAAGTACGCGATCGTGAGGTAGCCCGCGATCGGGCCCTGGTCGATGTCGACGAGCTCCGCGACGTTCACGAGGAGCATCGCGGACGGTCCTGCGGGCAGCAGCACGAGGAGGAACCTGCGGGCAAGCGGCACGTCAGCTTATCGAGGCTCCTTCTGAGAAAACGCGCAAGGGAAGACGCGAAGAGGAAGAGAAGAGGGGGACGCACCAGACGAGCGGGTCGCTCACGTACCACCCGCGGCCCGCGGTGAGCCAGACGAAGAGCAGGCTGAGCGCGGGCATGAGGGCGAAGCGCACGACGAGCACCCAGACGGTGGGCAGGTAGCCCGGGTGGCTGGACGGCACGAGCGCGAGCTCCGCGCCGACGGAGAATGTCTGCAGGACGACGCTACGGGGACGGTCAGCCGGGGCCCGCACTGGAAGGAGCGTGTGAGGGGGACGGAAGGGGACGGACGGGAGGGACGCACAAGATGTCGCCGAGGTTCTTGACGCTCTGCGTGACGGACGCGTACAGGACGCCGTCCTCGTCGAGGAACCACCTATGCAGGGGGCCGATCATCTGCGCGCATGCCGCACGTCACGGTCAGGTGCGTTTGCATAGAGCGCGGGGCGGAGACTCACTCCGAAGGCGAACGCGATGATCGCGCCGATGAGCGGGGGGCTCATGTAGCTCCACACCTTCTTGACTGGCTTCTCGAATGCGGCGATGGACTGCGGCCAGTGCACGTCAGGCGCGTCGACAATTGGGTCGAGGGCGTCGCCGAGGACCTCCGGACGTTGCTCGGCCTCTGTGTCTGGGTCGTCCAGCAGACCGACGCGCTCCTCGTCCTGCACGATGGGGAGGAGGCGGCCGGGGCCCGGGCGGAGGATGTTGGAGCGTTGGCGGTCGGCCTTATGGTGGCCGTCGTCGCGGGCGAGGACGCTGGGGGCGAGCTGCAAGGTGAAGACCTGCTGGACGATGGCGTTGAGGAGGAGGAGGCTGCGGCCGCGGTGGAGGGTCTGCTTGACGGTGTCGCCGTCGCGCGCGAGGAGCTCGAGGACGCCGGTGGACTCGAAGCTCTGGAGGAGGAGGAGCGGGAGGGCGTTGCTGTTGGGGCGGCCGCAGGCGATGATGGTCCAGTGCTTGAGGCCGAGGACGCGCTGGCCGGCCCAGCCGACGAGGTGTCCGACGATGGTGGAGGCGAGGCCCCAGGCGGGTATGATCCAGTAGCGGGAGAGGGAGGGGGGCGTGAGCTCGGGGCCCATCTGGACGATGAGGAGGGCGGGGAGGAAGAGGGTGGTGCAGAGGGTGGAGATGTGCTTGACGGTCTGCCTGGTGAGCAGGCGGTGGCGGGAGGCGGTGTAGCCGGCGAAGCAGGTGAGGAGGACGGAGATGGTGCCCTGGAGGGCGCCGAGGAAGGTGTCGAACACCGTGCTCGGACTCGACGCGGGGGCCATGGCGAGACAAGGCTATGGGCAGAGGGGGTGTGGAGAACCCACTCGTTCATGGCGGTGGTACTTGACAGCACACACGGCCGAGCGGCTGCATGACGTCATAACAGATCCATCTCCTCGATCGCACTCGATCTGCTGACGGATCTCAGCCCATGCGCTCCCCCAATCAACTTATCTATAGCACTAGGGTCCGGGGCGTAGTATCGTCTGTCGTCGCCATTTCACTACTGCACTGCCTGCGCGGGTGCTGCGGCTCTGGAATCACGAGTCACGCACTTTGAACTTTGAATCTCGGTCGCTGTCTTCATGATGCTCCATCCATCCTCGAAACGCCCGACCCCACTGGCTGGGACGCCGTGGCCGCCGACGTCGTCATCGCGGCGAACGAGCCGCATCTGATGCCCACAAATGGCACGACAGCCAAACGTTCCCCTGAACACCATCCCTGCGCGCCATAGTGCGTCAGCTCGGGGCTCTGATACATGTAGTCCGGTATGTCCTACGACCAGCAGTGCGGGGCCAGACTCCTCCTCCCAAGCATCAGCAGTCCGCCCGGTAGCCCTCTTGCCTAGTGATCGGCCAGAGAAGTGCACGCTTCCCTGTGTGGATCCCGACGAACCTCAAAACGGCGGGGCACCACACAAGTCAACCAATTTGACGCATGTACTCGTGCGGAAGCCAGGGTCCAGTCGCAGCGTCGCCTAATCATTCCCTCATGCCCCTTTGAGAAGTACTTGCACGACAGGCATACACCACAATCTTGGCTTCGATCTACAGTATATATGTCGCGTAGGCATACACTAGTACCCATCCATTACGGTACAATTATCAGCTACAACGTGTCCGACAAATGCTTGTATACACTTCTGACATCCCATGCGTTCATGCGAGAAACCTAGGCTCGAGAAACGGACCGGACACGGACAGCACAGAAACGATACAGACGGCGTGGTATAGACGGGGATTTCCAGGACCGCACGTCGACGGCGGGCAGGCGGGCGCTACAGGAAACAATCATCTGTGTGTCTCGCTCAGAACTCGCAAAGCCAGAGCAAATGCTCACGACATACTCAGATGAAGAGATGCGTCAGCGTAAACGATCACTGCGACCGGGGAGGCTCCGAGGGGTTCCTGAACCGTACGACGAGGACTGTGACGTTGTCCGACGAGTAGTTTTTGTATGCGTAGTCGAGCAGGTCTTCTGCTGCCTGTCTAGGGTCCGCAATCGCGCGCACAAAGTCCACGGCCTTCTGGTCGTCAACGACGTCCCATAGCTGACATCGTACGTCACACGACGCCAATTAGTCTCGTCGTGGCAGATAGAGACAAGACGACATACCCCGTCGCACGCCAGGATAAGGAACTCATCTTCCTCACTTAACTCCGTCTCGGTCGTGTATGGCGCGCCCACGACATACTCCTTCATAGCCGAGTCACCCAAGGCCCGTGTCACGGCCAGCACACCGTTCACCCGTCCGCTCATGACGAAGCCACCCGCGTCTACAATGCGTTTCGCCTCCTGCTTATCTGAGCCTTTGTGGTCATACGTCAGACGCACAGCCTTCCCCCCGCGACACAACACGCCCCGCGCGTCGCCAGCATTGGCGCAGTAAAGCACGCGCCGAGCCGGGATGTCTGCTGAAGGGGTCCAGGTCTCTTCCTTCTCGTCTGAAGACTGCGACTCCGACGTAGGTGACCGTCGCTCGCTCAGCGCCTTAAATGCGTGCTTGATTCGGCCCGCGCCACTCATTCTCGACGTCTCTGGGTCCACATTCTCTTGGTCGCTGTTCTGCTCGTTCCCGTCTGGGGAGGGCGCATGGACCAGCGCCGCGTCGATGGGGTTGAAGCTGGGCGGGACGAACGACTGCTTGCCGTCGCTGTCTTCTAAGCGCAGGAATGCGGTGACAGCGGTGCATCCAGAATGCATCTTGCCATCCGAGTCTTCAGATAGCTTGGACAGATAAGCATCAACGTCGTGGAACGTCTGGTTGAGCACGTCTGGGACACTGCCCTGGTGGTCTTCGCTGAGCGCTCGCAAGAGACACTGTGGAGCGCGAGAACGACGTGATCAGTGAAACCCCGCGCGTGCGCGCATACAGAAAATGGCGATGGGTATAGATCGCTCACAGTAGCGAAGTGTTGCCCGCACCACTCCGCAGCCTGCTTTCCGGCGTGACCGTCGAAAATGGCGAAGAATCCCTGACCGCGAATTCCGCCGAAGGGTACGACGATGGAATGTGCGTCTTCCATGGTCCGGCGCGGCCCCTTGGAGTCTGTCACGGCGCACTTGAAGGAGAGGTGAGGGGGCAGAGACATGTCAGAGTGGTTGGATACGCCACTATGCGTGGTTACAGGAGCAATACAACGTCAGGCGGACAGCAGAAGTGAGACGAGACCAGCAAGGAACTGACTTCGGGGGTTTCTCCGTGCTAGCTACAAAAGTGGATACGAGATTACGATGGATGCCAGCTACAAGTCAGTAACGGCACGTGGGACTGGGAAAGGACAGACGCACCGGAGCCATTGGTTGCGATGGGACCCATGTTGAATTTCCCAGCAAAAATGCAATATCGTCGAGGGGAGGGAGAAAAGAAAGTAGGAAAGGAGGAGTGGCAGTGGAGTATATGTATGTGGCGGGGCGGTGGTGAGCGGTCGATGTGCAGCGGCGGGCGGGGCGCGTCATGACACGTGCACCGGTGTCACGTTCGCGTTGTCTCGCGGCTGAGCGCCGAAATGGCCACCCTTTTGTCCTTTGCATTCTTTCCCGTTTCTTGATCCTACACAAAAGGCTGCACACTCTTCCAATTTAAGCTGTGTGCCTAGATGCTCTGAGGTCCGCAGTGCACGCACCAGCGCCAACTGTGATTTGAACGGCGATGTCTACAGGACACGCGAAGTACCCAGTCTGACAGCTTGGTGTCGTTTGTCGCGACTATGGGAGACGGCTTGTCTGACTATCTGCCAGCAGGAGGTCTGAAGGTATAACTTTCGTTGAGATCGTCCACAGGGCTGGCCGCAGGCACGCTCTGTGTTCCACGACTTGATAGTACATCTCCGGGACTCGTTGACTCGTTGAACAAGCGTAGGCTTCCAACGGCCGGTTCAGGCTGCCAAGTTACGAAGTGCACGCTCGATATTTTAGGGTACATGTACTCTAGCCTTGGTCGCTCAGCTCGCTTATTTGCTCTACATCGGATTTCTTGAATCCTTGGAAGTATTTCTCGCGAAAGTCTTTATGCGCAGGTATGTGAGCGACATTATCGAGCTGTTCGAAGGAAGGCGGCGCAAAATGCTCCGTTGTCGCCTTGCGGATAGTTATAAGCTGCAGAGAAAAAGGTAAAAGTGGCTCATCGTAAAAGAGTGGTACGCGACGAACCCTACGTCCCCAAGAACCGAAATTCTGTAACGAATTGGCGACGATCTCCATGCCATCGCACAGCATTGACTGCACATCTAGCTCTTCATATTCATCCGTGACAGTCGGCAGGAAGAAGACAAGTCTTCCTTGCGGCTTGAGCATATACCGTGCAAGGAGGACGAGGTCAGAGGCGAGCGATGACAGTTCATATGGCTTCGTTGGAGGAATGTATGGTTGGTCATCTCTAGAGTTACATGTGATTGTGACTTTCATGTCCCTTGAAAGACCGAAAGGTTCTTACGGGCGTCTGAAGGCTATGTTCTGTGGAGAGGTTGGCGGCTGCTCCTTGTCTTGACGGGACTTCCTGCCAAGGCGCTTTGCACCCGCCCTTACACCATCTGTAGGAGACGAGATGGATTAGGCTGAAATGGTACAAATTTGTTAATAATGCGACACTCACAAGGAGGATCCGTTATGATGGCGTCAAACAGCTCGCCACATCTCCATGGGTTACGCGTGACATCAAATGTACATAGATCAATAATGCAATGAGCGACGCCGTACTGGGAGGCCGCACGGATAATACCCGGCTGCTTGTCTGTTGTATAGAGTCGTCAGTCAAGTCTCGCGAAAGTCGAAAACTGACCTTTGCCCCTCATCTGGCGACCGTCGATGTCGGAGCCAAACACCAATGCACCAAAATGTGCAGTCGTCTGTTTCGAAGTGGTCAATTCCGTAACGCGTGTCATAGTCAAAGAGCGACATACATATGCCATGCTCCCAGTGCCGATGAAAGGGTCATAAATCAGTTTTCCAGGTGCGGCCTGTTTCGTGCAAAGTCAACATTCCGTATTGCTAGCACACAGACGGAGAGTACCAATGTCTGATTGGCCATCAGGAGAGAGATTTCTGCTTCCATGCTGGTGTTACCATAGTAAAGTCTCTTTTTGACATCGAATTTCTTCACCAAAGGACGTGCGGAGCCTTCTTCTATCTGGAATGGAAGACTGGGTCAGAGCGATGCGATTATTACGGCGACAGAAAAGAAACATACCAACCTGCCGAAAAACACCTCCTTGAATTCTCCGTCGCCTTCGTCTTTAGGACGGGTTGTGCCGTGTTTATCGGGATCTGGATATGCGATGCGCATTCAAGAAATAGTCTGCATATTCGAGTGGATAGACATCACACACATTCTTCGAAGCAAGTCATGATGATCTCGGGACTTTTCATATCGATCTTGCCAAGGAAGTCCATATATGAAAAACTTTCCACCACTTCGCGTTGGCGAGCTTGTGGTATCGTGTGATTGTACGCAGTCACGATGAATTTGAACGATGTGTCTTCGATGTAGCATGACCATCGTGGCCGTTGCTGGCGAACTCGCTCGTGGAGCTCCTCGTACGTAGAACCCCGCGCATAAAACTCACATACTGACCTATGCCCGTATAAGCGATACAAGTTGATACTGATATGATAACGCTTTCAAACCGTATGAGAATACACCGTCTGGCTAAGAGTCTGGCATGCTCCTCGTGATCGAGCTCCAGGATGCAAAAGGGTCGGGATGCATCGAGGTCTTGGGGAATGTGTAAGTCGAACCCATGGATCTCTGCTACGGACTGAAGCTCTGGAATGCGAAAGTCATCATGCACCTGAGCGAACCAGAAAAGATACTGTTGGCCCATAGGTGCAAGTTGTTGTATTGCTGTAAGTAAACTAGATGATCGAGAATTGTTGATCTGCTCATGCCCGATATGGAAATGGTTGTTTGGCAACAGCCTTAGAAATAAACAACCTGCAGCCACACCGTGACCAAGGTCCAGAAGGCGCTGGCACTGGCTCGCCACCATTGTGACCTGCTGTGAGGACCACTTGCCTATGTCCGCCAATTCTGCAGGCTGAGAGGCGCAGGAGGCCGACCCGTACGCGATGGCAAGCTCACCGGAACTTACCAAACTAGTTGCCGCTGTGATTTCTTCTGTACAACATGACAATCGTGAGGTGTTCCGTGTTGCATCCCGGCAGCTTATGTGATTACTTGGTGCCAGTGGATGACTCACTTGATAAACTGCGATCTTTCTTTCCTGAAAATCTTCTTCTCGCATCCCTGGATCTTATCGACCGCGAGTGTGGTGAGTAAGCGAGCTGCCGCCTATATGCATCACAGTATTCATGACCTAGGTCAATTAGTCATCAAATATCATTTGCCTTGGGGGCGGACCATGTACGAAGTCTTCGGGTCCACCGCAAATTACAGCGTCTTCCTTAAGTTATCGCCAAACACTGAGACGTCAATGTCGTACTGTACATGCCCAGCATTTGCATACTCTGCCCTTTTGTCCGGGTCGCAATTAATGGTTCGTCTTTCCTGCTCAAATATCACGACAATATATAGCTTGATTTCTGTACATTGTGCCAGTGCAAGCATCTACTCGCGACCCTTCTTGCTGAACGTCTATCGAAATATGTCGAGAGGCCTATCAACCAGGACGACCTTGCAATGCTAGTCTATCGGCAATGTTCATAGACGGTTCTAACACTAGTATATTACTGCGGCGCAATACACTAAAGGTGCCAAGACTAATTGTACACTATGTCTATCTACTATGCGCACTGAATACAGTTGTCGGTAAATCTCTACGAAATTACGTGCGAATCTAACACGCACGAACATGTTATTTATAGAACCTTTTTGGTGGTATAGGCTCAAGCACGTCTTGGTTCTTCTCCCCCGACCCTTCACCACCTACTCGACGGATCCTCCATTCCAGCAGATCTGCGTATTCTTTAAGACGTTTGACGAGACCGCGCAACTCTCGTCGGGTTGGAACTGGATGGTCTTGTGAATCGACGCGCATACCTGCATATAGATCCTCTTCCTCGTCGTTGTTTTCGTCATCGTTTTCCTCCTCGTCAGACGACAAGTCAGACAGAGGCGATGGCTCACGAGAGCCAGCAAGGCTGCTTGCCAAAGTGTCGTAGGTGCTTGAACGGTCAACTTGCTTTCCTTTGTCGGTGTTCAAGGCTGCCTGCGATCGCGGCTTCCCTTCACCAAGCTCGCATTTGACGGCAATCCATTCTGCGACCTTTCGCACCTCCGCTGGGTCCCAGAATCCCCACCAGCTCTCACCGCCTTCATCAACACCGTCGTCGTCTTCGTCGTCTGTCTTCGCCACCTTGGCACCTTCGGGGAGTTGGCCCCATACGGCGATGAACCACGACCAGCGTTGCATTTCTCGACGTTCCTCTTCGGTCAGCGCACCGCGCTTCCGATGTAACTTAACGCGTCCGTCCTTGCCTGCAATCAGCTTCGAGGCCGCCTCTCTTTCAGCTTCGCTCGGTGTGAGGGCATAGTACGTCCGACCCTCAAGGTCCTGGCCCAGTGGATAGTAGCGTGGCACCCAGGCCGATGTAGCCACTATATGCGCATGTTCAAGGTCTTGCAGGGTTTGCTTGTGGAGCGCTCGCTCTTCCTTGAGATTGCCCTTGCCCTTCATGCCAGAAGCAGTGAAGTCCTTCCACCTATTGTTCTCCCTCGCCACAGCTTCACGCACATCTTTAGAAAGATCCTTATCTTCCATAGATCCTTGATCCAAATCCTCGTGGATAGGCGTGGATTGTATAGCAGATTCTATCAGAGCAGCAATCACAGGCACGAGCTGCGCAGTACAGGCGACATTTATGCTCATATCCGCGCTCTTTCCTTGGGCTGCACTACGTGTGCTCCGGAAAGTGATTGTAGATGGTGGAGCAAGAGGGTCGGGGTAGTTGAAGGGCGATGAGGAGACCCTCCGCAATCCGTTACGTAAGGTTGCCAGAGCAGCCCAGATCTTGTTGAGGTTCGCACCGGAAGCGCGGATCTCCTTGAGTGACTCTTTCGCAATCTTAGCAACAGCGGCGTGGTCGCAGCCATCGACGATAACGGAGACCAAGCCGACGATGACAGCCTTCGCGCACGGCTCGCTGACCCAACTAATGAGGTCCTCTTCGTCGTCGCCAAGATACTCACCCGATATTTCCTCGAGTTCCTCCAGGTGCCCTTTGGCAACATCGAGCAGACCTGCGAAGCGCAGGACGAATTCACGGATATGTATCCGTTGCTCGGCGGCCGCCTGGTCGAGTCCGGTGGGAACACTTGACCACAGTGGGCTAAGAATCGGCTTGGGAGGTGGCGCTGGCTTCACTTTCGAAGGGGCCCGGGATTTCGGCATAGGTTTTGTCGCCCTCGGCACTGGCTTCTCCGTGACGGAAGTCGACGAACCGACAGCAGTGACTTTCTTTGCTCGGGTCTTCTCCTTGGGTGCCACCTGTTTGCCCTTCCCAGGCATGATTCCCTATTACAGATCTCAGCGAGACGTCGAGAAGTATATATGAAGCACATCTCACCAAACCCGAAGGATTATCCTTCAAGCATTGAGCTGCGGAAATTTTGCCTTCTCTGCGGGCAACTGCGGTTAGGTTTCTGGCGACAGTCATGGTTTGAGCATCTGGGTTGCGCAAGACCACATTGAACTCACCCTGTGGGTTCTAAACCCTTCGACCGTCGGCAATTCCGACAGTTGCACTCATCGCGACATCGGGGGCATCTATCATGACGATATAAGTGTTCGTTATATCACATCAGGATATCGACGCACTTGAAGTAATAACCCTCCTTGGCAAAATGTGACTCTCTTTCCTTTTTTGAAAGTTTCGCCACATCAGTCACCTTAATCTCATCGAGACTTTGCGCATATCGATTTTTGAGGCACGCTCGACAATACTTAGCGCCGCATTGATGCAGCTTAGGAGAGGCCAAGCGATATGTGCAACGTATAACATCTGTGATGAATGTGAGCAATTGCTTGGTGACGGAAGTATCAGGAGATGGCAGACCGGCTATGTCTCGCTTCTTGTTGCATTGGTGACAGTAGAGTACGTTACTCGAGGATCCCGCGTTGCTGTCTGTGGCACTTGTTTGTTGTTCTTCCTGTTTCTTGATGGCCCCTTGTACTGTAGGGGCAGCGCGGGATGCAGCGAGCTTAGCTTTCTTCGGATGCTGTTCTGATTGTTCGCGTTGTGGCATCTTCGTAGACGCGTCAGAGAGCTTTCTCTTGTTTGGACGTGATATGCCACTGCTGACACTAGTCAGGCTGCTGCTGCTGCTGCTTGTCCGTGTTGGCAACAGAGGCGTGTTCTCCTTGATGCTCGATGTGACCGATGACGTCCCTTCATGCATATGAAGAGGCGAAGGGGGAATATCTATGTAGACTTGGGATAACTTGCGCGCAGCGGACGCAGGACGTGACTGGATTGAGGAGACCGGCATGGTTCGGGATGGTTGTGGTAAGATAAAGAGAGGTGTTCAAGCCACCGCGGCGCGTCTTAACATCACATGGAGCGCGTCCGCACGTGATCGAGGCGGCTCTTGCCGCCCAGAAATTTCTCACGTCCCCAGCCTTTCCGCCACATCAGGCTTGTCACTGTGCTCGACAGCGACCAAATCTTAGTCTACAAGTCATGGCCCACGCGGATCACACCCGAGACCCTTGGTGAGCCTTCTTTGGCCTTGTGCTTATGCAGACGGCTTGAATTCCGTGCTTACAATCCACAGTCCATGGGTAATTCTCTCCGACTTCGGTAGCGCATTCGCGATGGGTGCTGTCGGTGGGACCATTTGGCATGGCATAAAAGGTGCAAGAAACTCACCACGCGTGCGTTCAGTCTTCCCCTGTGCATTTTACTTACGCTGACGTTCACTTGGTAGGGTGATCGTCTCGTTGGTGCCGTCTCTGTCATCAAGGCTCGAGCTCCAGTGACAGGCGGGAACTTCGGTGTCTGGGGTGGCATGTTCTCTACATTCGACTGTGCAGTAAAAGGATGGAGACAAAAGGAGGACATGTGGAATGCAATCATCTCAGGTTTCCTTACAGGTGGCTGTCTAGCAGCACGAAGTGAGTCACGGATGTTCCTTTGCAAGTGGACATACATTGCGCTTGGTCAATCAGCGTTACACGGGTCACATCTACCGGCTTGCTGCACTGTTCTGCATCTCCGGAACGTTGCTGACTACGAGATATAGGTGGCCCTAGATCTGCCCTCGGTTCCGCAATTGCGTGCGGCGTCTTGCTCAGTGTCTTCGAGGGTGTTGGCGTCCTCATGTCGCGAGTTTTCAATGACAACACACGGCCGCAACTACCCCCAAGTACGTTCTACGCGAGTACGCTTTGTCGTTGTCTGACCTTGTTGTCCAGTACCGGAAACGATGCAGGCTCAACCTTCATGAGCTTTTTCTGCTGGACTCTAGATGTATACGACTTGTTACCCGTCTTGTCATTAATCGCTACTCATCGCTATTTCATCGTTCTGCATCTCGTCCGACGACATGGTTCTGCTGTCTGCAAAAGCCCCTCATACCATCGAACTCGATTCAAGATGTCACAAACGGGCTGCTACGCCGCCCCTGGTCCCACGGGAAACTAAGGCGATGTGATCTCGTTTAGGTGCTCGTCTAGCCCTACAACTTCCTCTCTTAGCTCCTCTATCTCGTCCTTACGCTTCGATATCAAGCGATCCAATCCAGACGTTGCCTGCTCTGGGATCAACAACACCCGTTCGGTGATGACCTGCTCAAGGGTATCCTGTAAAGACAAATACGAGTGTTGATTTCAGCGAATCGGTCACGCAGTCAGGTTTCTTACTGACCTTGAGATTCCTCTCTAGACCTTCTCCAACCCTATTATAGTCCTTCCACCACTTGCGTTTAGCCCCTTCGAACCGCCCGATAGCCCACCTCACTCCGGCAATCGCGCCAAGCATTCCGATACCCAAAGCGGTCTCCGGCTGCATGGACATGTCGAGAATACCTAGCTGCCCTGCCCACCCTGTCCACGCGATACCCATACCACCGGATACGCTCCCCCACATGGTGAGCACAGCTCTTTGCGCGGCCGACTGCAGTCGAGCAGTGGGAAACCGGAATTGCTGCCGGCGTGCAGAGAGCGGTAAAGTAAACGCAACGGCATCCATAGCGAACGCAGGCGTTGAAGAGAGTTGAAGGAGACTGTTTTGCAGGATGGGCGAGTGGAAGGGCGAACGCGGAGGAAAGGAGGCGAGCAGCGCCTTGCTAGACTCTGTGAACGCACTCTGTGACGAAGCAAGTCGACCTGCGTGGAAGACGAGCTATAGACACTAGTCAGGCGGTCGTCACGGTAAGAAATAATCAAGCTCACCCTGTGCTCTAGATCCTTGCACCAAACTTGGTCTACGATAGTAAGGACGGTGTCGCCAACATCATCTGGTCTCAACAAGAGTTTCCACCACGTCAATGAGTCCATAGTAGGTTTGATGTCCCTTCGCGACTTGTCCAATGACGTCTGTATGGCATCGCTCTTGCTGCCATCAGCGGGCCCAAAGACCTCCCTCGCCGCCTTGACGCGGACCTCTTCCGCGCGTGCCCTTAACGCACTGACCTGTGTACACAATTCATCTACTTCATGTCGTGCCGTCTGGAGGACACTTTGACATGCTGAAAGCGAGTTTTGCACAATGGAGTGTGCTGTCTGGGCATGCAGATTCTGAACGACGGCAAAGGAAGATGTGCCGCGTGCAGCATCTACAATCGCATGCGAGACCGCCTCGGTGAGTTTTGAGAGGTTAGAAGCAGTAAAATTTTCCTGGTACTTCTCCACAGCAGTAGAGGAGGAAGGTGCCGAGCTGAGTATGCGTAACGCCTTGAGCGCACGCGAAGGGTCAATGAAGAGGATAGTAAGGTCGTGCTCGCATAAGGAACGGATGCGGTTGATCAACGCCTCGGATCCAGAGCTCGAGGTGAGGACTAGCACAGCGTTCGGATGAGCAAGAACTGGGGCGAGCCGGGTGAGAAGGGATGGTAGTGGTGTGGTGGCAGAATTGCAGACGATGATAGGCACGTCTGCCGACAGGAGGGTTTTTACTGCTTTGCCTTCTGTTGCGGGAGCTCGCAATTCCAAGACTTCCAACGGTACCCCGAATTGCTGAAGCCAGGCAGACTGGACTCGGAGGCTCCCAGGCTCAGACAACGACGGCGCACCGTATCTTGACAGCATGGTCAATTGAGGGTTTGATAGTATTCTAGAACACTCACTGTACCGATACGCTTTCGATGCCTGCACGAGTATCTTTCCACCGGTTTTGAATGGCTGCTCTCTGGGCGTCATTCGAGAAGGGATGGTCGAGCAACGCAGTGACAAGCTCTTGTGCTCCGGATAGATCATCACAACCATACACTATGGGACGCATCAGTAGTCTAGTCCATGTATCATCACTGAAATTTGACGTACCTGCAATACGAACATGGTCTTCTTGCTGTGCGGCGGTGGACAAGCATAAGTCTCGGTGGGCCTTCTCTAGCAATGCGCTCCAGAGGTCCAGCGACAATGTCTGACGTATTCCATTCGAGCTAGGAGGCAATATGCGAGGCAGCAGCGACCTCGTCTTGTGAAGCACAGTCAGAACATGTTGTCGAACGTCAACATCAGAGCTGGTGGATGCCGGTTTGAATGCAACGGCAGAGGAAGCTGTCCGACGGTTCCCCTTGCACAGGGCATGCCTGTTACCGACGAGGCACCGGGCATGAGCTGGGGTCAGTGGCGGTCTGCCAGCCCGAGTTAAGGCCAGACATGTCGGCATGGAGAAGTCAGGACATGCACGCCGTCAGAGCCATGATCGAGTAACTTCAGACGCTCATACACTGATCCGTAGCCCATTCGCAGGCCTAGGTCTATATATCTGCGCACTATAAATTATTCGCGGTGATGCTGCTATTACAAATACAACGATAATGTATGTGAGATGATCCCGCAATGTAGAGTGTGCGATACAATGGTACGATAGTTAAAGTCAAGGTTCCTCTGCATCGGTGACGACGATCTTCGGCGTAGCTGGCTTCGACGTAGGTATTCGAACATGAGCATCTCCCTCATCGTCAGTATCATCGCCAATACCAAAGAGCTCTTCACCCTCGTCCCAAACGTTCTCCAAACGGATGAGCCCGCCAGGCTTTGCCGCGGTAGCCTTTGCTGCATTGTGAGATGAGGTATTTTGAATGTGGGTCGGCAGAAGCTGCATCGAACTCCCTTCCATGTCGTCGTCATCCTCAGATAGGCCGACATCATCGTTGAGCGGTTGGTACAGCCGCGATATCTGTGAGCGCATGAGTGAACGGGGTTCTGATAGGTGCGTCATAATATTCACCTCCCGTCTGTGGCGATAGTATCGCTCGAGATGATAGGCGATATACAGGCCGAGACTGGAGCCAAGGAGATTTGCCTAGGGAACATACTCAGCATATAACCCGTCGTGAGAACATAATTGACTGACAGCAATGTCACCTATTTGAAACTCCTTGTGCTAAGTGTCATTTGCGCATCGTGTAAATAGTTGTGAAGACCCGATGATTCACAGCTAACATACCGGGAGCATTGACTGGACGAACTCGCTCACTATCCCACCAACAAAGAAGCAGGTGATGGCGGTGAAGATGACCGGGGCGCTGCGCCAGAGCCATATGCGCCGCGCATCTCTAGATGTATTGTTAACGGCTGACAACTGGCATATTCTGGTCAGCAATTGCTGAACAACGTACTCTTCGACGTCAAAGATGAAGTAGAAGACGCCGGTGGCTACGCCCAGACATAGAAAGTGTAGCACTTTGTCGTTTAGGGGAAGGCCATGAGAGACATTTGTGAAGCCGAGAAATGCGAGCAGTAGCATTATGAGCGTTGTGAATAGTAAGAACCACTTCGATCCAGAATGTTAGATCAGGCTGCGGACACTCGGAGTATGTAGTAGTGCTCACTGGCCGTAGACGTAAGGGCATGTCGTACTTCGGAAGATGTATTCTATGTGACCGCATAATTGCTTTGTTGCACTTGCGCACGTATTTGCGGGTCCCCCGACTCGCCTTCGCCCATAGTGATTCAGAGGGCTCGGCGGAGAGTCCGAGCATCCCGGTGGTGCACCTATCTCTTCTACCTGCTCACGAGGATTGGCTGAACTTTTGACGTTGACCGCGACAGGACCAGGACCGGACTGTGGTAGAACGGGAGCAATATATACTAGTTGATACAAGAAAAGGTAGACCTCGTAATAATCAGGGGAGGATGAAGTTGAGCGTTCCTGTGCCGGCGGCAACAAGCAGCGGGTTTCTGCGATAAGTATTTATATGTACTTGTCCGCACAAAAGCCTGGGCGAAATAAACATTGTCTCAACGATCACTTGCACTCCGCCGCTCAACGTCCGCACATATAAACTCTGCAGTCTATCTTTGAGGTTCTGGTCCAACCTCGCAACCGCACCCCCATGTCCTCATCACTTCTTTCGTCCCTGGCTAAATTCTCAACTTGCGAGATATCCGACGCCCTCATCAAAATAGGCCTTCCTCATGGGGGACTCATCCCCGACATTCAAATGTACTCACCACATACCGGCGCGTCTGATGTTCGCATTTGTGGGCCAGCGTACACCGTGCAGATGGTGCCGGCATCAGACAAGGTATCCTCGAAGCCCTCCGCTCACTTTGTCGATACCGCACCGGCAGGTTCGGTGATTGTCATAGATGCGCCTCCTGGTTCAGTGCCATCCATACTTTTGTCTGCACAGCTGAGTGCTCATACATATTTGATCATATGCCATTTGGCGCTGCGTGCCGGTCCATATCCCTGTCCGTATATGTCTCACAGAGACGAAGAATGCCGTCTGGGGCGGGCTCATGACTGCCGGTGCCAAAGCTCGTGGGGCGCTGGGAGTGATCATATCTGGGCGATGCAGAGACGTCGCAGAGCATCGCGGCGTCGGCTTCCCCGTTTTTGCGAGGGGGCACTCCACGCTCGGACAATCGCCCTTCACTCGTCCGTCGGCAGTGAACGTGCCCCTCACGATCACGCCTCAGTTTCTCGGAGCGCATACAGATGCCTTCCCGGCGCTGCGTATCGACCCTGGCGACTGTGTGGTGGCAGACGAGGACGGTGTGGTCTGTGTCCCGCAGAGCTTGCTTGAGAAGGTGCTGCAATTGGCAGAGAAAGGAAGAGAGGTAGATGGCCGCTGTATGGAGGATATTGTGGCGGGTGTCAGCATTCAAGAAACGTTCAAGAAGCATAGGGGAAAGTTGTAAATCGAGTAGGCTTGCGCATCCCGCAGTGAGACGTTTCTAAAAGATTGAATAATGTCTCGTGACATATCTGCTCACCTTGGAGCCTGAGAGGGCGTGGTGAATGTTCTCTGGCCGCGTACACCACTAACGTGAAAAATCTATTGCAGACGCGTCCTTGCCCATAAATAATCAATAGGAGACACGTATTTACAAACGTAGGATGGCTACAAATAGGAGACAGATAGAAGTTCTAGTATCCACGGTAAAAGCACAAGCGAGTACTATACTGTCGGTCTCAAGACGTCAGACCTTCAGACGCCAGTCGGTAAGAAGTTCGGGACTTTTCTAACGCCACGCTCTCTGTGTAATGCGGGTGAATCGCGGAGTCATAATCACGTATGGTGCCGAGAAACTCACATTTCATCAACTGCAACCATGAGATCGTAATTGATCTCCTGGCTAACCGCGGAGTCAAATTTGTATGCAGGATGTGATCGCACGAACTCGCGTATCCAGGTGGCCGCCGTTTTCAGCGTTCCTGTGATGATACTCTCAGTACCTGTTACACGAGGACACTGAGACACTAACCATCCGTTCGGCGCTTTACGAGGTTGAGGTATCCTTCCAGCTTGAAGCGCTCCTCTTCCGTCATATCTAGCGTGTCTAGATACGTGTACACAAGTCCGAACAGTCCTGGGAACCTTCCATACTGCGTATGCGACGAGAAGTGCAGATCAGCGGCTGGTATAACAAGAGCATTGTAGACCGACCTTGCCGAACATGATCTCTTCCATAGTCATCTCCTCATACTCGTCTTCGACCGGCCGAGGATCGAAGCCATCCACAGGCCGTGGTATCGAAGGGAAGCAATTGCGCAGCTTCCTCTCCTTCTGTTGTGTTCCACCCGGCCCATCGACGGGTGAGCTTGCACCAGACGAACACACGCTTGAAGCACGGGACGAGCCGGGAGGGAAGACGTCCTTGCGGAAATAGAACTTCTGGGACCTGACGGCATCCCGTTTCTGCGCCCTGGCCATGTTCTCGTCGACCTGGATTCACATAATGAGCGGGTGAGTTTAAAGATCTGCACTGAGGACCTGACCTTGGATATCGGGACGTAGAAGTTGAGGTTGAGGGCCAAGATTGCGCGTGAAAGCAGCACGACGAAGACCGAGAAGGCCGCGTTCTCAAAATCTGTCATCTGGACCTCCATAGAGCGGAATTCCACCCGCCAGCCGATCGGCGAGTTGACCGGCGGGGGCTTGAAACGGACAGTTTGCCAATTCGTGGATTGGATATTCTTGCAAGCGAGTCAGAAAGGGGGAAGCGCGAAATGCACGCAGACCACACACTTCGAAGTGGTCGTTACTGGCTGTATCATCCTGGTCGATAGTTTCCGAGAAAATGACGATAGGGTCACGAATGAACAAGTGAGCAACATGTTTCGCAAGTGGGTCGTCAATGCCTATAGGGAAGGAGGCTGAGTATGTGTGCTGATATATCGGCTAGCCAACGTCTCACCATGCTTCCGCAAGCGGTCAAAAATCGCCTCGTCGTGAGGGGCATAAATATCATTATATTCCGGCCTGTTTGTCCAGTGGTCGGAAATGTACAGACTGACGCTGCTGTAGCGAGACTTCGGTATCCTGAACCGGTTCTCTTTCAGCGGCTACAGCAAAATCAGCGCCGCGTTCACGCCGGGGTTTGTTAGACTTCATTACCTTCAGTCCGCGCTCTTCCTCCGTGCGATCGTCGACGCACGCAGATATCACATCCCAGCGGCAGTCGACGTCAGCAATGTAGCCGCGCCATAGCGGACTAGCCGCCGTGAGCGCTAACTGCCCGTACATTAATATTCTGCGTTGACATATTGATAAATCCGGTGACAGACCATGAGGGGAGCAATGGGGACAAGGGCATCGTACAGCCGCCTGGCTTCGGTCACGTTGCACGATTGGAACGTGATTTGAAGACAGCAACAGCCCATGCCGAACCCCATGGCATCCATGTAAATGTGATCGAGGAGCGCGGCTCCCCGCTTCGCCTCTGGTACCCGCAATTAGATCGGTTCGGGACGAGAAGGCCAATACCGAACCTGGATCCTCAGGATATATGCTCCGCTGCCAGGGGATTGCGGGATCGACAAATGGCTTGGGGGTGTTATCATCAATGAACAGGGGAAGGTTGATCGCAACCTTCGACCCGCGCCGTCGCCGAATATTTGCCGTCAGGGTCCTGTGAAGTACATTGCTTGTGACACGTAAGAATAGCGTTCGTATACGGCCACTGACGGGAAGCGTGCGTGAGGGTTTGTTATTTCCTCAGGCAGGAATAGACTGTGGCTCGAGACCGCGTCCGCAGGGTCGCAGTATGGTTCTGTGAAAACACCGGGAACACCCAGCCGAGGGAATGAGGTCAGGGTGAAGGGAATCTCATCCTGCTTCAGATATTTGCGAGCCAGCCGCCGTCTAGCAGAAGTCAGTGACCCAAGACAATGTTAAGCTCAGGAAAATTTACCTATAACGCATGTCACTCTCCACCGACAGCAGGTCAGTGAGAGACCCGGTGTATGGCGATCCTGGTGTAGACTCGAGCATGTAACGCCCATATTCGGGGTGAAAGGTCGGGACCGAGTCTCTGGAAAGGACGTTTAACGGTAGGCATATTTCATGAAGCAGCAACTAAAACGTACGATTCACCACGGTCGGAGGCTATGTCATTGGTGATGGAGGTGAGTTTCGCGAGTATCTCCGTTTGGCGCAGAGACAATTTCGCGTTCTTTGCGTCATTGTCGAACGAAATGACCATATACTCGATCTTGAAGAGTATAACCACGAAGGGTGGCCATGGTGAGAATGCCAGGACAGAGCACAGGGGTCAAAATACCTCGTCTCCCCACAGCAGCTCGTCCCCGCATCGATCCTTGAGACGGCTCCAGATATTGAGAAACTGAGTTATGCCGTGCGTCCTGACGTGATCGGCGTGCTGTTTGGCGTCATCCCAGGCGAGAGGAGTGCCCAACGAGAGGAGACCCATGAGTAAGACGAGCGAGGGAGTCGAGTAACGGAGGCTCCTGTCACCCGCTCTGGTTCCCTGTGATAGTTCAGGCCAGGATCCGTCAAATTATAAACCCAGCGTTTTATGACCAACGCGCTTTGAGACCGAGGACTTTCTTACCAATCCGTTCAGTGCAGTCGATCGGGTCAATGTAACAAATCGGTCCGATCAGGGACTCGGGAATTTTCACCTTCCCGTCATTTTATACTCGTCTGCTGCCTCGCTGGATCATCCGTCACGAGTGCCGCTGCACCTTGTTGCGCGAATTGCACAAGCAGACACGGAGTTTGAGTATTTGACGGTAGCCGGAGACAGCAACAGCACACTCAGGCAAGATCCAGCGGTACGGCTTCTCGAAGTTCCGTACACACGCTGTCTACACGTTGCGCAACCACGTACATGAGATCCTGGGTATACATATTAATATTAACAACCTAAATTACTGCTACAAGTGTCCCTCGTCACATGGTGCCAAGTGGATAGCTTGATTGTCGACCGGATTGCCAACTCGCAGAACACACTACCTATCAGTGACGACAAGATCCCCTGAACATGAGACGCGATATCGGCATTTAACCATTGCTTCCATTCGTCGTCCATTTCAAAAGGATTTTGAGAGCGAGTAATACATGCCGCAGAGCACGGGTCCATGCCTCTTCCTGGCTGAATTGTAGCTTAACCGAAGCTTCGCCTATCTTGTCTTTGAGAATCCTAGGATTGTGAGAAGTAGGAAATCGATGAGTGAGATACAGAAGCACAATCTTGTATCACTCACTGATGTGGGAAATCGACCTGAGCATCTTGCGACTTGACATAGTCGACCAATTGCTTCAAGCAGTCCAGGAACGCAACCATGGCAAAATCGAAACGTCGGTTGTGTAGTAAACGTCCGAGATGCAGGTCGCCGGAGCCGTACAGCTCATACGTCGCCTTGTCTCCAGTGGTTCTCTCGATGCGGGAGAAGGAGCCCATGGGAATCAAGTGGTAGCTGTATAGCGATAATTCATGACAGCTCGTGCGTAGGAGCGTGACACTCACTTCTCGAACGTGAAATCGAGCTTCCTGGCAATAGTATAGAGCAGAAGCAGCGTCTGGCCCCAAGCAGCATTGATTTCTGCCCATTCTACCTGCACTAGTGTCAGAAAACGGGGCCCGACACACGGTAGCTAAAGCACTGACCGGAACGCCAGGCACTCGACCAAGCCTGAGGCCATTGATTGTGCCGAACACACCTTCATGACCGATGCAGAAAGCGTCGTTGTAGACATTTGTCCGCTCGAGCTTCTCAAGGGTAGCAGAATCCGCAGCGTACGCCGCCCGAAGAGCGGCGAGTTGTGAGGCTTGTTCTGCGGATTTGAGCAGATGTGCATTGTGCACGCGCCAGAACCTGCAATGTGACAGTAAACGCACAATCAACTACGCGTTGCTCATGAACTGACTCAGCCTCTTCTTCCTCTAGCACTTTCTCCTCCAACTCGAGGGCTCGTAACTCCTCGGCTAATTGTTCTCTTTCCCGCTCGGCGGCCTGGAGCTTCTCGACTGCCAAGCGCTCCTCCTCCTTGAGTCTGAGAATTTTGTGCTCTGCCTCTTCTTTACTCATGCCTTCCCCTTCGCGCTCTTTTTCCTTGCGCACATCTTTTTCAAACGCAATGTAACCGTCCCTCTCTTTCTTCGTCTCTTCTAGCTGCCGTGTCAAGTTCGTCAACAGAATATCCGTGCATTCAGCGCACAGCGGATGATCAAGCTCAGTTCGACTAGAGAGGAGATTAAAGAGGCGTTGCGTAGACCGCAAGTGGTGGGATAACGGCGACGGGTTCGGATGAGTAGCAACCTCCTGAGCGGGAGCCGGTGGCGCAGCCGGGGGAATGCTGTTCCTGCTTCTCGCGTATGACGCTTTCTTCGTATGTGAAGGGGTGGGGAGAGGGGAGGGAATATTGCGCACGATGCTGTCTTGGAGCAGCACAAACGACTCATTTGGCTGCACGACCGCGCGTGGCGGCTGCCTTCTCGGCGTACGCGGAGATAATGATGAAGGGGACGATGGCCTGTTCTGAACGGACTGCTGCCAGGCTGCCTTTACAGATGCAGGTGCAGGGAGCTGAGCGAACTTCTCGGATTCCGAGGAAGGGAGCCCGTAAGCTGATGGCGTCGGCGGTAAAGACGCAGCTACCATGTCATATGCGGACGGAGAGAGATCGACAAGTGACGTATCGAGCTAAGTAGTAGCACTGTTAGATGGAGGCACACCACGCAGCTACGCAAGGCGTACCTGCAGGGGTTGCTTGCATTGTTGACATACGAAGTTCATGACTGGGGTATCCCGGGAGTCAGCATTCATTAAGGGATGCGATCAAATAATGGTTCGAAATCACAGTGCGTATTTGTTTCTGGTCCTTGGTGTATCCACTGGCGGTAAGCTCTCGTGCTCTGTGGTTTGTACCTGTCGGCGACAGTGCTTCAAGTTGAGCAAACGTAAATGGAATGTGTACTCGTTATAGGCGAGATCTTCTGGATACAAGACAGTAATCGGGAGAGTTAACTGGAAGCTCTGAATCTGTTTCATGCACTGCAGTACAGTATTGCGAGAGTCCGAGTCGATCGCGCCGGCGGCAGACGCGGGGTATTGATCACGTGCCTCGCGCCTGCGCTGCGATCCCTTGCGGTCCGGATGTTGTTGAACTCGGCCTATCTCTGGCTTTCTGCTACGAGCAATGATGATATACGCCACGATGTCTTGAATTCTTCGAGTCATCTCCACGCTGGTTTGACTTGTACCCTGTCGGGCGACTTGCTGCGCGAAACTCCAGTGGCTTCTCAGGATTAAGTTGACGACTCCATTGACAAGCTGGCGTCATGAAAGCTGTTCGCCATTGGCTTCCCTCGACCTCGACCGGCCCGCTTTCATAAGACATGTGTGTGGTATGCTCGTGGAAGACGTGTGTGATGACGAGCGGGCGTCGCCCTCAATTTGACGCTGTCTCTGATGTTATCCGCATTCACATCTAGGGGACGTCCGCACTCCGGCAGGGTCGGTTGCAGATCCTTAAACGCAAACAGCCTGTGACCGGCGCGGGTGACAAAACCGCTCATTGCCGTTGTAGGGGCGATGTTGACGAGGTCCACACCTTCCCTGCGTAGACCGCATGCATTGACTTCACCTCCCTGCTCCAGTCCGTCCGGATTTACTCCGATATGGCATCCTCTTGCAGCGAATTTATCTCCATCGCAGGATGCGCGTCCTTGGTACCGAACAACGTGCTCCACCTCGTGGTAATTCGAAATGAATGGTGAATGCGTACGTCGTACATGATGGTCCATAATCGTGAGGATAGGTATAAAACCTGCCCCTGGACGCTGGGGGAAGAACATGCCCACCCTCCACTCCTTCCATCTGTATCTGACCGGGTACGCTTGTCTGCTATTCGCATGTATAAAGCTGACGCTTGTCTTAGCGCCGCTCATAATGACAACCCGCGTATTCGCTCTCATCATTGGCATAGACAAATACAAGTCCGGCGGCATATGGAATCTCGAATCTAGCGTTGACGATGCAAAGAATATCAAGCATTGGCTAACGCATGACCTTCATGTTCCCCGCGACCAGGTCTGTCTCCTTCTCGATGCCGAGGCTACGAAGCGGAAGATCGAGGACAAGTTCACGAGCCATCTGCTCCGAAACCCCGCTATTGAGCCCGGTGACGCCATTCTGGTCTACTTCGCAGGGCACGGAAGCAGGATGCGCTCACCGCCTGGATGGTTCGAGAACGGCAAGGGCGAGGTCGAAATGCTGTGCCCGTATGATCACGACACGAGGTCTGGGGAGGGTCGAATCGCCGGGATCTCAGACCGTTCATTGCACACGATGCTGCGCGAACTCTGTCAAGCTAAGGGCGATAACGTCACTCTCATGCTGGATACTTGTTTCTCGCCTCCCCGTACTGCGGAGGGGTCTCGGAACCGGAGTCATGTCCGATTCTCACCCACTTTGAAAGCATCCCCAGACGATCTTCTCTCTGGACTCTGGAGGAGCGCCACCTCCGACAAGAATCAGCACAGCGCCAGCCGAGGGTTCACAGCGACTAGCCACAGCACTCATGTCGTCTTTGCCGCGTGTGGAGCGGGGTGGGTCGCGACAGAGGGGAAGGCTGGCGGTAACTTCACATCGTCACTGATGGCATTAAAGGATCGAATAGCCCTTCACAAGTTCACGTACACCGACATGGCTTCCGAAGTCGCTGCGCTCATGGACGACCACCAGCAAGCAGTCTCGCTGGGGAGGCATGTCGATCGCGTTTTATTCGATGAAGTACCCTTCCTTCCTGATGCGCGCTACGTGTCGGTCGACATCTATGATCACGAGAAGCTACGAATCGACGCTGGCGCGATCCATGGCATCATGGAAGGCTCGGAATTTAGCATCCACCAACACAACCACCGCGGTTCCCTCAACCCCGTCCTCGCAACCTACTCAGCCATTGAGGTGTACCCTACCTGGTGCGTCGCGCGATGCACCTCCTCTATCAAGGGCATAACCCGGCAAGGTTGGGCGCGCGTCACAAGGTGGAATAATCGAACCCCGTTCCGTGTGCATATACGACAATCCCTCCTCTCCCTCTTTCGACGTTGCCACCTTCGGAAGGCTATACCCACGGATGCCGAGAAGCCCTCCTCACGCTCAGAGACAAACATGCTGCGGGTGAGAAGCGCGACTCAAGCGGATATGTCAGTCCAATTGCGGCGCCGCGAGCTCGTCGTAGAGCGACATGACCCCCTTATCGCGGCCAACTGTCGCCGAATTATTCAGCTTCCAAGCCGGCGAGCCAGCAGCGATCTCAAGATCATCGACGATGCTGCACGCTTTCACTTGCACCTGCATAGAAGAAACCCGGAGAGACCCTTACGCGGGCTCGTGAGTATGGAGATCTTTCAGCTTGACGCGTCCACCTGGACGCGCATCAGCGGTAATTTGCTGGTGAATGGCAAAGCGGAGATCGTCTATGACGAGAAGGCCACGCTCTACACCATCGTGCTTCATAATCGCTCGGACTATGACCTCTGGCCGTATCTCGCGTATATGGATGCGACGGGGTATGGTATCAGCATGATCTGCCACCCGGATCTGTCTTCATCCACTGATCCACCGTTTCGCAAGCATTCGCAGATGGCCGTAGGAGAAGACCCGGACGACAGTGCGTTCACGTTCGCGCTGGGAGACGGCGCTGAGGTCGGGGCAGGGTTTTTAAAGCTCTTCGTGTCCTCCACGTTCACTCCTATGACGTTCATCGAACAAGGCCCCCCGTCGGTCGCGTCCAAAGTCCCGCGCATGCGGAAAGCACGGGACACGCAGCCCACCCAGACGGATCTGTGGGACTCCGTCATGGCCTGTATTACGGTAGTCCGCAAGTCCGGCAGGGAAAGATAACCTACGTTGACTCCGGTCGTCGATCTATGGTAATTATTGGTATCCCGGGCCTGATGCACCGATGCATCTATTAAGTCGCCAAGTTGTTTATGGAAATGGGGGCGATGCGCCATTTATTATTTGTCATGTTATCTGCGCTGTTTATCTACCTCGCCGTTATCTGCTCTCCCTGCTCTCGCGTTTACAGTCTCCTATTTTCGTAATCTAAAGCAGTGTTCGAAACCGCTGGTGCATGTCCTTTCCGATCACGAAGCGCACAGGGCATCCAGACAAACATGTACAAACAGAAGCGCTCGATAAATTTCTCGTTTCTCATCGTCCATTCGTGTGCTTCTGGCTTATCACCGACCGTCTTACAGGTGAGCAATTGTTTTGATTCTCTTCTGACCCGTTCAGAATTTTTTGCAAAGACGAGTGTTGTATCTACAACCACAACTGGCACCTCTTAGTCGACTCGGCCACTGGTTGGGGCTTTGCTCTACTGGTGGATCGCTGACATGAATGGCTTTCTGAGCTTCTCTTATTTTTCTTCCTTCGCGACCTCGGTTTTGCTCTGATGCTCATACCACCTTCTTTATAGCTCGTCGGAGTATTGTCATCAGTTCCAGTGAAGAAGTTCCTAGGGGGAATTATTACGGGTCGTGGAGTTAGAGTTCTCGCGCAGTTCAAAGTCACTTGGTACCTGTCACTTGGCAGTTTATCGGACTGTTCACAGCTTCTGCGCTATCGCTACCTACTTATCTTGCAATGCGAGTATATCTTGAGCTAGATCGCGGTGCGCCCTATAGTTGTGTTTCCTATCCCCAATCTCGCCGAATTGTGCTCTGTACCGAGTCTGCATAAGTCATGACCGTCGATTGGAAGGAGCTCGTTGCGGACAAACGCCGACGACAGCAAGAAACAATCCCCAAGGATTGGCTAATTGGCTGCCCGCCAGACACGGTGCTCGACGTCACAGCTATTCCGGAACAGTGTGGGCTACTATCCGAGAGGGAGCTGCAGATCACCAACACGGTGGATGTAGCGGTTCTGCTGCAGAAACTGCACTCGGCCGAATGGTCTGCTGTGGAAGTGACGACGGCGTTCTATAAGCGGGCGATCATCGCCCACCAGTTGGTAATTTATCCTTACGACATCGCTCGAGTGAAGTCGCTGATCAGATCCTACCTAATAGGTAAATTGTCTGACGGAGATCTTCGTTGGCCGAGCGTTGGCCCGTGCAGCCGAGTTAGATGAACACCTGAAGACCACCGGCAAGGTCGTCGGACCATTACATGGCCTGCCTATTTCGCTGAAGGACCAGATATGTTTGAAGGGTCTTGAGACCACGATGGGTAAAGCATATACCCCATGGTGGATGCAGCCGCTCTCACAACATTGACATTATCATAGGATACGCATCCTGGATAGGCAAATACGCTGACAAGGATGCGGCTCTCGTCGAGGTCTTGTACGAGTGTGGTGCCGTCCCCTTCGTGAGGACCAACGTCCCACAAACGCTCATGGTAGGATTCAGCTCATTAGTGCATATTCTTCAGCTTTGAACCCACACCATTTCGTTAGTGGGCAGAGACCTATAACGTAGTTTTTGGTCGGACTTCCAATCCTGCCAATCGCAACCTCACCTGTGGTGGCTCTTCTGGGGGTGAGGGCGCACTGATACATCTCAAGGGAAGTCTGCTTGGCGTCGGTTCAGATATTGGAGGGTACGCACCTTACGCAATAGAGTCGAGCAAGTGATCTAATGAGACTTTCAGCTCAATCCGCATTCCGGCCCTTTTTAATGGTCTTTATGCACTACGACCGTCTTATGGACGGGTCCCATATCAAGGCGCTGTTAATTCAATGTATGGACAAGACTCGATCCCGTCGGTTTTGGGCCCATTGTCCAACAGCCTCAGCGGTATCCAAATATTTATGCAAGCCGTCATCGGACAAAAACCGTGGCTGAAGGATCCACTCGCCGTGAGGAAGAAGTGGGACACCGAGGAGTATGCGCTTGCGGAGCATGGCGGAGGACAGCAGCTCTGCTTTGCCATAATGTGGAATGATGGGATCGTCGTTCCACACCCACCTATAATCAGAGCACTCGAAACAACGAGAGAGGCCCTGCTCCGTGCAGGACACAAAGGTAAGCGAGCGAAGTGAATCGCGGAGCAGGCCTTGACCCAACTCGCAGTAATCGACTGGCAACCTCTAAAACATCTCGAGCTTGGCGACGCAATCGTGCGTTTCCAACAAACGAGGGTTGGCAGACCATTGCTGATCATAAGCCCAGGCTGCTATCTGGAAAGCCGGTGCGAGTGAAGACTTCAAAGCAACGACTGCCCTAACGGGAGAGCCTGTCATCATGTCCATGAGCCCGGTCGATGGCGCTGGCCCTGGAGATCCTTCTGTTAGGCCGGACGCTGTGGGCATGACCGCCTATCAACTATGGCAGATCCAGAAAGCGAGGGCGGATCTACGCAAGGAGTACTTGGACCACTGGCAGAAGACCGTTGACACAACAGGAACAGGGCGACCTGTCGATGCAATCATTTCGCCGGGCGCACCCTTTGCGGCTCCTCCGCACGGGAAGAATTTGTGCGTGATTGCCATGGTTGTACTGGTTTCATAACGCTTCATGGCATTTATAGCTACTCGAATTACACGAAGGTATTCAACGCCCTGGATTACAGCGCGTGCATCTTCCCTGTGACTAGGGTCGATGTGACGAAGGATGTCAAAAAGCCTGCGCACACGTTCCTGAGTAATTTGGATGAGACTAACTATAACCTTTGTACGTTATTTCATTACGGAGATTTGTCCCTTTCACCTTAACTAACTTGTACAAACAGACGATCCTGTCGTCTTCCAGAATGCTCCTGTCGGACTGCAGCTTGTCGGTCGTACACTGGAGGAAGAAGCTGTCATCGCAATGACGGAGATTGTTGATACGGCACTAAAAGCGGGCAGTGCTGCCTGAGACACAGATCATGATGTGCGGACAAACCAAGTGTACTTCTAAGTTGTTGTGCTCTACGCGTTTTTCCTGTTCCATTTGACTGAGCAGTTTCGATGGAGACGTGACGTACCGGCTTTGATGATAAGTATACCATTTCAGATGACTCTTTACCTTTCGCAATATTTCAAATGAACATGATCGTGCTTCAACATCTTTCCGAGTTGTAGTTTCGACGCGACTGAGTGGCGCGCCACTCATAACATCGCGCACGTGAAAGTCACGCCCCCGTGACGTGCAGGCCTTGCTGAAACATGGCTGAAACCTGGTGAGAGCCACCGGAAATCAATCGACTCCGGAACCACGACGACATAAGCTCGGCGTTACGCTCGCACCGTCTACTGTGGAGAATCTGGATATATAAAACTCGGTATTCCATGCGTGTAAATGTGCATTGTTCATATCATCCGGCCAACTAATGCCTCTCGACGAGAAACCACCCAACCCATCCCCTGATACGGATAGTCTCGTGAAGCGGCTCGCCGGTCCTTCAACCACCAAGGCAGGGTATGTACTAATACCTGGACGCCATCCCAAACTTCTCACATTCTAGTTCCGACGCATGTCAGTCTCGCGAAAGACCAGTCCGAGATTAATCGCGTGATTGCAGAGGCTTCCAAGGGCTCTAAGTTCTATGAGGTACGCATAACAGCAGGTATCAGACAGCTGTGTTGCGACAAGTCATTCGTAGAATGAGAAGCGCAAGGATAAAGACCTCACAGAGCGAATTGCTCGTATATTGAAGCATCGCGACGAGGTCCTCAAAAGTGTCGACGTCCGTGAGTCCACTAGCAGTGCGCGTCGAAGCAGCCTTGGAATGTAAATCTTCTCACTACCATAGGTAGCGTAGAACATGAGGTGGACAAACTCGTAAGTTGATAGTACAGAACCCGTACAGATCGCTGACAGCAAACGCAAGTTGGTGAAGCTGGAATCACAAAGGGATCTGTCGCAGACGATCGTGCATGTTGATATGGACGCCTTTTATGCCAGTGTCGAGCTATTGGATGATCCTTCTCTCGAAGGGAAAGCATTTGGTGTACGTTGGTCCTGTTGTGTCCCTGGCGTATGCATCTTACTTGTAGTCCGTATTTGAAAGGTGGGCAAAGGCGTGTTGACAACAGCGTCTTACGAAGCGAGGAAGTATGGCGTGCGCTCCGGAATGCCATGTGAGTGGCCATAGCTGCTGTAGCATGACCTTCTCTGAAAATACTGCACTAGCCTTCATAGCCAAGAAATTGTGTCCTGACCTAATCCTCGTGGAGAACCACTTCCATCGCTATATGGAGCTATCTAAGAAAGTGATGAACATATTCCGGCGGTATGATCCCAGCATGTGCGCTGCGGGCTGCGACGAGGGGTATCTTAAGTGAGGATCTCTATATTATCTGTACCCTTAGACCTGATACCAAATATGTCTGACTGATGTTCCTTTGCCAGCATTACTGCCTATTGCAGAGATCAACAACTGATCGCCGATGAATGCGTCCGGCAAATGAGGGAGACTGTCTACCAGGAGACGAAGCTCACCGTCAGTGCGGGCATCGCGCCCAACAAGGTAGGCCATTGCATGGCGTGTGCTAAAGGTTGAGCTCGGTTGATCGCGTGTACTCTAGATGCTGGCCAAGGCAGGTGTAGTTCTCTTGGTTGTGGACTCGACCTCATTCTAACGTAACGTAGATATGTTCGGACAAGGTTGTTCACGCGTGCATGCTACCATCGATAAAGTCTCAATTACTCTGATAGAACAAACCGAACGGTCAATTCACGCTCGATTTTGAGCCTCGAGCGATCAAAGCATTCATGCGCAATTTGTCTATTCGCAAAATCCCTGGGGTCGGACGTGTCAACGAGCGTCTGCTCGATTCTATAGGGATTAAGGTACGTGTTTATGGAAACAAGCAGGTGCAGGCTGTCAGTGCAGCTCGAGACTGATTATCCCATTCGTTTTGGACGTGCAGACATGTGGCGACATCTACACGCATCGAGTGGTAGTGTCCTTGATGGACAAGGAGTTTGGCCTCCAGTTCCTTCTGCAGACCTACCTTGGCATCGCTTCGAACGTGGTCCAGCCTGGGCAACGGGAAGAGCGCAAGAGCATAGGGGCAGAGCGGTACGCTCAACTTGTTACATGACACCTTGTCACGCACCTCAAACTAATCCGAAATAGTACATTCCACCCTCTCGGGAATCAAGATGCCATCCTATGCAAACTTGAAGAGGTTGCTGCCGAATTGGAGAGTGACATGACATCAGGAGGCTGGACCGGGAAAACGGTCACGCTGAAATTCAAATTAGATACATATCAAGGTGGGCCTCACGCTGCAGACCAGTTGTCTATTCGTTTCTGATATATATGCGTACCACACAGTTTTTACCCGTGCAAAGTCATTCGACAGGTGGGTATCCACGAAAAAGGAAGATCTATACGCAGTGAGTTCATTGCAATGCCTGATGTCATTTGTTTCTATATTTATGCGACGTATGCAATCTGTTGATTGGAAAAGAGCTCCTAATGCCAGAAATGCCTCTTACATTGCGACTAATCGGTCTCAGAGTGACCAAGTTAAAGGACTTGAGGGTTGAATCTGAAAAGAAGGCGAGTGGCATTAAAAGAGTACGGCCCCCCAGCACACGACAGTATGCCATTGCTTATTGTATCCACTCCTCATTCATGACAGTTCTTCCAATCTGCCAACGAGACATCTCCACCTAGAAAGAAGCAACGTGTTGAGACCGAACCCAGCGATGACGAGGAGCTACGTCTTTCCCAGGATGGCTTCGAGGATTCTATGCCCGGGTTCCATGAACATGATGTCGATGAAAGCGAGCTATCCATGCTGCAATCGAATAGTGTGGTAGACCGTGGCGAGTGTATCGGCGAGCGCCCCGTCTCAAGTGACGGGACAACAGTTAGCCAACATGGTGGTAGTACTGCAACCGCTCGGGGCTCGTCGGCTCCTCCAAAATCAGTGACATCCCCGCTAAACGCGCTCGCCTCGGGTCCAGGGCAGAAGCACGCATCTCGGAAACCTCGTAGCACTGTATTACCGTCGCCAGCATCACGATCCCCCAGCGAGGGTTCCAGGCCGAGGCCCCACTCGTCACATAAGGTGGCTTCTCTGCCTCAACCGACAGAAGACCTGAGTATGCAGACGTGTCCGATCTGTGGCAAATCAATGCGAACGGACAATCAAGGCCTCAACGCACATATTGACTTCTGCTTGAGCAAAGATGCCATCCGCGAGGCTCAGGCGTCCTCTTCCGCACCGTCGCCCAAGAAGTCGATGATCAAACCCAAGAGCAATGCCGCCAGTGGAAGCAAGGGTGTTCGCGGGCGGAAGTAGCGAGGCCTTCTGCAGTGAGGCGAGGCGTGGGACGTTTTCTTTGGGCTCGGGTGCGATTAACTTATGTTAGAGATGTGTAGTGTATGTGTAATCTTTACTGTAAACCTACTTATGACTGCACGCAAGGTGGACACCAATTACAAATTTGCTCATACGTCACTCGCTTAGTATGCATGTCCACTCATATGGCATAAACATCGGCTTCATCATCATAAACGCACGATACTGAAAGGTCGACAGGACGCTTATATGCCGCGGGCCACTAGTAATGAGTCGTCGCCGACTCACAGTCGCGACTGAGACACGGTCACTTGACCGCGTTTGAATGCGTGACATGATGCACTCGGTTTATGACGTTGCGTCACAAGTCAAGTGTCACACCTGATCGACCCCGACCACGATGAGCGAATACTGGGTCTCGCACAAGAAGTACTTCTGCAAGTACTGCAACATTTACATCGCGGACGATGCTCCCTCGCGTCGGCAACATGAGAGCGGTTTGCGGCACAAGGGTAATGTGGAGCGTTTCGTGAGGGGGCTGTACAAGGAGGGCGAGAAACGCAAGCAGGATCGCGAGGAGGAGAAGCGGGATATGGCACGGGTCGAGCAGGCAAGCCCTACCCTTTGCTTCTGCTCTTTGACACTGACTTGTGCACGTAGGCCGCACAAGCGGCATTCGCGCGAGACGTGAGCGCCGGCTTGGTGAAACCAGGGAGCAGCGGCGCACCGGTCGCCTCGAGTTCCTCAGCAACTCAAAAGCCCGCACCGAAGCCCAGCAATCCGTTCGCCGACTACTCTACCGCGGAGTCCCTAGGCTATACGGATCCCGATGCAGAGCGGTTGAATGCAGAAGCCGAACGCCGGCGCACGCAGGGCGTCGCAGGCGAGTGGGAGGTAATCTCTGTCTCCGAGCCAACTCCGGGCGAGGCAGAAGCGCATACCGTTGCCGCAGGAGCAGACGGTGCAGTTGGACAGAAGCGCGAGGCGGAGCTACCGCCGGACGAAGACGACACGCGGCGGTTCAAATTGCGCCGGAAGACAGTAGGGGTGGGGCTCGGGGAGATCTACGACCCTGGCCTCATTCCAATCAAAGTGAAGAAGAAAGAGGAAACGCCAGATGCCCTTCCGCCACCAGGCGGTGGCAAAGCTCAAGACAGCGTAGGATCGACCGCAGGTGCTACGGGCGCGACAGAGATGCCGAAATGGTCCGCGAGAGGATGGAAAAAGCCCGGGGAGCGTATAGAGAAGCCTACCCCGGTTAATGAGGAAGTCGAAGCACAGGCAGGTGGTATGCATGTTGATGCCCAAATCGAGGGGCGCCAGCAGGTCAAAGCAGGGGAATCCGCCCTGCCACCAATCTCGGAACTGGCCCCGGGCGAAGGGCCTCCAGCTTCTGCAAAGACTGAGGATATCCCAATCAAGCCGGAGGAGGTCGTTGTCAAGTTAGAAGCGAAGGAGACTGAGACTGCGACCCCAGCTACTGGTTTCTTCCGCAAACGAAAGCTGCCGGCTGGCGGAGCAAGCAGTCGCGGTAGACGAACATGATGCATGAAGGAAGGGGGCGATCTATATACCTCAGATGCCGCATGTCGGTCGTCAGTATGCCGTGCCAGTGCGCAAGTTTCGTTCTGTTCTATTGACCAAATGTATTCAAATACAACAACAGGACACATGTGGTAGCAGACCGTCAGCAACACATGCGCATGCCACTACACCGGATGTGACCTCTAACTGTCCCTCCTTGGACGAGCTGTCATCTGCACTGCTAGACGCTCTGCCAGTGGTAACGCTGGAGATTAACTTTAGGGGTTGGGTCGTTCCTTAGAGAGCGGTGGCTTCACTGCTCATGGGTATCTCCATCCTATGTGTGATTGGTATGTCGCGGCCATACATGGTGGCTGGGGCAGCGACTTTCACCCAGATACTCGCATCAGACTTGCTTGCAGAACTTGAGCAGAATACCTGAATCATATATCTCTGCTTATGAGTTATCGGAGCCTTTGTGAAACATAGCCCAATGGAGGTTGTCTGCCCGAGTCAAAGTGTCGGATCGGAAGTAGGAGTGCAGAGCGGCATCAGCGCGGATAGCTGAGGGACCCCGCACAGGTTGCCTCAGACCTGCTCCTTATCCCCCCCCCCCCTCCCGTCTCCTTCGCTCACACAGTCATGGAACGCTCAGTTGCTGTTCAGTCCCTTTCTACCGGTCCTGCGCAGGCCCCCACCAGTGTGGACAAGGTTGTTGGGCCAGTCCCAATGTCGTTCCCTGCGATATTGCGAGCGCCGGGACTGGCCGACCGATATGCGCATCTGCGAGTAGCAGTCGACAGAGCGCAGATCGTTGCGCCGTCTGTTCCTAAGAAGAACAAGCGAGACGACAAGGAAGGCAGGCGGTGGATCCGCCGGAAGGAGAACGGTTTGTGTCTCGCCTGCTTTCCCGACTGGCCCTAATCGCCTCGCACCCGCCTCGTGCCCGTGTATACACCTGATTTCCAGCTCGCTTCGCTGACAACCTCCACATCGTGCTCCCATCGAAGAGGGACTATGCTATTACCTCACCAAACAAGCAGCCCACTTTCCCTCATCCCCTCCCACACTACCTCTTGCGCAACAATGCTATCCCAGCTGCCGTTCCTGCAATCACTGAGCCCAGCTCTGCAAATGCAGGCCGTTTCTCGATGAGCCTAAAGGGCATGCGGCGAGAGCTGCGCAAGTCTGGGCCAAGAACAGAGCTCCTTGTCAAGGAAGTCGAAGGCGAGATCGTCTCCTGGCTGAAGGACGGAGGCGTTATGCTTTCCCCCGACGCTGCAGCAGAGGTGTGCTTCCCTGGTATCCCTGTGGGCAGCACCGAGGCGATCAAGGAGGTCTCGCGGACGCCCTTGCAGCTGGTCTGGTGGATTGCGGACGACGCATTCACGCGCTACGTCGTGCACTGTTGTGCTCGTTACCACGATGTAGTCAGCTTCAGTAAGTTTCGCCATCATGCCTTGTTTCCCAACTCTGACAGCTTCGCAGGCAAAGATACCTCCGGGCAGCGCCTCACATATCTGCTGCGTCCAAACGTGACTCGCCCTGACTACCACGCCCTAGCCAGTCTGGACACGCCGCCAGTCACAGACCTCTCGGAGGCCTCTCTGTCCGACTTCGATACCGAGTCCGACATCCTGTCCGACCGGGACTATCGCTCCGATACCGAGGCCGTACCTGGAGCCCGCGTCAGCCACCTCCGCGCTATCGAGGAGGCCTCTGCACCGTCCACACCCAGCCCTGCCGTCGTCAGCCTCCCAGCGGCACAGATAAGCGACGACGAGTGGTCCTTGATCGCCGATGCGGAGGCGGATGGCGAGGATAGCGAGGCGGAGCAGAATATATCCGCAGCAATGCGCAACACATTCTTAGGCGACATCGACCGTACTCCGCGCGCGGGACCGCGTATGGCGTCGCTCCGCTCACCTATGTGGGAGCGCCAGCGGCGTGCGGCGTCCTCCCCATCACGTTCGCCTGCACGGCGCATGCTGACACGGGCGCGTCGCGTAGAGCCCCCTCTCACGCAGTCCGAACGTTCCTTCTATGCCTATCTATTCAGTTGAGACACCCGTTTACCCGGTTTGTATGGTGCTACGAGGAGCGTAGATCGGATTTAGTACTATGGAACAGTATAGAACAAGTTTGTACAATTATCCAAATGTAGTCCATAAGTGAAATCTGCGAGAGATGTTTTTACATTATAATGATACGTGGTCCGTTCAACAGTGGCAAAGCAACACATGAAGGAAAAATCAGCCTGTAAATACTCGTGCGACGAGGTACATCGTGGAGCCAGAAAATCGCTGCGCATGATCTGTTAGTATCGAGCGCCTTGATATATGCACGCCAGAAGATGCTCACGACTGCAGTAGTGATGGCGACGAAAGCGAGGATGAATGTCATGTATGCCTTGGTACGGCCGAAAGAATCGCCGCTGTTGAATGTATTTACCGCGTCCCCACCGCCCAAAATCGCAACCAAAAGCACAGCCTATGAAACGGGATGTTAGCTTTACATAAACAGCCTCAAAGAAATGACAGAACATACGTTGGACAGCACCCAGCTCAGTAGTACCTGTGGTGCGCCATTAGCACTCACTATTCGCGTCATGAAGTGGCGAGACATACATTCGTGCGCACGTTCGCATAGTAGTCTTTAGCCGCCTGTTCCTTCTCGGCATCGCTGGGGCCGGCATTGTTCTTGATGACGGGCTTTTTGTGCTTGAGGTTGAGAAGCGATTCCTCGTAGATGCCATTGACGTCGGCGACATCGGTCAAAACCTCGACATCGACCTGAGAGTTGCTGTTCTGAATGACAGCCCCAAGGTCGGACTCAATTTCATTATCTTGCTTTGTGCCCCATGAGATCTGAAAGCGAGTGAGTAAATGACAGACAGCAGATCGAAGGGAGGCTTACGTCGTCGAGATTGGAAAAGGCGTATCTGAGATTTTAAATCAGTGTCTGATACATAGACGACGGGAAGATTGGTGCTGACATGTTGAGGATGTTAATGTACGTGGGCGACAGGAGGAGGTATGGGATAAAACTAGTGAAGATATGCCATGGATCCAGCGCGAACAAGCTGGAGAGCACGTAAACTAGATAATGCGCGTTGCGTGAGCAGATTTGACGCGTGCTGATGGTAATACGCTTACTGCCATAAGTGACAATGACACTGAACACCATGGTCGTATACGCGATACCCCCCGATCCCGCGGCCTGTACAGCAACCATGACCGCGCAGAAGATCAGGTAGACCATCAGGCACGCCAACATTATCGCCGAGAGCTTGTATTTCAACTGCGACCTAGAGCAGCAATCATGAGGGCTGATTGTGTGCAAGGGGTGACATTGCAGCTTACGCCTTCGGTTTGTTGCCCATTGAGAAGAGGAAGCACGCGACCACGATGCCTCCCATGACGAACTGTGTAAAGCATTCATCGAGTCGTGACAAGACTCTTAGTGTGCAACTATACCTGAACAATCATGTTGAAGTATTTGATCCCGGTCATGTGGAAGGCAGGGTTTTCCACAGATGACGTGAGTATAATCTAGTCCACCGGAAGATGAGAACTTAGCCACGTCTTTAAAAGTAATCACTCACGAAGAATAGATAGAAATTGCCCTAGAGTTATAGATTCAGCGTGTGCGGAGACGAAACAAACCCGCCAGACCCACGATTGCAAACCAAGCAGCAATGAGATTGATGACGTTGTAAATCGTCTGGAACACCAGAGAAACTTTACGGCTGAGGCTGTGGCCCGATTCCAAAATCTGACCGAGGTGGGCAACAGCGTATGTCGCAGCGAAGAAGGATCCATTCAGCCATCGTCTGCGCTGAGAAATGAACTCAGAAAGGGCGTCTGGGACATCGGTCTCAGCGATGGCGCTCTTGACGTATTTGAGCACCCTACGAAATGCAATAAGCAGCTATAAAATCTAGACATGTTGTAGGAGATGCCAACCAATTGGAGTTGGCTTTAGCTACGAGCTCAAAGCACAGGATACGCTAAACCGACAATAAGCGAGCGCCATGAAGCGTCATCCCATCGACTGGGAGAAGAACCTACATCTTCGGCAAGATCTACACAAATCGAAACCCCTTATTAGTACCCCTGCGCGATGCTTCGCTTGCGCACGTACACATGTTAGAAGTGAATATATCTGTATCGCGTCCGTGGAGGACTTCTCCTTTGAAGTAAGAGGCTAATGGCCCCTTGCCGCGTTTGTCGTTCTGCAACGCGATATACCTTCCTCCACGCTTCAGCATAGACGTCGTTTCATAACCGTCTGACAGACCCACCGGTAAGCAGAGAACGCTCCGGGCTGTCAAACCCGTGGTCAACCGTCATTTGGAGGGTTGCTCAAGACTCGGGACCTACCAATACACTGATATATCCGAACAGAGATTCCGTTGGCTTGTCGAGAATGTTGGCTATTTTGTACTCAAAGTTTTGGGCAGCCACTAGAAGATTCTCAGAGGATCAGTTCAACGACCTTTGCGTAACAGATCATCTAGGATACCTACCAAGCGGGTTCAACAGTGCTGACCACCGCTTGCCTTTGTAGGCAGCTATTTCTCCACAGGCCCCGGCCACATTCGAGTTCAAATCAAAAGCTTTCCACAAGTGATAGATGCTTTTAGGTATAGGCTGAGTACCAACGTCAAGCAACACGCATACATTAGGCTGCGGACGAGTCTCTTATCAGAAAAATATTACAACGATGTCGACAGGGACCCTACCTGCAACATAGAAGAAAATGCGTTGAAGAACCAACGATGGCTATTGATCTTCTTTTGGTTCTTCTCCTTCATACAGAAGAGAATTTGGGTGGGTACGATACCCTTGTCAGGATACTTGAAATGTAAAGAAGGGTCGAGGGCAAAAGACGTTGTGTATTCGAAGAGATGGGCGGTTACAGGCTTGTTGTTGATCATATTTTTCATATGATCACCAGGTTGATACACTCCAAGAAGGGTCAGACAATCCAAGACCCGAGGGTGGACCTTCTTGCGACCGTCCGCCACAATGCAGACAACGACCTGCGCATAGAGCGCTGTTAACATCGTGGCACAGATGCAGGACAAAAGTGGAGCAGACCTTTTTCCAAGCATCCTGTCCCCATGTTCGCGAATTCTTGCGCGAGCACAGATGTGCGACATTTTGCATGACCCCGTACATCGTGCGGCAAAATAGGACCTCGTCCTCCTGTGAGACAGTATGGTCAGAAATAGTCAGGTAAGTGCCGTTTTTCATGACCGACGTTATACATGGTGATGACAATGAATAATTCAGTCGTCCTGCCGCTCTCATTCTGCCTCAGGAAGAAACCGTTCTTCTCAAAGTCGTCCGGGTCGCATGTGACGGCCGTGTATCTCATCTTCATCATTTCCGGTTCCCCCTTTCTCGGCAGCACAAGCTTCGGAGGTACCTCCAAGTCGACTACGAGGTTACCATTAGTGAGTTGTACGCGCTTCTTCGTCTTATGGCGACGGAGGACGCGTCCTGTCGGAGCAGGCCCAAAATGACGGGTGTTCACCGGCGTATCTGGTTCAGTATAGGGCGAAGCAGCACTCGACAGCGAATGTTTCTCTACATCAAGATACTGAGCTCCATCGTCTTCTGAGTGAGGTTGATAGTACAACGAAGTCTGCTGCAGAGCAATTTTCTCTGGATCCTGGGAGTGTCGTTGAGGAGAGTAACCGGTGTAATGCACACTGTCGTTGCCGACTATCTGATAGTCCTCGTCGTCTACGGCGGGCGTCGGAGACCGGGAGCGCGGAGGGCGGTAAGACGCACGAGAATACATTCCCGAGGCATACGCCTCCGTGTCATGCCGGAAGTGGTCTAAATATGTCTGGGATCCGGTGTAGGATGTGTCTGGATCCTCAGGCTGGTAGACATGACCAGTGCTTTCGGTTTGCGTAGACAGTGCTGCTGAAATGGCACTATATGCCGAAGTAGGCCTGGAAGGCTGTTTCCAACCTGCTGGGGCTCGGGAGTAGTCCCAGCTGGAAGCAGGCGTGCTTCCATGGCTGGGTACGAGAGCCTGAGGCGTTGAAGAATCGACAAACGGGTCACTATCCCCTTGCCATTGGGACTCATCCCAGTCTAATGGTTCTCCAGATGTAATCGTCGGCAAAGAGGGCTGCCCCGGTGCTTGCGGTGGGTGAGACACTTTGGGTAGATAATCCTGGCGGTCGCTGTAGTACCGATCTGATTCAACATACGTGACCCCAGACGACACTGAGGATCTATCTGCAATGCTAACACTTTCCTCTGTGGCCTCGGGGACGGAGGGAAGTGACGGATTGTGTAGGGGAAAGGTTCTTGAGAGGCGTCGTTGTGTATCATGGACGGGTTGTTCGTCTGGAAGGTCATATTCTGTTTCGTAGGACTGATATGGCGCAGGAGCATCGGTCAGCGTGTATCGCCTAATGTTCTGCTCGTCAGCGTCATGCATGTCTTGTGGTTGTTGCACTTCGTTATTGTCGTGGATCAGAGCGTAGGACGGCGCCGGTTTGCGTCGGGCTGCCATATGTATTGGAGATGAACGAGCAATGCGTGATATTAGCTCTCACGTGTAAGAGAGCTAGCCCGAGAGACAGAAGGTTGACTGTCCGCGAGTTGGATGTCAGAACAGAGACTTGAACTAGGTGAACTACCTTCTCGATCGCGTCTCAACCGCAGTCGAACTAAGACGCGTTAGTCACGTGCTACGCGTATTCCCTGGGCCGTCACGGGCCCGCGCCAAGCAGGTGACGGCAAGGAACACTACTCAAGGCCTCAAATCGACCGCAGAGACACCACACAATGATACAAGTCTGATTACCACGGATGGGACAAGAAAGAAATTAATAAGGATAGACCATCACAAAGTTAAAACATCCACAGCGCAAAGCCACTACTTCTGCCGCGAAGGGGGCTCTATTCTCAGCTCCGCCTTCTGACGGTCCTTGTGCCTTCTTCGCCCTGTCTTCCGTAGAGCTTCTTCGAGGTCTTTCCAAATGATCATAGGTGGCCCATCTTCCTGCCTCTTCATCTTGAAGTCGATCTTGTACGCCCCCAGGAGGTTTGAGGGATGTCCGGGTCTCATGTTCAAAATACCGCCTGGGGGAACCTCCCGATCGCCATATCCTGCATGTTCTTGCCGATGAGCTGCTTTCAGATTCAAGCCGTGTTCAGGTCTTGTAATTTGCTCAATGCTTCGAAGTGGCTGGTGGCTGTCTTTCTCGTTCATTGACCGGTTGTTGGCCCCGCTTGGCCGACTAGTACTTGACCGCTCGTCCATTTGGCCAGTCTGTAGAAGTTGAGCATGGTGCGGTAACAATGTTGCTAAAGACCCGAGCGTACGCGCCCGGTTGCTGCCTTCTTGCGAGCTGGTACCGGTGTTTCCTTTCTTGTTTGACAATGCCAGCAAGGGATAGAAGCTCACGGCTGTCGGCTTGGCCTTTGGCGGCTGTCGAGATGCACCTCTAGCCTCCCATCTAGACCTCAACATCTCGTCATCATCAGCCTTCCGTTTCTTTCCCGCAATGGAAGGTGCAACTGAGGTGGATGCGCCTGAGCGTTTGTCAATCCTAGGAATTGTCGGCCTAGGATTCGGGACCTCAGCCACAACACGGTTGGTACGAGTCTGCTCATTGGTTGCGGATTGCTTAGTATTATTGGTCAATGATTGTGCACCATTCACGGCTTCGGCGGGATGCGCCGTCCGTGCTGAGGTCTTCCGTTTTTTCGGCGGGGGATCCATGGCTTCCGGGGAAGAGGACAGAGAAATGGCGCGTTTGGGGCGGTGGAGAGGCGCCGCAGAGGCAGACGCGAGCACATTGTTTGTTTTGTCTTCAGATTTCTTCTCGGGTTCAGCCTTTTGGCGCATAAAGGACGGCTTACGCCAGCCTTCAGGATCATGCAAGGGCAGGGAGTTCGACGGTTGAATGACTGCCAGGGTCGGAATCGCATGTTCGCGGGACGACACAATGTATTCTGACTGAATTTTCGACTGCACATGTGATGTGCGAGTGTCGAACGATCGGCGGACTGGCGATCGCGGTGGCGGCGAGGATGATGTATGAGACGCAGATTGGGTAGCACGGAAAGACTTCTCGTTCATAAACACGTCAGGACTAGATGGCGGCAACGGACCATCTGAGCTGAGGCTGCGCCCAGACAATATTGAAGCCTGAGAGATACGTTTACGCATTTGATCCGAGCGACGCGAGCTGATACTAACAAGCCTTTGCAGTGTCCCCGTGCGAGCACTCAATGGCGCCAGATGAAGAATGTCGACGGTGTCCTTTGAGCTCTCCTGTTGTCGATGGGCACCATATTTGTCAACCAGTTCCTTGGTCCTTGCATCATCAGAATCCAACTCCACGTCCGTATCTGAACCACGGTTGGCAGCCCGCGACCGATCCGCATTCGAGGATAGATCATCGTGGCCTACTTGGCCCAGTTCGTCTTCGTCGTCAGCGTCTTCACCCTCTATCTCGCTTTCACTGCCACTTTGGGCCTTGGGTGCGGGAGTAGATGGGACGTCAACACCAAGCACAGGCTGAGAACTGCTGGCTACTTCACCGCCAGGCCGACTGTCCTCGCAGTCATTAGTGTTCACAGCTCCTGACGCAGAAGGCACAATAGGATTTTCGACACATGCGATTGGTTGGCTGGCAGGAACGTCTGGAGCTTCCGCGTTAGCGGGTAGAGATACCTTCCCCGTTGGCCCTGATGGGGAAAGATGCGTCTCGTTCCGGAGCTGTGATAGCCCTTGGGATCGTGGCTGGGACTGGCCGTGTTCCTGAGACTGAGAAGCGTACGATAGCGACTGTAGGGAGTACCGCTGAGATTGGCTGTCTCTTTGTGAAGGCGAGCGCTGGGACTGAGCTTGAGACTGAGAAAGCGAGGCAGATGTGTCGGAGTTCGGGACAAGGATACGCCCGGGCCCAGACGCATCAAAGTCTGGGGAGAGATGTCCAAGGATAGGGAGAGGTACTCTCCGACGCGTCATGGGTGGACAGACTGGTCCTCGTTCTGAGCGGATAGCAGAGGAGAATGGGGCTACTGGTGCGGAGCTGGAGGGAACGTGTCCAAGGGATACCTCTTGCGCCGGAGAAGATAAAAGGATAGACCCACGCCTCTGAGCGGGAGGAGCAGAAGCAGGCGGTTCTAAAACACTATGATGTTGAGCCACAGCAGGCTGTTGCGCGCGGGCTGCCGCACGTTCAGGGGGCGAGGGAAATCGAAGAGAGGCTCGTGGCTTCTGCTGCAAGTTTGGCTGATTTACAAGGGATCGGCTCCGTCCTTCGTCGGGATCCTGCATCAACGCGTCGGGATCCGCCAACTCTATACGGCTGGGAGTCCCCCTGATAGAAGGCGACCAATGCGACGGCGTCGCGGGTACGGGTTCTTCCCGCTCATGCGTACTAGGACTCGTCCGCTCAGGTGTTCCAGGAATGCTAGATAAATCGAGCGGATCACGCCCTATGAAATAGCTGCTGTTAGAGACCGTGGGAGATCCGTTGTTGAGTACTCACTAGGCCTTTTTGGCAACGGCGCAGGGGAGTGAGCCAGGTCCAAGGGCGCCGGAGGGCAATCTACTGGCTGAGTCACTGTGGTTTCGATTTGGCCAGCCGGGTTGCTGGCTTCGTTGCCACCACTGTTGTCTAGAACAACTTTAGTTGGGTTTTTGTTTTCACAACGTGCAATCACACCCACCCTTCGTGTTCCGGAATGCATCGAAGAACTCCTGTGGAGGACGAATCTTCGGCCTCTTGAATACGAAAGACTATCTAACGTTGTCAGTGGGGAAGTGAGAAGAAAACGGGGCAAGACCTACACGCCAGCGTGCTTTCCAGGCTTTAATGGCATCAACCTCAGGTTCAGCGGGCTTAGGGACAGCTGCAGGTTTCGCAGGAGGTTTCTTATAGGCAGACTTCCTCGCGGCCACCCTGACTTTACGCGAGCTCTCCTTCATAGGCGATACATCAGACCTAACGGCTAGAGGCAGAGTACTGGCAGGGGCCGCTCCTGCCTGATTTCGCTCGGGTTCTTGTACCAGTTTCTTTAATTTCAGCACGTTACTAACAGGCGATGCCTAAGAACGTTGGGCATAGGAATGAGTCGTACGGGCTGAGAGACGCACCCACCGCCTCCGTCTTCTCGCAGACCTTTGACCCACTCTTGAATGTCCTGGTGACTCTCGATATCCTTTGGATCTCCCCAGACGGCCTCGTCGTATGAACCTAATAACTTGAAGGACCCGACATCCAGAGCCAGGTGCTGTGTAGAAGACATGCCTCGGTCGCCTCCCTTTGGTAAACGTGCAAAGAAAGGACGAAAGTTCTTGAGCGTTATCAAGGCCGTTTTATGCTGTGTGACTGATTTTCCCTTGAAGATTGGGTCCCTGGAGGTGAAAAAAGCCACACGTCAGTCAGTGTATGTAGCCCAGAAGTCATAAAGCATCAAGGCAAGGCCCCTTCGCCCTGGTTCGGGAGTAAAGTAACAGTTGCAACCATCTCTAAGAGATGCTACGAACATGGATTGACCCTGATGATCGATCGGGAGGCGGCATAGCGCTGTGTACAGCAACCGAACAGACACCACAATACATGCCACAGTACAGGCCAGTGAAGATGGAACTACGCCACGTACTCATTGAATGACTTGATCGCCTCAACACTGAACCGCACGGGTACGGTGTACAGTTTGTCAGACAGCATCGCCCATATTTGAGCGTCATGGTCATCTCGTGGATACGTCAGAAACTATACAGGCCGATGACTCGAATTAGAGTGCGTAAGTCCTGAGAATATAGTAGAACATACTTTAATGAGCTGGGCTTTGGCTCCCTTTGAGCGCGCAGGAACAGAAGACAGGTCTCCTCCGTACGATTCAGCAATTCCAACAATGTAGCTAGCTATCCACGGCGTGTGGATAGTGGCCGACATGTGTTCTGAATCAGCAACCAGCGAGCTTAAGTTCAATAGATGTATGGGCAACTCATATGTGAGAGGTGAAAGCGATGATGCCAGAGGCTTTAGACAATGGCCAGGGGTGGACGCGACGCGACTGGCGACCGCGGCGGTGAACACGGTCGCGTCCCATCACGTGGGGGTAGCTTTCAGGAACCTCTTCCTGCACGTGACCACAACGCGTCGGGACGCGTCGAACACGTCTGGTTCATTTACGACCTCACACGCAGTATTGTTATTAGAACCACAAGGTAAGATAAGATGTTCCCGAGGGGTCCCCGCTTTCCCGCCCCAAAAGGTATGTAATCCATATTTTCCACCAAACGGTCTCACTGACATGCTTTGCAGCCCCCGATGTTCCCGGTCCGAATGCATACAACCCCCAAGGTGCGATATGATGAGATGGCACGTCATGGGCTTTAACCGAACGCATCGCGTAACAGATCCCGAATACGATGCCTATAAGCGTGGGGCCTTTCTAGAAAAAACGAACAGATTTACAAAGGATAATCCCTCAGACGTTCCTGGTGAGTCCTACGGCCAGCGCGTGCGATGAAGGGCGCCAATACTGTTGACAGGCCCAGGCACGTACAACACTGAGACCAACGCTACACGCTCCAAGCCACCGAACAATGGGACAAAGTCAAATGTGGACCGTTTCGCAGTGTTGCAGCGTAAGCTGGAGGAACTAGAGCGAGTGCATACAGATGGCAAAAAGTCTGTCAGTATGTCTGATACCCTTCCATGTGTCGTTTGCACTCATAATTCGCCAGCATCACCTGGAATTGGAGCGTTTGAAACTTGATCTCAGTCGCGCTCAAAGAGCCGCCACTGAGCATGCAGAACGTGCCGATAAGCTCAAGAAGCAGAACGAACAGCTCGAAGCCAGACTGCAAGAGCTCAAGAAGTCGACCGTTTCCGAACAAGGGGACCTGCGTGACCTGCGCATCAAACTAAAGGCTGCTGAACATGAGCGGACTCAACTTGCCGCGAAGCAGGGCGAGACGAGCGAGATGAAGAAAGCCTTACAGGCTGCTGAGGCGAAGCGCAAGGATGACCTACGCGAACGAGACAGAAGGATCGCGGAGCTGGAGAGGGGCCTACAATCGGAGAAGAAGAAGCGTGAAATGGCTGAAGCGCGGCTTGCAGACGTCAAGGGGAAGGTAGATATGGAGTCGCAGCAAGCCCGTGCTGCTGTATCCGATCTGGAGTCACAGCTCGCCAGTACACGAGCGGATGTCTACGACACCAAGGCCTCGCTCGAGGATCTGAAGGCGCAGGCGGCTGATACGGAAGAAGAGCTCCTGGAGAGACTTGAACAACATCGTGCACTCTTGGCCCGAGTGGCAAATGAGTACGGCAGGCTCGCAGCGGCCACTGTGCACAAGTCGCACCACATTCGCGTGCAGGATCAGAGCAATAACCTCCAGCTGCGTGTCTTCCGCTTAGAGCGCAAGCTGGCCAACGCAGACGGGCAGGTTGTTGAACTAGCTAACCTCGTCCGCCACACGAAGGAGGAGAACATATTCCTGGCAGCCCGTCTCCGCGAAGCGGACGAGGAAGCAGTCTTCTACGCTCGCCTGGCTAGCGAACTTTCAAACCCCCTACCGGATCCGCCTGCCTGGAGGGAACTCGACCGTTGCCTGGATAATATCGCGGACGGCTTGCAGCGATCACGCGCGGAGATTCACGAGCGCATTACAGCTGACTTTTCAACGTGGGTGGATCTACATCGCCTTCGGGACGACGCCCTGGTGTTCCACAGCTCTGTTCTGCTGAAGGCCTTGGACCAAACGAACGCACTGGCGCAGCGGCATTCTACGCAGCTGACAGACGCTCAGGCGAGATGTACCGAGCTTCAAACAACTCTCGCGACTGCACAAGAGGACTGTGCAAATGCTCAGGAACAATTGGTGGAAACAAAGGTTGCCCTCGAGAAGTGTCAGGCACTAGAGGCTGCCTTGAGGAAGGATCTTGATAACACTCGTGCTCAGATGCAACAAGAGGCATCAAAGGGTGAACAGTTGCTTCAAAAGGAGAAGGACGCGAACACACGTCTTGCGGATACGGTTCATAAGAGTCGGATGGCAGAAGAAGGATTGCAAGCGGAGATCGAGCAGTATGTTCTAGCTTGCGGTGATGACATACAGAAGCTGATTTGTCCTGCATAGATTGACTTCGGATCTAGCCCAAGCAGAGCAGTACCAGGAGGCGTACAACGGTCTCCTGGAGGAAGTAGACGCGCTCGTCGCAAAGAATGCTTTGGCAGAGGAGGAAGCAGTACGACTTAGCAAGTTCAACGCCGAGATCGTCGGCCACAGGAATCCGGCGCAGCGTATCGTGTACGTCGACAAAATCAGACGGGAGCTGCATGAAACGAAACAGGTGAGCCCCTACAGTTTGCATCGTCGATGTCCCGGCGTTGATCCATTATGCAGAAACTTCTCATGACATCGCGAGATCGAGACGCTGTGCAAGCTCACAATGAGGATCTGCAGTATGAAATTGCGCTCTACAAGTCGGTCGCAATCCCATCAGAGTACAAACCGAGAACGGCGGTTACTCGTGTAGAGCGCGCCCCAATGGTCACACAGGGTTTAAGTATCAGCAAGGGCGTTGAACATGGCAAATCCATATCCGTTCCCAGCGCAAGACTCGCGTCCATGCCAGAAATGGAGTACGAACAGGGAGGAATGACGTTGGACGAGATCATGTAACGAAGAAAACCCTCTCATCTACATACCTGTTCGTTCTGTCTTTTCATTCAAAGTATCGTTGTGCGGCCCAAAGATGCGAATGCTTTAGATGGCCGCCGTTCGGCGAGGTAACCAAGACCCGGAGAATATCCAGCGAACGCCTGCCTAGTCCAGTACAGCGTACTTTTTCAAGTGAAGAGGAATCGCATCTTCCAGCCCTTTTGCCTTGAGCCATTCCTTTGAGAACAGACGGCTCTGATATCTGTACGCCCCGTCGCACAGGATGGTTGCGATCGTCTTGCCTGCGGCGAAGTCAGCAAAAGCCAATACTTCAATGCATCTTAGCCAGCACACCTGGACCGAGCTGCTGGGCAAGTTTCACTGCCGCAACCACATTTAGAGCAGAGCTTGCGCCAAGGTACAGACCCTCGCCATCGAGCAAATCATAGACCATCTCAATGGACTCTGTATCTGGGATGCTGAATGCGCCGTCTACGTCCTTGACGAAGGTACCCAAGTTGTTCGTGATACGGCCCTGGCCGATACCTGACGCATAAATGTTCAGTTGAAAGTGTCTGCAACGTAGAAAGACAAATACGCACCCTCCGTGATCGACCCTCCGCTTCTCTCGGTCAACTTACCACCACTGCTAATGTAGCTGTAGAGTACACTGCCAGGGGGGTCAGCCAGCCACACTTGCGTCTTGCCGTCGCTCTTCTCCTTCAGGTACCTGCCCGTACCCGCCAGTGTGCCCCCAGTACCCGTCGCGCAGATGAAGCCGTCAACCTGCCCGCCTGTTTGTTCCCAGATTTCCGGGCCAGTGGAGAGATAGTGCGCATTCGCATTCGCGGTGTTGTCAAATTGGTCTGTCCAGATTGAATTCGGCAGACTCTTCGCGAAATCGCGCGCTTGATGGTTGTAGTTCTTCGGGTTCTCGTACGCGACGGCGGGGACAGGATAAACCTCTGCACCAAGCATGCGTAATAGGTCAATCTTTTCTTGGCTCTATGGAAGTACGGATGTGAGCGACGGAAGTCGCCGCACTAGGTGTACAAGCAAATTCACCTGTGAGTTGGGCATGAAAATCACGCATTTGTAGCCCCGGGCTCTGCACACATGTGCCAGTCCAATACCGGTGTTGCCCGCCGTCCCCTCTACGACGGTCCCTCCGGGTTTGAGTCTTCAGGGACCACTTTAGGACTGTGTGATGTAGTTCAGCGGAAAGTCATGCTTACAGCCCTCGCTCTTCTGCATCTCTAACAACGCCCAGCGCAGCGCGATCTTTTACACTTCCGCCAGGGTTCTGGAACTCCGCCTTCCCAATGATGTTACAGCCAGTCTTCTCGGATAGCTTCTTCAAGTGGATCTGTGCGGGTCCTGAGATGTTACGATTCCGAGTCCCAGCAAGGAGTAACTAACGAGGGGTGTGTTCCCAACGGCGCCGGTGAACCCGTCCACCGCACGAGATGTGAAGCTCCTGGAGAGCTTTTGTGCTCGTAGGGCAGCTGACATGATGGTGAGAAGTAACAGACACGAGGAGCCGAAGCCTCGTTCTAAGATTCAAAATCGCAGCCTGCTGTTGAAGGCGTCATCATGAGCAGCCGTGAGGTCCGAATAATTTGCCGCCGGCTATCGACGTGCCCGAGCATCTTGATCGTTCTCCTCAGCAAGTCTTGGATCGCCGGTGGGTCAGAAACACACACTCATCATCACACCACGTTCCAACGAGATTGCAGCAGTATTTAACACGAAACGAAGGCGATTGCGATGCAGTTGGGAAGCGTATCCATTAAAATGCGTGTACATACGTGTACCGGCGAGGAGGGTAAGTAGAAGATATCCCTAGTGTTTGAGAGAGAAAACAGGTAGCTAAGCGCGAAGAGGATGAAGACGTGTGGACCAGTATGTCCGTCGTGCAAGCGTGCATGCGTCGTGCGGGCCATGAGATCAAAATTGCCAGAATAGAGGGTATCGAGCAGACCGAAAAAACAGAGCAGATTCCAGGGGCGAAAGGTAAAAGGATCGTCTATGGCTGGCGTTTCTTGACATTCTGCGAGAGCCATTGCAGCCCTTCGAACAAACCTTCACCCGTCGTGGCACAACTGGGAGAGTCGTTGGTCTCATGCCACACAGAAGCACTTGATACTCGTACGCACCTAGGGTGAACATACCACGACCTGTCACGCATCCGGTGCAGCCCCAGCTTTTCCGTAACTTCTGATGGTGGCATTGCTACAGGCAGTATGTCAGGTCACGTCCCACATGCACATGAAGTAACATACCTCCTGGCAAGTCTTGCTTGTTGGCGAAGACGAGTAGGAGACACTCCTTCATTTCTCGGTCGCTCAATATTCGGTGCAGCTCCTGTTTCGCCTCATCTATCCGTTCGCGATCTTGACTATCGACGACGAATACGAGGCCTTGCGTGCCAGTGTAGTAGTGTCTCCACAATGGACGAATCTTGTCTTGCCCTCCAACATCCCACACGTTGAACTTGACATTCTTATACGTGACAGTCTCCACATTGAAACCGACTGCATCACACAACTAGTTTCTGGATTTGTTCAAAAAGACATGGAGAGGGAAGGCACGTACCCGTAGGGATAGTGGTGACAGACTGGTTCAATTTGAGCTTGTAGAGGATAGCTGCAAATACCGAAGTTCAATGCAGGTCTACGCGCCTCTCAACAGTGAACTCACTCGTCTTTCCCGCAGCATCGAGACCTAACATGAGCAATCTCATTTCCTTGTTCCCAAACAACCTCCCTGCCGCCAGCCTGTCAGCGCTTCCGGAGACGTGATAGCTGCTGGCCGAGTAGAATGCTCACCCAACGCCTTCGAAAGATTAGCACCCATGATGTGGTTCGCGAGCTGAAAGAACGTGGAACGAAGGAACGACGGGGGGCGGGATGTGGCTAAGAGAGAAAGGGAAGAGACAGAAGGTCGCGGTGTGTACGACGCGACAGACGAGAACAAGTCCCAGAGCGCTCTCCGCCTTAACAGCCGAGACCCCGGCCACTGCCGTTTCATTCACCCAATCACCCCGCGTGCACCCCGCGATCATCCTGCCAGTGCCAAGCGTCGTCGTCGAGCACGCGGAAAACATCGATTACTGCATTGCGAGCATCCAGACAGCACACACTAGAATATATCCCATGATCATAACATAAACAAGAAGAGAGTCTGTGTCATCCTGAAGTAACACCCGACGAGCCCAGCTGCGACTGGTTGAACACCTTCAGCCACCCCTCACCCATATCGGAACGCAGCGCCTCTATCCGAGCCCGGAAGGCTTCGGCTTCCTTGAGCTGATCCTCGGCGTCGCGACTCTCGCTAGGCGGCTGATACATTGACGCAGAGATGCGCGAGCGGCGGGCGGTTGACTTGGACATTGTCGCAGACCGGCGCAGGGATCCCGTGTGCACAGATGCCGACTCGCCGGGGGTGACTTCGTCCGATATATCGCGATTAGAGGGTACAAACTCTGTGACATGTCGACTATGCCGGGACCGGGGCACTGGTCGCACTTGAAGCGTAGCTGCAGACGATGACCCAGTTGCTATGGGCTCGTTCGCAGCAGGAGTGACGGGCGAGCGCAATCCTGAAACGGCCGCCGGCTCCTTCCCTGCACGCTTTGGACTGGTTGGCCGTACGTCCGAAGCCATGGGGGTGTGCGAAGCACTCCTTGAGCTTCCAGCCTCACTTGCATCGCCTCCGTCCAGGTCCACGATGCGTTTATTCTTCCTCCGCCGCCCTCTGCCTAGGACAGGAGCTATCTGGGGTGAGGGAGCATGCGACGGCAGAGATGAAGGCGAGGAAGGGCCCTGGCGTGGGCTGGAAGTCGCCGGCGATGACCCGTTGGTGAGGCGCGGACTGCCTACAGCAACGACAGGAGGCGAGTATGCAACAGAAGGTGGACGGGCGGAAGTCATCTGCTGCGGCGGTGCGGTGGTCAAATACATCTTCTCGTAGAACCCTGGAGTTGTACCGTCCAGTAAGATGCTCTTGCCCTCCTTCCAGAAGTAGTCGAAGCACCGTATGCGGTAGCCCTCTTCAAGGTCGATGAATGGGTTGCCCTCGACCCATACCTCAGCAATGTTTGGCAGTGTCGCTAGTCTTCCTACTTCTGCACTCTCCTCCATGACGTTGTGCCGCAGGTCCACGCGCTCCAGCGCAAGCAACCTCTCTAGACCGCAGATAGACTCCAGCCTATTGTGTGAGAGGTTCAGGTGGAGAATCTGTCCCAGCACGGTATAGATGCCAAGTACAGATTCGATCATGTTGTCCGAAAGGTTGAGTGAAATGAGGTTGTAGAGGGACGAAAGGCCGGGCGGGATGGAGATCAGGAGGTTGGATGAGAGGTCGAGATGCGTAAGGGACGTGAGGAAGGGTAACGGCGTCGTTGGTAAGAACGTGAGCGCGTTGTCGGCTAAAGATAAATGTCGGAGGAATGCCCATTTGAGCGATGATAGCTCTGCGGGTCGTGGCGATGTCGCCTTGTCCTCAACACTGGACGGCGGTGGCGTATCAGAATCTTCTTCCTCGTCTTCTGGCACCGAATCGGGGAGCCGCGTACTGTGGAATGACGTCGCACGCGAGAGTCCTCTCGAGACCACCCTCGTCCGCGTGTCATTCACGCGACCCTTTCTCCGCGCCTCATCGTCAATCACCGCGGCAATGAATATGTCCGAAACGTCCTCCATGCCGCTATTCTTGATCGAGAGGCTGCGTAGAGACTCCGCGAGCCGATCCCAGCCAAGGAGCGTACGCGGGTCGATATTGATGCACTGCAATGTCTCCAGACTCTTGAATGCATCGAGCGGTAGAGCATTCTCGTTTGGCGACTCGTTCGCCAGCTCCGCGATGAGCTTGGCTTCTGGTGCATGCAGGCGCAGCGCGGGCAGCTTCGTGAAACAGCTGAAGATGTACTTCAGCTCCGCATCCACATTTGGTGGAGGCGCTCTGCCCCACCAGCCGGCACCCAGTGAGAGACGGGAAACAGCAGAAAGCGAGGAGCGAAACGACAACAGGGAGAGGGCGTCTGACTTGTCAGATCCAGGGAAGATGTTGATATAGTTCATTGGCCTCGATGGGGTGTCCGTTCGGACGTCCAACGACCCTATATCAATACCCAAGGCTTCGAGACGCATTAAGAGGTAGAATAGGTGGTGAAAGTCGAACGTCAGAATGACAGGCTTCGCCGTCGAAGGTGCCGTGCTGTCGGTGCCGAACCAGCCTAAAGGGTTGAGATATGAGGGCTCAGACGCGACTTTGGCACGTCGTCTGCGAGGGAGAGCAGCGGCAGCAAGACCCTGCTCGTGCGTTCTGATGTAGCTGGCAGTGCGCCTGATGTAGTCATCACCGGGCTCGTTCTCCATGGTGGTGACGACGTGGGTTAGGTATATTGGCAGCGCCGGAGAGTTTTGCTATGCTGGAGGCCCTGGAGACCATTGAGATCGCAGTCCTTGCTGGCGCGGCAACAGAGGTGCAATGCTTACGATTCGAACTGGGCAGGCGTGACTTAGCAGTGGGCGACAATAGCGAATCTCGACAAGGGCGTAGCGAAGTGAGCGTTGCCAGATGCCGCGGGGTGGAATATATACGTACTTCGCTGCCTGCAGGCTAGCGGCAGCTGCAGCACATTGCGAGAGGATGGCCGGCAACAACAGACTTGAAATCGAGAGCCGGCAAGCGGACTCCGACATGGGGTACTCCACGTCACGTGAGGACGCGTAACCTCCGAGCGGCTCTCCCTTCCAATTGCACGTCCTCCACTTTGTCTTTCACTGTCGTTCACCATGAAGATTACGGTCAAGACTCTCCAGCAGAAGGTCTTTCAGGTATGACGAGCAATGCATATGGTACTAGATGTGGCGGGATCTTACTATGGCACCGTGTAGATCGATGCCGACGGCTCAGACACGGTAGTCGACCTGAAGCAGAAGATCCAGGAGAACCAGGGACACGCTGTTGAATCACAAAAGCTCATCTACTCAGGTGCATACATCTCTCCAGTACTCGTCTCATCGATCAACTAACGGCCGGCGTACCGCAGGGAAAATCCTTCCCGACTCGAAGACCATAGAATCATGCGAAATCAAGGAAAAGGACTTCTTGGTGCTGATGGTGTCGAAGGTGCGATCAAGAGCGTTATATTAAAGTCAATCACTCAAGTAGCTAACACCTCGGCCTCGACCTCTGTAGCCCAAGCCTGCACCTGCTGCTTCGACTAGTGCCGCTGCTGCGCCAAGTCCTGCACCTCCCACACCCGCTCCTGCCGCTGTAGACGCACCTGTTGTACCAACTACGCCCTCTACTCCCGCCTCTGCCCCTCAGCCTCCCAATGCACCCTTGCTTACGCCCGCTCAGGCAACACCAGTATCTACGCCCGCCGAACGTGCGTTCGGCGATTCAAATTCCTTCTTAACCGGCGATGCTTTGCAGTCGACGATTCAAAACATGATGGAGATGGGCTTCGAGCGGGAGCAGGTCATGCGTGCCTTAAGGGCCAGCTTCAACAACCCCGACAGGGCGGTCGAATACTTGTTCAACGTGCGTCAAGGTATTGATAGCCTATATTCCAAGGCTGACGTTTTCGTTGACAGGGTATCCCGGCACATTTGGAGGCCGCTGCAGCAGCCCCGCAACCTCAGGCTCAGCCCGCAGCCGCTGGGAATGCTCCGGCTGCACCTCAAGCAGCAGCTCCTGCTCCCCCCGCGCCTGTATCGAATGCACCTCAAAACCTCTTCCAGGTACGTACCCCTCACCCCCTTCTCTATCTCACAAGCGTTGCCAACACCTTTTTGCATAGCTGGCTCAACAGCAGCAACAGCAACAGCAGCAGCACCATCCAGGGGCTGGAGCCGGACTTGGTGCGGGCGCTGGAGCAGGGATCGACATGGCGAATCTGCAGAACCATCCTCAGGTCCAGCAACTCCGCGAGCTGATCATGCAAAACCCTGCATTGGCTCAACCTCTCATCCAGCAGCTTGCTGCGTCAAACCCGCAGCTCGCCCAGCTGTTCGCGCAGAATCCGGAGGCGCTATTGCAGCTTTTAGGCGGTGGGGATGACTTGGAGGGTGAGGGTGGTCTGCCGCCGGGCGCTCAGGTCGTACATGTTACGGAGGAAGAACAGGCTGCCATCCAGCGTGTAAGCCTGAGATTCTCTGTTTCTGCGCCTAGAGGCTGATATCTCATTTGTTCAGCTGGAGGCCCTTGGATTCCCTCGGCAAGCTGTGATCGAGGCGTACTTTGCATGTGACAAGAATGAGGAGCTGGCGGCCAACTACCTGTTTGACAGCAATTTTGAAGACTCGTAATGCCATGGGGGGTTTGACGTAGTTGAGAAGTCATATCTGTGTATGCATACCTATTCATTCCCTTGTACCTATCGCAGCTTGTGAATCTAAACCTGTATCACGCGAATAAATGCCCAGAGATAGGAAACTATATACCTCGAAGCGATGGATGCCATGTGCTATATGTTATATGATGATTGGCGAGAAGCACTACGCTACAACAGGGTACAGAGCGAATTTCTACTACAGCATCGCAACATAACAATAGATGATCATGCGTCAATACAAGACCATGATGGGTGCGAAATCAATAGGTAGGACGTAGATTCCAGACGGTGTAACAGCTCGTGTGGAGAGACAAAGCGACAAGATTGTTCATATAGAAAGGCCGTCAGTCGTCATCAGAGTAGTTAGATCATAAAAAGCTAAAGCCCGAAGGCGGACGCGATGGATGGTGCGACCGAACCATGTCGCCGGGGCGAAGTAGCTGCAGATGGTGCTACAGAGGCTTGTCGTAACGCGGATGCGACAGAAGGCGCAACAGAACCATGACGCTGACGCTCCCATAGCTTGTCCTTCGCGCGCACCTCGATGTTCTCGAAGGCTGCCGTCTGCGAGAGCTTGACACAGTCGCGAGTGCCTAGGACCAGAAGCTCGAAGAAGAAAGCAGCCGCTGCACGGCGGGTCGCCTACGGGGTATATTAGTGGCCTGGGCCAAATGTAGGCATACCAAACGCATACCTTCTGCGACATCCTCTTGAAGCTCATCACCTTGTCTTCGGGATGCTCCTCCCCGGTGACGGGTCCCAGCTCTCTGCGAATAATTGTCAGCGCCTTCACGGTATTCTTGCTGTACCCCTTCCCGTCCTCGCTCTGACTTGCACCGCTTTCACCACTCTGGCTCGACGAAGTACGCTCATCAAATTCAGCAATCTGACACGGCATATCCGCATAGGTCTCCTGCCCTTCCTGCATCGGGACGTCATCCGCTGGTGGCGTCGTGAGGCGGCTAAGCTCGGATGGCGCGGCAGACTTGGAACGTGCGCGCTCCAGCTCCATCTGCTCGCCAGGTGCCATCTCGAACTCCGGTAGCTGGAAGTCCTCCATCGCACCAGTTGTATCACCAAACTCCAGGTCTCCGGCAACACTTTCGCGTCCAAGGGTCTCACTACCAAGGGCGAGGCTTGGCGCGACACTTGCGCGACGTGCTTGCTCGACTTCATCATCGCCGACGACACTGCCCTCAACGCGGGGCCTCTTGCTTGAAGGCTGGTCTGCCGCCTCGCCGCGGCGCTTGGGTGCAGCAAGGCTTTGGACGGGGCGCATGAATAATTCAGCCAGTTCTGGCGCGAGCCCTGGGGGTGCGGCAGAGAAGAATGTCCCTGCGGGCGTGATCCTGGTGGGCAGAAAATGCGAGATAGGATCGGCACGAATCTCCAGGAGACGTATAACGACGGGGGAGCTGGGTAGATAGTGGTTCTCTGTGACGATACCACTGACATCCGGCCTCTGCGATTGCCCAGCGCCGCGTCCACCACCCACTCGCGCGCCAGGGCCCCCGGCAAGCTCTGTCACTGCGTCGAATATTTGCTTTTTATCCTTCCTTCTCCGCGCCTTGACCACTTCAACGTCAACTTGAGGAGTCAGTTCGACGTCTGGGGGTGGGGTTTGTGGAGGTTCTGTAAGAGGTGAGGCTGATGTGGCTTAGCGCAGAAACTCTGGAGGTAGGATTACTAAAGAGAACTTACATGCTCGAGAAGGAGTGAGGCGGGGAGTGCGAGGAGTGGGGGCTTGGTCATCCATTGGCTCAAAGCTGATTCCGATGTCAATGTCGCCCATATCTGGGCCAAACCCAAAGTCCATGTCGTCACGGAAGGGCTGCATTGAAGCTTCTCTGCTGCGAACGGAGAGTATATCCAAGTCGGCATCGCCACCTGGTCTCCCCAACAGGTGCGAAGCCAGAGATTCTCGTGGGCGCCTTGCAGGTGCGGCGTCTCGTCCAAATTCGACACTCATGCTGTCCTCTTCCATTTGCGACTCATTGTCGTGTACGCTGACAGGTCCCTCCCCGAAATCAATACCGAGAGGATCATAATCCTGCGACCCTATTCCGTCCGAGGGCCCAAGATCAAAACCATATCCGGGGTCGTCAAGGTCGAATTGGAAATCGTCAGCAGTAACCAGAGTGATATCTGCGGCCCTAGCGATGTGGTGTCCTCCAACATGTATTGGTCTCTCTTCAAAGTCCATGTCCCTAAAACGCAAGGTGAGGTCATAGTGCACAAGGTACACAAGGAGTGACGTACCAGTTGATGTCGGGCAACAGTGCATCCAGGTCAAGCTGGTTACCCTGGAGAGTGATAGCGTTCTGGTTGACCGCTAATTGATCTTCCGTCATGTCCACGACGCCAGGACGGAAGGCCTGGAGAATACTGGCATCAGAAGACAGGGAACCGCGATAGGTGATCTGAATCATACCATCTTGATCTTGAGCAGTGCCTCGTTACAGTCGTCCAAGAGATATTTAGCTTTTCGGCTGTAGATGCGGACAACACCCAGGAGTAATTGGCCACTCAAGCGAAGAGCCATGACCTCTACTTCCTGGCCCATAATGGCACCTGGGCAATTGCACAGATTAAGTCATGACATGGATACAACAAGTGCGGGATACTCACCGACCGACTGCTCGATGTCCGTTTGTAGCGTTTGGGTTTTGGAGAGCTTGCGCTCCATGTGGGCCGCAAGCCATACTTTCGCGAGCGGCCCTCGGCGCGAGAGAATAGCTTCGGAATAGAACTAGTCAAGTAAGTTTCAGCCAGTATTTGGCAGCATTTGATCACTGCACACACCATGATGTGAGGGTATCCAAGAAGTTTACGCGCGCGACCACCAGTGTGGCAGACGGGAGGAGGGTATCGCGTAACGACCACGCGTGGTTCGAGACAAGACGCGCTCTGACAGGCCACGGGACGCGTCGCAAGCTCCGCCACAATTTGTCTACAAACGCCGTTTTTCTGAGTTTAAATATAGTGTATTTTTGAACTCAGAAAAGGCATTCCCGAGATCCTACGAACTCCGATCTCGATCACTCACCACCTGTGTGCCCAGCATTTTCGTCCTCTGCCATTGCTGGCGAGGGTGGCTGAGATGCTGGCTTCCTCCTCCCGAAACGCACTCAAGAATGTGCAAGGTCGTCTGGCGCATGTTGCTGCGGAGTCGTCCGCTGTGCAAGCGTTAATATTCAGCTCATCAAGTGAGTATCGTGTAACACATTCTGGCAATTCTGACAAGTCATACTGGTGGTCAGAAAGTATCTTGCAACAGCAACGACAAGCCTCTACAGCACACGCAGTTGCTGCGCAGAACATATTTGTCGGAGACCATCAGGACGACGATGTGCGGCGTTCTGGCCTTCGTCACAGGCCATATTCTCTTCCAGGGGATCCTCGTTTCCGAGCAGATGAAAGAACACCTCTTGCAAGGCACAACATGGACCTCGCCAGACATGCTAATTCTCCACATATTAGCAGAGTCTTCCGTGTGTGTCAAAGGATGAAGGAAGAAGGAGTGCGACCGGACCTCACGACCTATACACATCTGCTGCAGGCCTGTATCCGCGATGGTCTCGACCTCGAGGCGCGCGCTATCTTCGAAGACATGCTTGCCGTAGGACTCAATCCTACCCGTCAACATTTTCACCTTTTGCTTGATGTGAGGTGAAATCCATAGCGCGCTCACTAGCGCGTCTCCTACGCTTACTCTAACTCCACTGCACAGACTATGCGCTTCATGAATACGCGTCACATGTGGGATATCTTAGAATCCATGCGAAGGTTCGACATTTCTTTGAACGAGCAGACGTACGAGATCGTCATCCTCCGCTACGTGGAGGCCGGCCAAATCGAGCTGGCCCTACAACAGCTCTCAGAGATGGGGAAACGAAGTTTGTCCCCTACCCTAAAGACAGCCCGAGGCTTGATTATGGCAGCCGGTCGCTCTGGGTACCCTCGTTTAGCACTAGAGCTAGCGGAGTCGTTCGAACAGTCGTCAGTTCGACATCTGGAGGGCGAAGTTTGGGTCGACCTACTGATCTCATGCTCGGAATCATTCTACGTGGGTTACTTCAGCACAATCGCCTGATGTCTGCTCACCGCTACCACAGGAATATGGTGTCCTTCGGACTTGGCAACAAGTTGTGCACGAACTCGGCATCACGCCGGATGAAGGGTGCTGTTTGCAGGTCCTGCACACGGCCGGTCGGCACGGCAAATCTGCGCTTGCACTCGATGTCCTGCAGGTCCTCGAGCGAATTGGTGCTTCATGGCAGGAGTACCATTTCGCCCCTATTATCGAGGCTCTTTGTAGGGACGACAAGGTCAAGGACGCCCTCGCTATGCTTGGTGTCATCCGATCTCGCAACATCATTCCTGTCACTGAAACAACTTTCCCCATCTTCACCGCAATATCCCATGACACTGACACTGTCGATGAAGCGTGGGGTCACCTCGAGGCCATCCGGGACGAGGGCAAGGAGGCTGTTGATGTCACGGCACTCAACGTTGTTATTCAGGCCTCTGTGGCGATCGGCGACTTGCAACGTGCAGTCGGCACGTACAAGGCCGCCGGCGACCTTAACGTCACCCCCAATGTCGACACGTACAACCTTCTTCTGGCGGGCTGCATCGCTGCACAGCACAGGCAGCTCGGTGACCGTTTGCTCTCCGAGATGAAGGACGCGAAGATTAAACCCGACGTGCGCACGTACGAGCGACTTATCGTCCTCTGCCTCACACAGACGAACTACGAAGACGCCTTCTTCTATCTCGAGGAGATGAAGGCGTTGAGGTTCATGCCCCCGCTTGCCGTATACGAAGCCATCATCCGCAAGTGCGTGCTGACTGGCGACACGCGGTCCAAGATCGCAATCGAGGAAATGACGGAGTCAGGGTACTACACGATATCGACCCGACTGAAGGCGTTCATCGATTCGGGAGGCTCGCACGACCCGGCCGGAGAACCTGTACCTGGCAGGGGGCCGCCCGCGAGGAGGGATCGTCAGCGCTCATTCTTCCGCCAAGCTGCAGAAGAAGTGGAGCAGGGGTTAGAGGAGGTCCTCCAAGCCAAGAAGACTACGTCGTAAAGTGTTTATTTTGCACTTTAATGCAGCATTCACACGATGCGATCGCTGTCGCATACAACATCGCTCGATCTCAGATGCCCGTGCTTGATGCGAGCGCTCACCATTCGTAACAGTCTTTCGCAATTCACTTCAGATACACTGAAGAGATTCAATGAACAAGAAAGCGAGCCAATGTTACGTTGGACGTAAGAGGTATATAAGACAGAATGTGTATGTGTCTGCCAGCACCAACAATCGCTGGGGGTATATTGGGGAGACGGACGGAGCCGATCTCCCACATCGATTGGCGATGGAGAATGAGCATGAATGGCTGCAAGCCCGACTTGGCTGCGGAGCGAAATGAGATCCCTGGAGTAATGTAAACTGTCAAGCGCAGACAGCAGTTGCGTCAGAGATACGTACCCTCCGACAGAAAGTGTCTCGGTCTTTGCATATGGCCCTCGTGCTGCTTTTATCCCTTCTACTGTGGGAGTGTCAGCAGAAGAGCCAAGCGATACAAATATCGCAACATACATAGCGCGGCTGTGTACCGAGGGGGACGTTCCCAGAGAGTGGAGGCCTCGACTCAGGCGCACGCCGATGGTGTGAGGACGCGAAAGCTGGTAGATACCTACTCGGCGGGTAGTCCGTATACGCGGAGGGCCCCGCACCAGGTGTTTGTGCCGGATGCAAATTGTTCGGCTGTATGTGACTGTACGCCTGTTGGTGCGCCTGCGTCGGACGAAACTCCGCAGCAGTCGGGTTCAGCGTTGTGTGGCTCGCGCCCGACGGGAATAAGCTCGGAACAGGGCTGAAGTCCTGCTGGTCGGGAGCGTCCTCGAAGATCTGCGCGTCCAGCGGCTCTTCGTAGACCGGTGTCTCCGGGAGCGACGACGGCTCTTGTGCGTACGCGTAGTCGGGCAACGGCCAATCGAAGGGCGCGATAGCAGAGATGTCCGACGCTGATGACTCTGTGCGCGGCGGCACGCCCGGGCCCACGGTGTGCGAGCGTCGCGGCTCCGGTCCCGGCATGGCCAACAGGTACGACTTGTCCTCATCGCGCGGCAGCGGACTTGATGGCGCAGACGAAGGGCGCGTTGACGAGCATGTGGGCGGGCGCGCCGGTAGTATCAACCGCATTTGCTGCACAGACGGGGGCGATAGTTCCGGCACCGGGGATGCTGGTCGTGGAGATGGGGACGCTGGTCGTGAAGGTGGGGACGCTAGCCGTGGAGATGGGGCCGCTGGTCGTGGAGGCGGAGATGCTGCCCGTGGAGGTGGGGACGCTGATCGTGGAATCGGGGCCGCTGGCCGTGGAATCGGGGACGCTTGCCGTTGAAGCAGGGACGCGAACGCAGGCGGCAGACGTGGCGACGCAGGGGATGGTGGACGCGATGGCGCGGGCACGGGCGCGGGCTCGGGTGTACGGTAGAGCACATTGGGGACGAGTTCCGCCGCAGGCGCACGGCCCTGCCTCAGTGTTGAAACGCCTTCGCCAAGTCCCCCAGGAAGCCATATCGACCCATGCCCTCGATCCAAGCCCTTGCCCTTCATCATCTCCTCCCAGAGCGCGCGCGCGTCTTCCTCCTGCCGGCGCGCAACCTCGCATGCCACACGCAGCCGCTCCGCCTGCTCCAGCCCCGTCACCCTCGTCTGCAACTGCCCGCACCGCGTCTCCAGCGCCCCGCACGTCTGCTGGAGCTGCACATACCGCAGTGTGAGCTTGTCCTGCCGCTCCCTTAGGTCCTCGTACGACTGCACGCGCTCGACGTCCCACTGCGCCGTCCGGTGATCCAGCGCGCGCAGCCCCGCGTCGAGCTCCATGTGCCAGTCGTGCTCCGCGCGCAGGACCGCGGCCATCTTCGGGATGACGGCGGTGCGGATCGTGCTCTTCATGGCGTCCCAGCAGAATTGCCGCACCGCGTCCCAGGTCAGTTGCTGGAACGCAGGAGGCGGTTGGAACGATCCGTGTGGCGGGGTGACATGCGGCGGGGAACCGGTGGGCGGGACGTCAGGCGGGGGGCTCGCGGGATGTGGACCGGGCTGGGCGGAGGCGGCATCGGCGGAGGTAGCAGCGGCGCGCTCTCTGTCTGCTTGCCCCCAGTGGGTGTGGAGCCGGGGCACACCGTCCAGGATCCTACTTACAAACTTGAGGTCCGACCGTTCGTCGATCTGCGGCACAAGGGTGACATGAGTGCTTGGGCGACACGCGCACGAAATGGAGAGCTCACCGCAGGCGCGTCGTTAGCGTGCGTGTTGTCTGGAATGCCCACGGTGGAGGGCCGCGATGGTGCGGGCGCGGGGCCGAGGGGGGCTGGCGTGTGCGGGGTGGTCAGGGTATGTAGGGTATCGGCAGCGGCAGCGCGGGTATATGCGTCCGCTGCGTCCACACTCGGGTATGTGACCATCCTCGCCGCCGCAGAGGCCTGTGCGGGCGCGTGAGCACAACGACGCTGCGAGATGGCGCGAGGCGAGACATACCGTTGGCGCATACGTGGCTGTGTTGAGGAGTGCGCTCCGACTGGCGTTGGTGATGATGGCGTTATAGACCTGCACGAGATGCGCAATGTTCGCCTCATTGCCCTGTTGAGTCATGATGCCGTTGAGTGCATCCTCCTACACGCAGCAATGCCTCAGTACCCCCGACGCGCCACCGAACACATGCAGCAGACTGACCAAAGACTCCTGGTACCAAATCTCCATTGTAACCCTGGACGCCTTCGCATCTGATCCCTTCCTGGTCCTCCTAGCGATCCATAGGCACATGAACGCGAGGATCGCGCCCACAGCAGCGACGCCTACACCATGGTCGTGGACGAAAGCGTAGCTTCGCTCCCACAGTCCCTCGCCGCCATGCATAGAGCCCCAGACAATGGGCTCCATACGATATCTCCGAGCGAGGGTGGTCAGGTCGTGAGCGCGGTGACTGCTTCCATTCCCCGCAGTGGCGGAGATGACGGGGGACGCCGTGGGCTCAAGGTCAGGAAGTATGTGTAACATCGTCGGGTATGGTGTTTCGACGATAAGCCATCCATCATCAGGCGCTTTGATGGTTGGTGCAGACCGGAGCGAGGGGCCGAGAGAGCTGTGGGGGCGGGACGCAGTGAGCATCTGTGGCGCACACAGTAAGAGGAGAAGTAAAGGACGGACCGGAGCACAGTTGTAATGAGCCGGGCTTGGGGGGTGACCGCGTCCAGGAGAAAACCGATGTTTTGGCCGTTGAGGCCGCCGTTGGCATGTATGTGCGCGAAGAGCGCAAAGAGCGCGTACGCGCCGAGTTTGCATGCTATGCTAATCCACAGCATAGCGGTGTAGTGAGTTTGTGTTTTGGTGGTCTAGAGAACGTGGTAAGTCAATCATGTCGATAGTGTTCGAAGAAAGAGGAGAGGAGATCATGTGCTCATGACGCGCCGCCCGACGACGACGCGACGCGTCAAACCGCAATGAACGCGTGGAGCCATGATGGCAGCAAATATGTGATGGGGTATTGTACTTACAGGTTGTTAGGAACACAGACGTGAATGCGCCACAGAAGAATGTATATTTCGCAGTGGGTGATAGTCAAGCGCAGGATGGGGGAAGAGGACGCCACGAGGGGCCTTTATATAACACACAACGCAGCCGTTATTTCGTCCGAGCCCTGGTATATCTCGCGTCGCGACGGTATTGTCCGCGGGGATTGTTGGTGGCGGCAGGGAGTACAAGCGAGGCCGTTACCACTCCGCTCGGACCGTCGCGACAAAAGGCACAGCACGGCCCACAATGCAGGACAATCGTCGACATAACGGGTATGTCTTCGATGCACAACAGCCTTCGGTTATGCGAGAACATGGCAGACAGCGCGGTACGCGTCGAGAGCGACCCCAGAAGGCAGAGGAACGAGGCAGCCCAAGCGCGGTGGTGGTGGTGGGGAGAAGGAGCGCTCGCCGGGGCTGATGCCAGTCAAATCAAATCAAATTGATCCGCTGCGCGGGCGTGTGGGTGGCGCCCATAAATCAGCCCGATCGATCGCTGGCAAGATAGTCACCGGCGGGGCATAATCATGGCCATGTTTTATTGAAGCTGAGATGACCCTCTGCTTAGTGCTGCACGTCGACTCTCGTCGTTGAACCATTGTTGCATATGCCAGGGGCAGCCGAGTATGTCTAGCCCGCGAGGCATCATCGCCTTCAAAGCGTCCAACGCTCGGTGGCGGCGAGTCGTGACAGCAGCGTGGCGCGCGCACAATGCGGTACAGTCAGTAATACATGCGATGGGAATTTGGATCCTTCCAAACTGCGGGCAGCCGTCAAGGATTGGGGCGCTGTGCCCTCCACGTGTGTAGATCTGCATACATGCCCCGGGGTTCTGCGGCTCGGCCAGCCTCTGGGAACGCCACACCGTACGACGCCTAGACCGGCAGGTCCAAGTGACTTCCAATTCGAATCTCACACACCCTCTGTCATAGTACGACTGCCATAATGCTGTTCGGGTCTCACGTAGCAGCATGTGTTATGATTGCGATCTACGGACGAAGGTGTAGCCGGAACTCAGCGAGCTGATCGCGTGAGTGACCTACTATGGTTAGGAAGGAGTTGCTCATGGCCGCATTCGCAAGCCTCGGGTTCACGAACCACTGCGTCTTTTTTCATGATTCTTGCGTCAATCGATGCATTGGGATCTTCTCTACCACTGTAAATATCCTCAGCGCAATACAATAAGTGGTGTTTGTATCGACACAAATCCGCGAGGACGACTCGTTTTGGGGGGGGGGGGTAATAGGCATAGAGTTGCTCAAATCGTCACGGCATGTCACGGCGACAAGTTCACACTCCGACGCGGTAACGCCCGCTAGCAGCGAGACGAGCATGGTCTTGCAGACGCATCTGTGCGACATGCCGAGCGGAGTCTAAACCACAGTCACATCCAGCCACAGGAGCAAGACGGTCTCATCCACTATGCTTGTCTACATTGTACCTCAAGTGCTATAAAGTATCAGGCTCATCGATAGACATATAGAGAATGGGGACTGAAAGCTTCCGGGATGAAATTCTCATCGCAATCGGGCGAGATCTGGTTCGATATTTGCGTACACTGGTGTCAAAATGCCTTGTCGAGCGTGCTACTCTTTCCACATTCCTGAAACTGTCATTTCGGTGCCATGTGTGCATTCATAGGGACTATATACACTCTCACGGATTTTGTGAGATTTATGATAAAAATGTGGAACGCTGTACAAGGCGGTTTGAGCAACTCTATGCCTTGAGAAACTCCCTACCCCCATAGTAGTCTCCTGTGAGCAGAACGGAATACACTTCCTTCATCCTACGCAGGCGACGGATATCCATGTATAATTCTGCTATCTCTTGTACCCTCTTGTCGTTAAATCGGTTATCGATGGTCGATTGCCGGCTCTCAGTGTCAGTGACTCTCAGCCACCCGGCGCGTCATATGCATGTGCAAATAAACCCAAGCATCGCGCTTTTGAGACGCGTCGCGATTCAGCGCTAACTGGGCTTGGCATGAATGCTTCTACAAGTACTGCTCTGCCCGCCTCGCTTTTAGCATGTATGTATTCTCTAGTCACGTACACTCAATTTCTCCATCTGTCGATCAGCATGATCAGCCGCAATATGACTGATGGAGAGAGAGCACCTTCTCCTCGTCTAGACACGGTGATGGAGAACCTCGTCCATATGTGCGAATCGAGTCGGGTCTAGCAAGACAGATCAAAGAGGCTCTTCCCCAATGATAATAGCAGAGACGGGTAAATGAGACATATCAAGCACTCCTCTGGGGCAGTACAACGACAGCACCGATGCTCGAGAAAGAGGCGTACGCAGGGTGGTGCCACCGGCGCGATCATTAATCTGCTACTCCGCTGATGGATCCCCTGTGGGTTTGAGCGGCGATCGAAGAAACCGACCTCTCGACAAGTCTGACGATGGGCGAGCTACCCAGCCAGCTCAGAGCACTTTCCTTCTGACCACCGCCCACATACAATGCAGTTGTATGTGTCACTCCAACGCCAGCGGTGCAAAGATGTCTTGCGCTCAGCTCCCCTTTACGGCGTCAACGACTCGTGCCTCGGCGCTCGGATACAAATGCGGCGGCACTTTGCACCTCACCTCTTCACTCTACCTGGCAGATCGACCGAGGCAGCCCGTTGGAATACCGCAAACAGACAGTCTTGGCTTTTCGCGTACACGGTTCAGCGCGGTGTCGACTCTGGTGACCTCCTGCATCTCACGAAGAGGCTTCGGACATTCCACGCCTGCTCAAAGGGGTCAAAATAGACTGTTATCCTTGCGAATCCATTGGCAAGTGCCTGTGCTGCTCACGCACGCACGCCTGACGTGCACTCTATCCAGCGCGCTGTGTCGATCGAGTCCAGCACACGATCGCTGCCAGGGCTGTTGGACATGCCAGCCGCTCCACGGCCCGCGACAGGGCCTGCGCCCCCGCTCTACTATATAGTCGCGTCCGCGTCCTTCTTCGTCATCGCGGCCCTCCTCTACGTGCGCCCCTACATCGCCTCCGCCGTTGGCCCGTACCGTTCGTTGCGCGATCCCTACCAGCATGCGTACATGCGTTGCCCTTCTCGCGCTCGTGCCCGTCCTCACGCGCTCTGCTAGCGCCCAGTTCGTCCTCGCTGACCAGTTCGTCGGGTACAACTTCTTCGAAGGCTGGACCTGGGAGACCATCAACGACCCCACCAACGGCCGCGTCAACTACACCGACCAGGCGTTCGCGCGCGCGCAGAATCTCTCGTATGGTACGTGGGCTGGAGCCGTGGGGGAGTGCGTTGCGCGGGCCTCATCGCAGTGGTTTAGCGACGCCGACGACGTTCGTGATGCGCGCCGACGACACGAACGTCGTGCCCGCCAGCGCGCGCGGCAGGAACAGCGTGCGGATCCTGTCCAACAAGGCGTACGGCGACTCGGTCGCGATCCTCGACCTGTCGCATATGCCCCAGGGTTGCGCGACCTGGCCCGCATTCTGGTCGCTCAGTGCGACCGGGCCATGGCCGGCAGGCGGAGAAATCGACATCATCGAGGGTGCGTGTTGTTCTTCCCGCCGGAGTCTCCTCGCACCATCTCTGAAAACCCCGCACAGGCGTCAACGAAAACGTGCAGAACCTGGTGTCGCTGCACACCTCCCCCAACTGCACCATGCCGCCGCAGCGCGTCGAGAGTGGGTGCGTCCCCGTCTCCGTCCTGACGCCCGTGTTGCATCGCTCACGCGCTCACCCACCTCGCAGCACGGTGACGTCGACCAACTGCGACGCGAACGTCAATTACAACCAGGGCTGCGGCGTGCAGGGCGCGACGGGCTCGTACGGGGTACCGTTTAACGCGGCCGGGGGCGGGTGGTACGTCATGGCGCGCACGGCGGAGGACGGGATCCGCGTGTGGTTCTGGGCGCGCGGCGACCCGACCGTGCCGCCGGAGGTGCTCTACGCGCCGGCGCTGGGCATCCTCGGCACGACGATCTCGCCGAACCCGACGTGGGGCGCGCCCGTGGCGAGCTTCCCGATGGGCCCGCTGTGCGACTATGCAACGCACTTCAACGCACACCAGTTCGTGTTCGACCTGACGTTCTGCGTGAGTGGTTTAATTTGTCCTGCCGCCGTGGGACGTGAGGGGGGCGTGATTTATTGATTGACGGACTGACGACGCAGGGGGACTGGGCCGGAAACGACTACACGACGACGGGATGTAGCGGGAGCTGTACAGACCGTGAGTGTCTGCGGCACATTTTCCGGGCCTGTTGGTTGACTCTGACTCTGGGGCGGCGTGCAGTCGTCAACAACGATCCCGAGGCGTTCTCCGAGTCGTACTGGGCTGTCAACTCGCTCCGCATCTACACGCGCGTGGAGAGCACGCCGTACCCGCCGTACCCGTGAGGGATTCCGAATCCGCCACAGAATGCTTGATGCACAAGGACGATGATCCGATCACATGTACGGTTGTGCTGCATCGCATTTTACATCACGAATCACGAACTCCGGCTTGGAAGACGATGGTGCTTCGTGGACTGGACGCTTCTGGACCAGTCTGTGTCGGCAGTGTATCTATACAAATTCTGTATGTCCTTCTCGTTCTGTAACAATGTATGGGAGACAATGTTTCTAGAAGGGTGGCTGAGCAGTGCTCGTTCAGACAATCAGCCCGTAAGTACCGGGGATTGTAATGTGCGACGACTCATCCGACTTGGGTTACGCGGTGTTGGATTCTTGTGGTTCCTGACGTACGGGAATCTGTCTCACGCATACGGTCATCTTCAGGCTTTCGGACTTAGCATCACATATGTTTGACAAGGCCTCCACCTCCCCCGCGGAGAGGAATGGGGAAGCAGCCTGCGCCTTTGGCTACTTGTCATTCACCGGCCGTTTTTAAAAACTCACGTGCGTATCCTAATCTCGATGTCTTCATTCCTTCTCAGTCATCACTTGATAGCACCTTAAACCACTCCATCACCTTGTTGCGGTCCACGCCGTCACAGTTTGTCGAATGCGCCAGCTCCTCGTACTGCTCGCCGTCCCTGATCGTCCTCAGCGCGCGGCCCCGCACGAGCATCAGGCTCTCCGTCCCCAGCTGCACGCGCAGCGGGGGGTCCCGCAGGCCCGCGATCTGCACCATCGCCCGCGCCGCCTTGGCGGGGTCCCCGATGTACGGCTGCGCCGCCAGCTCCCGGTGCACGCTCGACGGCGACGTGGGCGCGGCGTACTGCGGGTGGGCGGGCACCCGGACCATGGACGCGGCGTTCCACGCGGTGCGGAACCCGCCGGGCTCGACGATCACGCCCTTGATGTTCCACTCGGGGAGCATCTCCTTGGTGAACGCCTCTGTGAAGCCCTCCATCGCTGCGGTCCGTCAGCCACAAGCGTCATGCGCGATGTCTGGGCGGGAGCGCTCCCGCCCCGCCCCCACTTACCGAACTTTCCCGCGCTGTAGTAGGCGAGCGTCGGGTTGGCCGCGTACCCCCCACAAGAACTGACGTTGAGCACCCGGCCGCCGTGTCCAGGCGGGTTGACGTCCCTGAAGAACGCGATCGCCTGCAGCGCCTCAGCTTCCACGCCGAGAGCGAGAGCGCGTGAGCCGGTGCTGCGCGACGCACCTCCTTCGTGACGTGCACGGGGCCCCAGAACAGCACCTCCATCTGCCTGCGCGCGTCCTCCTCCGGGACCGCCTCGATCTCGCCCTGCAGCCCGTACCCGGCGTTGTTCACGACGACGTCGAGCCTCCCAAAGTGCGCGCGCGCCGCGCCGAACGCGGCGGCGATCTGGGCCGCGTCTGCGACGTCGAGCGGGACGACGAGCAGCTGCGCCGCGGGGTATTTCTGCGCGAGCGGGGCGAGGACCGCGGGCGTGCGCAGCGTCGCGACCGCGCGCTCCCCCGAGGCGAGGACCTCCTCGAGAAGGGCTCGCCCCAGGCCCTGGGAGCTGCCCGTGACTGGAGCAGAGCCGTCAGCGCTAGCGCCACCGCGTTTCGTCTCGGGATGTTATGGAACTTACTGAACCACACGCGTGTGTTGGAGAAGCTGTCTGAAGACATCTGAGGCGCGGAGGATTGTTGTGGACACTTGGTGTCTTACACCTCTCTTATACACACAGTCGGAGGCCTCATGTGGTTGATCATTGTCGAACCCCCCTCTCTCGTTCCCGAATTGCCCAATGTGAGGCGGACTGACAGCCAAAACTGCTCGGACGTGTCTTAGTGCCCCTGACCCAGATCCAATCAAAGAACCTCAGGCTTCTCCTGTCATATACTGTAGCTAAGGTCTAGTCTCGCAGAGAAAGTCACGATCAAGGCCAGTCGTGTCAAGAGAGAGATTTGAAACATGCCTGACGCATTCATTATGCACAAATGTCGGCCGATTGGCAGGAGACAGGTACGTACCAGTTTTCCTAGATCGTCACTCGTGAGATCCTGGGACCACACTGACAGGTGTTGCCAATGCTGCGATTGGACCTGTGAGAACATACTTCCTCACTCGTCGTAAACAGCCCTTCTCTAGGGTCAAGGCAGTTCATTGCGGTCTGTCACAGACTCGTATACATATTGTGGTATCATCACGAGGTTCCTTCTGGATATCTGCTCTTCTTGCCTCCGCCTGCGGCCTCACTGTCCCGAGGGGACCAGCCTCAAGCGCAAAACCGCCTTACCACGGCAGAGTGGAGCCGTCTTGCGTGTAATACTTGATCGCCTTCTCAGGCTTCGCCTGCTTGATGACGCTGAGGGTGCCGGTGGTAGATTCCTCGATGGTGATCATCTTGTGGTGCGGGATGTTCTCCTTGACCCATTCCCTGATCAGCTTGCCCATGTCCGTGCCCACCCAGCCTGGAGGAGCTGTGAGTGCCGTGCGTGATTCTTGAGAACTCGGATCGACTAACCAGGGTGGACGAGGACAACTGCGATTCCCTCATTGTGCAGTGTCGGCGCCCACTTACGCGCCAACCTGACGAGGTTGGTTAGCGAGACGATCAGCGCATAACCAGGGCGACACACATGTTCAAGGATGCCTTTGTCATAGAGTAGACGATAGAGAGCGTGCTTAGGCTGGGTGCATTCTCGAGAGATGCAAGATCCGACGTGACAAAGACCACCTTCTTCTCGTTGCTCTTTCGGACTAACGGCAGGAAGCTGCGGGTGAGGTGGAATGGGGCAAAGGCGTTGATACGGAACTCGTCTTCCAACACTTTCATGTCACTGCACGCCCAAACCGTATCAACATCCAATTCATCCGCGGGAACCCGCAGACCCACATCTGGTCGAAGAGCGCCGTCTCCTGCAAGTTCACTCCTGCGTAGCTGAGCAGGTAGTCCAGGCCGTTGGGCAGCAGTGCAGACGCAGCCTCTGCCGCCTTCTCGATGCTTTCCCCGTCAGCATAGTCTAGTGTGATCAATGCTAGACGATCTTTGCCATATTTTGCGACCAGATCCTGCAAGCCTGTTGCAGCGCCTGGCCGGCGTGCAGCAGCGACGACAAATGTTGAGGGGTCTTTCAGCTAGAATGCTGCCTTTGAGGCGGCCCTTGTCAAAGGGATGTCCTGGTAGAATACGTACCAGCTCCTCCACCATGGCAAAGCCGAGGCCGCGGTTCGCTCCTGTGACAAGGTAGGAAGGCATTCTTGATGGTAACGAGACGGCGTCCTTGTAGGCTGATGATTGTGCGAGGAGCAGACAGAGGAGAATACGACCAGACCAACGCAAACGAGGGTCGTTATATCTCATTCAGAAAAGGTCCCTATTTTTGCATTATCATCTATCGACGACATCATAGGCAGGATGCCGGGCATGCCGCGATTGCGAGACAGCGCCCTTGAAGTCGCGAAGAGTCGCGCAAGAAGAATAGTACCCCCAAAGGTCCATGCTGTGAGTTTGAGGCGGACGAGAAGTATATCCGCGAAGGCGACCGGTCTTGAGCCGACTCCACACAATATTTCTCATACGGAACATCCACGTTCAGGGGTCCGAATCCTCCGGCGCTCGTCGCTGGCGGTCTGCATGACGTACGGTGGTCGCCCGCAGAGACGCAGAAAGATAGACGCAGGAGAGTAAGACTTCCAGTGCTCAGCCACAGAAGATGCAGATGACGAGAAGAATGTGGTTAGCATGTGGTCCACACATCCGGTCACGCTCACAGAATCGACGAGGATCCGCCGACACGATCACCTGATCGCGCTTTACCTACGCCGTTGCGCGCGCGTGGAGTGCAGTCGATAGATCTTGCCCTCCTTCCCGCTCCACTTCCCAGAGTTCTGCTCGCACATCATGTCGCGAACTGAGACGGCTGACGATGAAGTCTACTCGTACAAGGTACGTCTTCGCGTTCTTTACACACGCTTTGTGTCATCTGGCCCTGCCGTATACAATCGTTGGCGTAAACAGGGTAGAGTTGACGCTGCAGAAGCAACACGTCATCATTCTCGAATCGATATCCCAAGCCAGTCTGTTTTCATACTCCCACGACCCAGAGTTTCTCTCCCGACAGAGGTATGCGAACACATCATGGACACAATGGCTAGTTTGTATGGCCGGACCGAAGGTCTACTAGCCTGCACCCTGACTGGTCGCACCCGGCTTCTGGGAAGCTGAGCCCATCTCAAGGAGATAACATTACATGACTGGAGTCAGCTCATGTCTTGCGAATCTTCTGGCTTCGCGACCACGTCTTTGTGACATCACGCGAAAAATATACATCGCAACGAAGCTCGCGGACGCTCCCCCAGCATTGCATTCTAATGGGACTTCGAGGCTACTTGGAAATTCCACTCGTGCTTGCTCGGTGCGGCTGCTCATGCAGCATTTCAGTTAAGTTCGTGATGCTGAGATTATCTAGCATATTCGAGCTGGGTCCCAAGAAGGTTGCTGTGATTGTTGGTGCGTCGCTCATTTATGTTGGCATTACATTGATATACGAGATCATCGTCTCCAGGGCTTTCTGCCTTTCCCGAGGCGCACACATATTCTCTTCGATGTTACTCAAAATCATAGTTGGCTCTTGAGGCTGTTCACTCTATTCTCAGACGCAATAATGGAGACCGCACCGAAGGCCTATTGACGTCAGTTTCCGAGCTGGGCATATCACTCTACCAGCACGCCGCCGCAGGATCTTATCCCTCGATACACACATGCAATTTTTCGTTGAATGCTCAGTCAAGAACCACGAAGGTGTCAAGCGACGGCAGGAATACAGCTCAAACATCGAAGTTCGCGTCCCATGTTGGATCGATTGGTGTCTCAGTAGGTCAGTCAAACCCCTGTACAACAGCTCCAATGACTCTGGGGTCATATGAAGTTGATGGTCTGAGTGCCGAGGTGGAGCGAGCGGCACTTATAGGTCTGACTCTCCGATAGCGTGCCCATTTCTGTTGGTCTGTCTGTCTTTCTATCGAATATCACTAGGCGATCCTCGTGCACAGTTCACCGACCATGTTACCCTTGCTTCAAACGAACAGTTCGTTAACAACATATATGAATCTTCTTGGATGCCAGCGATATATGAACACTGGCTATATGTCCTCATACCTGCGTTGAATCTATCTCCATCATCTGCCCGGGTCATAATCTTGAGCCTGTAGCGTTCTTCAACACTCCGTCGACTATCTCCATCATCCTCAGCACAGCCTCCTCCTCCAGCGTGCGACCGACGATCTGCAAGCCGACCGGTGCGCCCAGGAAGGTATCAGGGTCATCTGCACACAGGAACGTCTTAGCAGCGCATTCGATGCACAAAAAACCAGACATACCAGACATATGCTTTGCGTAGTACGATTGGTCGACTGGGTCCACTTTAGTGACAGGAAACACAGCTGCGACGTAGTCAAGCGCGTTCCACACCCTCGTGTAATTCGTGTATCTGCATTCACACTGTCAGATATCTAGACAGTCACTGGGGTAGAAATCGTGGTCAACACACCGATTCATCCCATGCGGCGTCGCTGCGCTCGCGGAAGCAGGACCTATAATCGCATCGACAGGCCTGCCGGTACCCGTCACGCTCACCGTGTTCTGCCAGTGATCAAGGTACTCCTTGCGCAGCTGAGTTTTCGCCTTCTGCAACTGCCAGAGATCGTACGCGGAGATCCCCTCGCCGGTAGCGAAGAACGCCTTTCCGGGAGGCTGCTCTTCAAGGCCAAGAGAAGAGAGGAGGGGCTCGCCTGTCGCTTCCGTAGCCGCCTTGAGCTCTGCTCCAGAGCCCGCGCGCCATATACCGTTCTAGGATGCGGATGAGCGCAACGGATGGACCCTACGCAGAAAAGCTGACCATGATGTCACCGAATTCGGCGTGTTTGTAGGGCTGCCAGTCAACCACTACAACGTATCTCAGCGAGTGATACGACCGGAAACTGCGACGAAGACCTGCCTACATGCCCGGCAGCGGCCAGAGCCCCTTTCACCATCTTCAGCGCCCTGACTATTGGCGTATGCGGCCTGACCACCCCGTCGTTCCACATGATCGCAAAGCAGAGCCGCTTGCCGCCGCCGTGCCTAATAAGAGCGTACTCGTCCTCGTCCCATTTCTTTGGCACGACCTGGGGATCCTTGAGCCACGGTTCACGCCCAATCACGGCCTTCAAGAACGTCTTGATGCCGCTGAGGCTGTGGGATATCGGGCCGACCGCGGATAGCATCGAATCGAGGCCATCCAAGGACGTCACGCAACCCTGGTGGGGCAAGCGGTATGAGGATGGCTTGAAGCCGTAGAGGCCGTTGTACGCGGAAGGGATGCGTATAGAACTGCCGGGCGCTTCAGCAAGACGGATACGTGGATAGGGATCGATGGGAACTGACCCTCCCAAATCGGTTCCGACACCGAGTGGGCTCCCCCTCAGAGCTATAAGAGCGCATTCTCCCCCGGAGGACCCTCCACTGGTCAACTTGCGGTTGATAGGATTCACCGTCCTGCCGAATAAGAGATTGTGGGTTTCGACCCACTGGCACGCGGTGAGTCTTAGGTCGAGATAGAGTAGAGAAGCCTACCAGTAACGTCTGAGGCAAGTTGGTCTTGACGTAAGGAATAGCACCACACTCGTGTAGGATCTCGACTAGAGCTGCGTCTTGCTGAGCGAATCGACCGACGTATGATGCGTAGCCTAAGGGTGGCGTCTGTGTCAGTGTACTATCAGGCACAGTCGCCCGCTACATCTGACCCATTGTCGCCTCGAGACCCTTGATTGAGAACTGGTCCTTCAAGGACACGGGCAAGCCATGGAGTGGTCCGATTGTCTTGCCCGTCGTCTTCAGATAATCGTCCAGTTCAGCTGCACGAGCAAGTGCTTTCTCTACAAAAATCTCAGTGAGGCAGTTTACCTGCGGAGATCAAGAGTTCAGTCGCATCGCAATTGTCCTCTGTACAAGATCGTGACATACGCACAAGCTGATGAGCGATTATCGCCCGTTTGCAGAACGCATTGGTCACTTCTACAGCCGACCATTCGCCCTTGGCGAGCTTGTCGAGAATCTCGTTGACATCTCCCGTGTTTGTGATCTGTAGCTCTCTATCTGAGAGCAGTCCACAACGCTCGGGAACGGCAGTCACGTCCACAATATGTTCATCTGGAACCTGTATCAGCCAGTCTTTGGGAATGGATTCTAGTTGTCTGCGCCGCTTGTCTGCAACGAGTCGCTTCCATATTTGCGCCATGAAGAAGTGATGATGATGCGACACTCTGCCCTTTCTTCGTAGGGCGAAATATGGACATTCAAATTCGTGGGCACATTTATTCGAGGGAGAAACACGGGGAAATTGGTCAGAGGGTCCGCGATTTAGCGCTGGGCGCCGTGATCGGCTCGATCTTAGACCCGATCGAGTGGCGGAGGCTGACAGCTCGCCACAACGGCTTACACAGTGCCTAGGCCTTTGCAGCCCACTGTATGGTCAGCCTCAGCTATGGTCGTTCAAATAGATTGCAGTTTGTCTGTAAAATCCAGGAGTATCCTCTACTCTGTATCGGTATTTTTTCTAGAGTGCCTGGTGCACTCGCCCTATTTTCTCACCGGCATGGGATTCCGACAGTCATTTCTCGTCATTCTCTTTCTCACCTTGTGCTGCTGGTCACACCCGCTGGATGCAGCTGAGCGAGGCAAAAAGAGCTTCGTTGCCAAGATAAAGCGCTCCTCCGGTCAGCCGCCTCCCGTTCAGGACGCGGCAAGTCGTGTGTTCGATCCCACATACGCGGTGAGCGCCTCATCAATGTCTATGCCTGACAGTCCACTCACGAAGGGCTGTAGACCGAGGAGCTCAAGGGCCTTGTCGGAAAGTATGCCCAAGCGTCCCAGTTTCTCGCGGGCGTCGGCCTCAACCCGGACCAGCACCCGGAGGCTGGCTACGAGCCATTCACGCACCCGCTCGTCGGCGCGCTGAACACAACAAACTCCACAGCCTATAATGTCACCACTAACTCCCGCACGAAGCCCATAATGGTCCAGAACCAGAACGGCAGCGCAAGTGTTTTGCCGGTCCCCGGGCTCGCCCAGTCACCTCTGACTGACTATAACTCCGATGGGCTCGACATTCTATACTATGGACCCCTCCAGTTCGGCTCGCAGGGACAATCGCTAACAGTAGATATTGACACCGGATCTGCAGATCTCTGGGTACCCGTCAATTGCCGTGCATGTGGCGGCAACTCGTTCAGTGCAGCGCAGAGCACAACATACAGCAACCTCGGCCAAAAGTTTTCTGTATTCTATGTAATTGAGTGTCCATTGCTCTTCATATCATACAACTCACGGGCGGGCTTACCAGGGCGCAGGTCATGTCTCGGGCACAGTTGCACAAGACACAGTTACTGTTGGCCGCCTCGTCGTGAAGCAGCAGGGCTTTGGCGCCGTGCGCAGCGAGTCGGAGGATTTCTATGACCAGCCCTCAGATGGCCTTCTTGGGCTGGCGTTTGGCACGATCGCACAGTCGAAGCAGTCTACGTTCTTTGAGAACCTGATGATGCAGAAGCAAGTAGCGGCCGGGGCGTTCGCTGTTCACCTCGCGCGCGGGCAGACAACAGGATCTGAGGTGAGAGCCCTTCTTCTGACAACAATACCTGATAGTGAACTTGTACATACCGGTAGATATGCTTTGGATGTTTTGACACCACGAAGGCTTTAGGACCCGTCACTTGGAACCCGATCGCCTCTCGCGTGGGTAGCGTCCTCTCGGGTTAATTGTGCTCTGACTGACGCCGTGCACTGTATCAGTCGTACTGGACAATCAACATGGACGGTCTTTCGGTAGACCCGTCGCATAGCGTCAAGACGAACCTCACAGCGGTACTTCTACTCAGTCGGTACGTATCATGTGGCTGATCTTCTCTTTTTAGGCGATCGACACGGGCACCACGCTCATCTACCTTCCCGATGAGGCAGCAGCACAGTTCTACGCCACGGTTAGTGTTGTCCATTGTCCACGTGTCTACACATTGCTCACCGAAATATACGAAGATTCCTGGATCAAGCCCGGCTGTGCAGTACGGCTCCGGTGCGTCTCATCACGTTATCAATACGCTGAATTCATGCTGAACGCGGAGCGGCTTTGCACCGCAATAGGCTTCTATACATACCCCTGCTCTGCGCCACTCACACCGTCGCTGTCTTTCGGCGGGAAGTCATACTCGATCAACACGTACGATTTCAATCTTGGACGTACCTCCACAGACTCCCAGTATGTAGCACACGTTTGGCACGGGCAGCTCGCTCACACCGCGATCAGAGATTGTGTCGGCGGGATACTTGCCATGGGGAAAGGCTTCCCTCCTAATCTCGCGATCATTGGTGAGTCTCTTTGCTATATGCACACAGCGCAGAGTACTGAGTCAGTATATTATGACAGGCGATGAATTTCTCAAGTCGTGTGGGTACCCAATCCTTATCGGTCATTAAACACCGCTGATCAGGGACAACAGGGTACTCTGTCTACGACTACCCAGGGAGTCGTGTGGGCTTCGCCCCGAGCATCAATAACCAATAGAGCCCGTAGCAGCCGGACAACGCTAGTCAAAACCCTCGGCGTCCAATAAGGGCGTGCAACCTAATACATTATTCCATACTTGTCGTCAAGCGCCGAGCACCGATCTTGAGTGTGATGTAAGGGTCCCATGTTTATTCTGTCCTGGTTTTGGGCTTCGCGCCGAGCGTCCTGCCGCCGAGAACCTTGCGGCGCTGCTTCATCATGTGCGTGTACATGATGTACAGCCCTACGTGCATACACGGTCAGCATGTGGAACACGCACTGCTCGAGCACACGTATGCCACGCACCTGGCCACCAGATGAGGAAGAGAACGCAGCGCAGGTCATCGTGCAGCGCCTGCGTCCACCTCGGCGTCGCGAATGGCCACGAGAGCGGGAGGGCCCAGCCGTACCACTCCGACGAGAGCAGCGGAATCGAGGGGGGCGGCGACGGGAGCGACGCGTAGATCAGGCCGGCCTCGGAGCCCGCGCCGGAGGGGTAGAGCACGTAGAAGAGGGTGTAGCGCAGCCAGAGGAGGGCGCGCGGCTCGCGTCCGAGCAGCGAGCACGCGTAGAACACGTAGCGCACGACCTCGGTGAGCGACCACGAGAGCACCATGGACGCATAGAGCGGGTGCGTGTGCGTCTTTGGGGCGTGAGCATGAGCGAAAATAGCGCGTGGGAGCGCGGGGAGGATATGGGCGCACCTCAGGGAAGAGCGCGGTGACACCCCACACAAGATACAGCCTGCTTGCGACCTGCGCCATGGTCGTCCCGAGCGGGCTCCGCACCCAGCCGAGGAGCGAGTGCAGCACCTCGAGGAGCGCGAAGCTCTGCACGAAGGACGTTTGCAGACCCACTACAGCGTACGTCGAGCATGCGCGGCGGAAGAGCGGGACGAGGGCAGCTGGGAGCTGCTTCTCGTAATGGTGCGTTGAGCCGGCGAGCCGGGAGACGATGGGGAGGTACTGTGAGACCGAGGCCGGGATGTAGGACGCGACACGGGACTGGTGCACTGCAGTGGCGGCTACGTCCAGGCCTGCGAGATGTGCGACGGTCAAGGCGAGGACATAGGACCAGCCGACGGCCGAGAGCACATTGTACACGACGAGGTAGTACTTGATGAGCGTGGGCGGGCCTGTGGTACGCGTTCGGACACAATTCCGGAATTGCTGGGTAATTACTCACCCCTCTTCTTGTCGCTCCTTGCAATAGAATTGGTTGTCTGTGCCATCTGTATGTTTTTAAGGGAGAGAAGTCGGCCAACGCCAAAGTCCAGCTTGGGCCGCGAAGTGACAGCGCGACTCGATCAAACAAAGGCTGTATAAGGAAGGTCTCTAAGAACACCGCTCGCAAGCTTCCCCAACGCGTCGCAAGAAAACATAAAGAAAGAATTAGAAATACAACGATTGTTCACATATCGAGCCCCGCATGGACAGTCGAACGTAGCAAGGACATTATAATTTGTATATACCGAGCCGTCGATCGCAGGTTTTAGGAGAAACGCTGGAATGAGCCCAAGAGACACCAGGACAGTGATCAGTCTTTCTTCTCGCTCTCTATCGCCTCTCCTGCTTGCTGCTGTTGCGCCTGCTGTCCATCAGGTGGGCGATGCTGCCCGTTATCCATCATATGCTGCTCCGATCCGGGCATCGTGGGTGGAGGCACGATTCCGTTCGCATCGATCCCAGCCGCGCCCAGTGCGTTCCGCAGATCCGAGTTCTCTCTCTGCAGCGTCGAGATATGCCCCCGTAGCGACCCTATCTCTATGCGCAAGCTGTCCACAAGCGCACGACATTCCTCCCAGCGGCGGTTTGCCTCGTCCGCAGACGCGAGTGCGGCGTCGAGCAGCTGCGAGCGCGACTCGAGTGCCTTGACGTGCCTGCGAGCGGGTCAGGATGCGTCACGGCACGAGGAGAGAAACGCGGGCTGACTGGTCTCGCCGCTCGCGGAATGCACGCTGAGCCTTCCGGTTCTGCTCCGCCCGCTTGCTCTGGCTCAGTGTGCGTCCTGCGGGTGATTCGGGTGGTGACTGCCCGTCATGGGGAAGCGGCCCCTGGGGGTGTGGGGGCGGCGGGGGCATGCCGCCCGGCGTGAAATCGCCTGGGGGCGGTGGGTACGAGTACCCTGGCGTAAATGGTGGACCGCCCAGGTGGGGTGGAGGGACAAGTGTGTGCGGCGGCGGGAGTCCATGCGGCGGCATGCCGGGAGGTGGTGGGCCAGGGTGCATGCCGGGCGGGGGCCCTGGAGGACCTGGTGGCGGGCCCGGGGGTGCTGACTGGATGTTGTGCTGCTCAGCATTGGCAGATGGGGGGGTCTTGCGTTTGCGGCGCGTCGAGGTCGGCTGAGTCACGGGCGGAGGGTCATCGCGCAAGCGGAGGGTTTGGAACGTGCCTGGAGGCTGTGGTTGGTGCTGCTGTTGTTGGTGCTGCTGCTGGTGGGACTGGGACGAGGCGGTGCTGGCATCAGCGGGGTTGATGGTGGTCGGGGGCGGCGCAGACGGGGGGGCGGGCTGCTGAGGAGGAGGAGGGTGATATGGGGTGTGTCCCAACATGGGCAATCTGCGGATGTTGAGATGAGATGGGTGTATTAGTAAGAAATCTCGCGTGGCGGAGATTGATTCTCGCAGCGCGTCTCTTCCGCGGCACTCTCCGGCCGACAATCGTATTCGGCAGTCCGTCGAATTCCACAATCCTCAGTCCCACCGACTCCGTCGAGGACCTCCCTGCGTTACGTTCTGCCCCTGCTGCTCGTGGATGCTTATGCATCACCTCTGTGGCGATTGAGATGTGAGGATAAACACTCAGCTCAATGTTTCAACCGTGTCGAGCTCTCATCGGAGCAAGACAGACAATCTCTCCTTGAATTAGCGCAGCTGGTATCCTATCTGACTGCAGCGGCAATAACTCCGTGATATCGTAAGCATTGTCGAAATGAACGTCAAGGCGCCCGAGGTTCCTGTCCTCCGATGACCCTATTGGCCCACATCACGGCTGAGTTGTCCATAGAATCCGCATACCGGGGAACATTCCCTTCAGTTACAGAGCCCTCAGGTCACAGCTGCATATTGTCCATTTCGACCCCAGGATGCCTCGCCCGTTGCCGGCCGTCGGTACGTTTAGTTAAGATTCGATGCGAGTAGGAGGCCATCGTTCGTCTATTGTTTCGTGGATACGGTATCCTTGCTGATATCTAGAGTCGTGATTGTAGCGAAGACTGTTGCCTGAATTAGGAGACCCCGAGATGACCCAGGAATGGGTTCAACCGAGTAAGAGCGATGGTTTTTACTCAACGTTCGCGGGATGCTTACGGCCAGTGCCGCGACAAAGTCCAGTCGACACAAACCTACTCGGAACCGCGTGTCTAGCGCAGCGAGAAAGAGCATTCAAATCTCACAAGATGCTGTGCTCGGATTTGAAAGGAATGGTCTGCATGTGGTCGACAATCGCTCTTTACATCCCGGAGGCTGTGTAACACATAAGCTTGCACGGACCGGTGAGCTGTGCACCGTAGCCAATTACAACAGCCTGCACTATTCAATTGCGCGAGACGAGCAATGTGGCTACTTGTTGCGCAGCCCATGTTACTGCATAATCAATTGACATGTCAATGATGTACTATGCGCTTTGGGACCGATGCCGGAGGGAAAAAGCAGATGAATTGAGAAGCAGGAGAGCACCCAGGCGCGCTGAGTAGGCGCAGGCCCCATATTTGGAAGTGCATGTTCACACGCAAACACGATGCAACGCGCCGACTCGAGAGCACTGGATGTTGTCCTCCCCCGCTCTTCTCTCATACCCATCTGCCCTCTGCAGCGCTCGCTCCCATGGCTACGCAGCACTCATCAGACGACCCAAGCTCTCAGGTATTTATTCCTGCCGTTCTCGATCCTGGCCCGAAGGTGATGACGTGCGCGCAGACCAAGGGGAAGCACGCGGAGGGGGAGCCAACCGTCCCGCAGCCTGCAGAGGGCGCGCAATACCAAAGAAGTAACGAAAAGACAGACCAGAACAACATACAGAATGCACACAGGCGGTCGCCCAGCAGCATCGCCAACGGACGCCCAGCAGACCGTCCCGGGAACGGCAGCACCGCCAGCCAAGGCCAGGACCCGGCGGCGCTGGCATCCCGACCGTCCACGCAGGATCCCGCCCAGCAGCTCACCGCAGGCGCGAGCTCGTCGACGCCAGTGCCGCTCGGAGACGCCGCAGACAAACCTAAGGACGGCGACAAGGACAAAGGCTCGCTGGACACCACCCTCAATACCCGGACGCACTCCATCCGCCACAAGGACGCGAAGTCTGCCTCGGAAGGCGCGCACACAGTTTCCAGCACGGCTGAGCCGCCCGACTCGCCGCGGTCGAAGACGAAAAGGGCGCGCCAGTCGTTGTTCGTGAAGCTCTTCCATGTTCTCGTGCCGTGCGTGGGGCCTTCTGCGAAGGCCCGCTTCGAGGACGTAAAGTCGCATGAACACAGGCGGAAGGACGCTACGAACACCGTGGCGTTGAAGGAAAAGCAGGCCGCAAAGGAGGCTGAAGAGCTCCCTCCACCGCCGCTTGCGCAAGAACCGGCGTCGGGCGCTTCTTCTGATCAGCCCGCGCCTGCTGAGCCAGCGCCGACGGCGCAAGAGTCGACGCCGACGCTGAACCCTCTGACAATACCCCCGCAGGTAGAAGACATGACAGACCCTGCGTTGATCATACCCCCCACGCCAACGAAGTCCCTGCTCCCGCCAGACGAGACGGAGGGGATGACGTCCGGCGCTGTGCAGCCGCCAGGTTCGACAGGTGAGGATGTCATGCACGACCAGGTGCTCGGGCGTGGTCGAGACTCGGGCGACGAGAGCGACGGCTCGACAAGCTTCACGGAGGACGAAGAGCTGGACGAAGCGAACGCAATAGATGACATTGAGGACGAGGAGGAGCGGTTAATCATGAACGGTGGCGCTGGGATACCTGTGGGGCCGGTAAGTGGATGTATTTTCAAGACGTTCGATGGTTCGCTAACGTGATCGGGAAGGATGGCAAAGCGAGACCTCTCCTACCTCCAATTTTGCCTCAACATGTCGGACGGAAATGCCTTGTCCTTGATTTAGACGAGACATTGGTGCACAGTAGCTTCAAGGTATGGCATTCTTCTACGCCTGCATCTATCAATGCTGATAGTTGTCGCAGTCAATACAACAGGCAGACTACGTTGTCCCTGTTGAAATCGAGTATCATTGGCATAATGTGTACGTAATCAAGCGGCCAGGCGTCGATAGCTTCTTGAAGCGAATGGGCGAGATTTACGAGGTGGTCGTGTTCACGGCGAGTCTGAGCAAGGTTGGTGTAGTGTGCCTCTATTGATTATCCCTGAGTAAGTTTGGTTTTTTTTTGCAGTACGCGGATCCGGTACTGGACAAGCTCGACGTTCACCGTGTCGTGACACATCGATTGTTCCGGGAAAGTTGTTACAACCACCGAGGTAACTATGTCAAGGTCAGTACACAGGATTGTGCTGTGCTCATCTTCAACTGACCGCGTTTATCCGACTGGCAGGACCTGTCGCAACTCGGACGACCAATCTCGGATACGATCATTATCGACAACTCTCCGGCGTCATACATTTTCCACCCAAATAACGCCGTCCCTGTGTCGTCATGGTTCAATGACCCTCATGACACAGAGCTCACTGACCTATGTCCGTTCCTCGCGGACCTTGGCCAGGTAGACGACGTGAGGGGCGTGCTGGACGGAGGGCTGTAGCCCCATGCCCTGCGCATTAGCCGTCTGGACAGTGATACCATTTCATTATCGCTATGTGTCCCAGACAGCGCGCCTGTCACCCTGTCCTACTTATGCGAACATATGATGCGTCGTGGCCTCGGGAGGTGCCCACGGCTGCTGCAGCCCTTGTTCTGACGTTGCTCACTACTCGGACATCCGCCTACCCTACCGTCACCCCCATACTGTCTGATCCTGTCTCCTGTCTGCGCGCCCACATTTCTTGCTCGTCTCCTCTCGATCGTATATACGCAGTCAATTAAGCTTTCGTATACCCTGCAACCCAGTTCCATCCACCGGCTATCCATCAATCGTCACGATGCTCCTCGCTCCCACATCCGCCAGTTACACCATTCATCCTCATATAGCGGCGCCGCTCTCCTCGCGCCGTGCTATCCCTGGACTCGTCTGCAGTTGACCATCGCATCCCGCCGTACGTGTAGCTTATCGACTCCTCATCTCCAGAGTCCCACGTTCGTTTGACCCAAAACCTGCCGTCTTTGCGTCGTCGTCTTTTTCTCCTGCTCTCGTTCGTTTGTCTCGTTTCCTCTCTGCCATTTGTGCCACAATTCTTCTTGGAACGTTCGCTAAAGGCGCGCTCGTCTCTAATACGGACCTTGGACTGGGCATTATAATCCACATTTTCTACCTTTTTGCGAGCTTGTGTTTCTGTACTTCAGTGGGCCCGTCGTTGGGCCGCGGTTCATCCGCGTTCACCGTATGTCCTTCTATTTCTCTGACTGTAATCGGACTTACTGCTACATGTCACCATTACGAGCTTGCACGAACCTGATGAGAATGCCATATGTTTTATATGCGTAAACTCGGTTAGAAACGTGACGTTATGTAGATCAAACATCATGCAGAACAAGCTGGTGAGCACGCCGCTGTGACCAATGACAATCCGAAGGCTGTGACCTGTCCGACGTGATGATGGTTGTACGGACACTCGTGAACCCTCCAAGATGTATACTACCCTTCTATCATCACAATCATCTTGATGCCATCCGAGAGCTGACTATCGTTCTGTTAAGCGAGTCGGCTTGCTGAACATGTGGTGTCATGTGCGCGCGCACCGTCGTTCTACAGCACCTGCCATTTTTGGACATCTAATATCTGCATCCGCCGGTCACGCATGAAACATGGCGCGCCTTCTCCTTGGACCTCTGACTGAAGGCTCCTCCTTCCGCCATGCGGATATCTGGAATGAGAATTGTATCCTGTAGTCGATACCGAGATGTCCGGTTATTACCCCGCATACCGACTACCGTCCCTTTCCGCATTATAATGACGTCCCGCTTCCTGAATACCCTCTTCTCATAAGTAGCGCACGCCATCCACTTTCTTCCCTTCCTGCCGCATACCATGTCCCCTACATACCACCTTGACCCTCGAGTAGACCACACCAACCCACAATTTCCAAATGCCGGTCTGAGGAGTCTTAGTTCGCTCATACACCTGCTAGGTACGCTGATCTCCTGGGTTCGTGCGCCCCTTTTGACCTATGCTTTTTCAGGGGTATCCATATTGTCCTTTCTGTTCTCCCGGAGATTCAAATTGGAGTATTTCACGTCTCTGCGAAGCGTGGTGAAGACAGGCCTGCCAAGAATACTCGTTGTAATCACCTTAGTGCTTTCGTACGTCTCCTCGCCGAACGCTGGCTCCAGGCTGCTAATTCAAGTACACCAGCTGGGTTTTTCTCTTCACCTGTAAGCTTTCTCCGAGCTTTCTCCATTCCTCGTATTGATATGACCTGACAGCCGGCGTGCTCATCTTTGGTGCCGGGCTAGGAAGGAACAACACTGTCTGTTCAATGGCCATCATCAATTGCATTGCATTCTACACGACCTCAAAGATATTTATATACCTGTTCCTTCGTAAGGTGCTTCAGCCCTCTTGCAGTGACACCACGCCGACGCTCATTCCTGTAGTGGAAAAAATACATGTCGTCTGGAGCGCGTCTGCTCGCGCAAGACGCTTTCACTCTCCAATATATATCACAGGCTTTATCTTCGTATGCTTGTACACCGTAGTGGCCGCAGTCGTCATATGGCGTGAGTGTTCACCATACTATCTCCGATGGGCCCGTCTGACTGCAACACAGAGAGGGTGTCATTTTTTCGAGGTGATGGGACATGCGTGATAGGACTGAGGCGTCCAGGGTCGATCCTGCTTCTCGCATACGACCTGTACACATTTCTGCATTTTCTCCTCCTTGCATGCGCTGACCGCAACCCAGGTCGGTCAACATCCTGTTCACGTCTCTTTTCCTGTGGCCCTTGTATCGCTCGACATTCCGTAGCGCACGGGTACGACAAGTTGCAACGCGCACAGTATGGTATGCTCATCATGCCGTATTCGCTAGCCTCTTCTGATCATCGTGGCTTCACAGGGCTGCAGCCGTCGCGCTGACTACATCCTGCGTCAATATCCTTATCTTGACCCTCATGAAGGGCCGTCAGCTCGGCTGGATATGCCTTGGTAGCTGCGGGACAGATGTACGTAGCCTTTGTGACGCGTGCGCAAGTGTTTCCCTTATGCTGTCTCGCCATAGGTCGTCGTGAACGCCGTCGTCCTTTTTTGGGTGACCTCAGGCAGACGGGATTCGCACTCGGCCGAAGCGCCGTTGCCTGAAGAGCTGCCAACCAACCCGCGCGAGCGGCGCAGCATTAGTCTGAGCTTGCGCAAGCCACCGATGATTCACCAAAGTTCGCTTTTGCCAACCGTCCCGTTAAAGCTCGGCGCGTCCAGTACAGCTTCACAGCACAGCTCGACGAGCCCCTCGGGCTGCAGCCCAGAGAGAGAGCCGCATGCCGTCGCAAACACGATGATGCTGACACCGCTGGACGAAAAGGCTATTGTAGAAGAACATGAGCGGACGTCGGTAGAGGAGGCACCCCGCAGGGGTATTTCCGGCTTCTTCTCGTCTATCTTTCCTCGCCTCGGCCCGACCGAGGAGGGATCATCTTCGCAAGACATTCAGGTGCGTTGGTTGTTTCTGGGGAGATCGTTCATTATATCAACTACACTTGCCTCCCCTAGATCACCGTTACGACAGACTACGACGTCGATGATAGCATATCATCAACCGCAACGAGCAGTATAAGTGAACCTCCTGTATAGCAAAGTAGTATTCTTTTATTACAACCGCATTGTATAGTACGCAAGGCTTGTCTCACATCTTACATATATCCTATATGCTCGTCCCAAGTCTAGGCGTGACAGTATAAACGCGAATGAATCGCAGCTGCAGTCATCGCTATCGGAATCATTTTAACCAGAGTACTGTTGGAACAACTGGTGCGACGGCGTGGGGCGCGTTTGTCCACGGGCGTAGCGATGCCCGTAAGGGACAATCGCGTGCGGTACGTACATCGCACGGGGTCGTTATATACTACGATAGGGGCCTCCGGCCCTCGGCTACTCGCGCGCCCGAGCTTGCGAGCTCGTTCCTGACCGCGCGGGTCAGCGTGTTTCAACAAGTACCAGTCGCGGTCGTTGGCAAACTGCCCGATTGTGATTATCCGCTTCATGACACATCTCGGCCTCCAACGTTATAACTACATCTCAGTCCAGCGGTCATGGTTGCGTTTCACAGCACGATGGTGCTACTGCGGCCGTCCAACATTTCCGTACGACCCACTAGAACGTCGGGCTGCCGGGCGACGTCCATGAATGCACTCTGCTACTCTTGTGCGTCTTACAGCTACTTGAGCCGTTTCGCCAACGATGAGCCCGTCGATTTCTGCTCGCATACATTGACTAGACTTCTATGAACTGCTTTAAATTGCACGATACATTCCCCACAAGCGATTTAGTTATACAGTAAATTACACCCAGACCATGTCAGCCGACTTGTACGCTCACATCCATTTGTGTCTTGACCATGGCTGCGACGTCGTTCAAGACGGTTTCTGCGTGGTGCAGCTGGTCGCTGAGCCTTTTTGCTGCCTCGGGGTCCTTCAAAAGCCTCGCCACCTCGTTCAACTCAGGCATCAACAGGTCGTCGTCGCTCCCTTTCAGCACGCTCTCTACGTGCTTGACCACTCTCATTTTCTTACTCCAGAGATCAAAATATATCGGATAGTACTTTTGATAGTACTGTGCGAGGGCTTGGAGGTCCATAGGTTCCGACAGCGGAGGCGGGGGCGGTATCAAGTGTGGTGTATGCGCAGACTGATAGGGCTCATCCTGCTCGTAAGCTGGTTGAATAGACTCGGCAGCCTCGCGTGCTGGCTGAATGGGCTCAACCTCCTCATGTTTTGGCTGGTTTGATTTGGCCTCTTTTGGCTCCGCCACGTCTGACCCGGCATTCGACTTCTCGTCTTCAGTAGACGAAAACTCCGGTGTAGGGCGTCGCTTGCTTGACTTCTCCGTACGCGAGTCAGAGGATGCAGACGATATGTCCCCGGCGTCGTCCGCTGTCATTCGCGATGGAGGTAGAGGAGATCGCGTGACTGAGAGTGAAGACGCTTCTCGTTTTGCCCTCGCTCTGCTAGCAGGCTCTGGAGAGGCCTCGCGTTTGGGCCTTTTGGAGGGCCCTGGAGATGATTCGCGCTTGGCCTTCTTAGAAGGCCCTGGAGATGCTTCTCGATTGACCTTGCCTCCGCGAGAAGGACCTGGAGAGATCTCACGCTTGACCCTGCGGGGAGGAGCTGGAGACAGTTCGCGTTTGAGCTTGGATCCGTGGGCAGGGGTTGGAGAGGCCTCGTGCTTGACGGTCTTACGCGGAGGAGACACGTCTCTGGCTCTGCGCAGTGGCGAGGACACGTCTTTATCTTTGGTCTTCCGCATCGGCGGAGAAGCATCCCTGGCCTTCCGTGTTGGGGAGGAGACATCCCTTGCCTTCCTTGCCGGACGCTCGTCATCGTAGTCTCGCTCCCGCGCCCTCTCTTTCTCGGTCTTGTGGCTCTCGAGTTTCGCCTTCTTTGTCTTCGCGAGCGGAGCTTCGTCCTCGGACACGTCGAAGTCTTCTCGTTCTTGCTTCTTGCGCTTCTTCGTGCGAGACGCGGCCTCAGCAGCCTCGACGATCTCGTTCACCAGCGGCGAGGAAGGTTTGGGCCTCTTAGCTGGACGCTCATCCCTGCTGGGACCAGTGCTACCAGAAACCTTGCGCTCCGGAATGGGAGATACGGGCCTACGAGGCGATCAGAAGGTTTTCTTAAGTCTCCTTCGAGCCACGATAACTGCCGATGAACATACCTCTTGGACGCGCTTGACGGCACAGGCGATGCATTACGGCCAGATGTGGATGCAACGGCGGGTGACCCTGAAGCCCGCATCTTGGTCCCTGAACCCGGTAGCTTGCGCTGAGTGGGAGCAGCAGACGGCGCCAAGGTCACGACGGGCACAGTTTCGCGCTCCTTGCCCTTGTTCGGCCGCTCGTCCCTCATTGGCACACTATCGCTTGCCTTCTTTTTGCTGCCCTCGGCTCCCTTGGGCTTCTTCTGCTTGTCCTTCGTGAGGATGCCGTTCCGCGGCACACGATCGGGCGTAGCTGCTCTCGCGACCGCATGTGGCGGAGGCGCAAGCGTGGGCGTGGAGGCGCGGGGGCTCGGTTCTGGTAAAGGCTCAGGTTCTTGCTCCCGCATGTGCCGCCACAGCGGGTCTGATCTAGGGACGCCAAGGGTAGTGAGCGCCATGCGTGCCTGCGCTGCAAGATTCTGGCGTTCCTTAAAGCCGAGTGAGGGCCATCCATATGGACGGATCTCCTTCCAACCCTCGGTCCCCAGCTGCCAATGCCCTTCGGCGGTCTTCTCGCCGGTCTGCGAACGAACCGTCAGAGATGACTCGCGAATGATCTGTGGTACTTACAATATTCAGGAGTCTCAAGAGAGTGGTTTTCGTACCGGGATCGCATTCCTTACCGCCGACATACCTAAACACGGCCTCAACGGAACGGGGGCAAATCGCTATAAAGTGCACCAAGCGGCTCCTCAGCGAGTTGGGTCCTTCATCACCACGCGAAGAGGAGGGGATAGGAGGAGATACCCGCGGCTGTATGGTGGGGGATGCGGGCACGGTTCTCGGGGAAGCAAGTCGGGTAGCCTGGGTGCTGGAACCAGGTGCATCCCTGTGCAGATCGTGTACCGGCACGAGTTTCTTAGATACTGTGATACCCTTCGGTTTATCTTTGCGCTTCTTCTGGGCGGCCGGCTTGCCCAGATCTGGGGGGGCGTCGAGCAGGATCGTCTTGCGCTGTTTGCGCTCGTCCTCTGCGTTCATTGTGCGGCCGCGCACCTTCTCCTGCACAGACTTATCGAGCTGCCGCTCGACGGTAAACTTTCCCGCCACGCTCGCGTAAAGTTTCAACGCGTTAGAGGGCCGCGCCGCCGAAGACGCGCGGAGGTACAGTTCGTGCGGGACCTTCTCCTCTAGCGGGCGCATGGGGTAGAACCTTTCGCCAATATAAATGCCCTGTACCGTGCGCTGTCAGCGCCATAGCCAACGGCGCGTGGCTTGGGACATACCGGGCGGTCGCTGAACTCGACGTCCAGCTGTGCGTTGAGTTCGTTCTCGAGCGCTTCGAGGGTCTCCGCCGACATGCGAACGATCATGGCTTTCTTGCCCTTGGCTTGTATGGGGTCGCCATGGTTGGATGGCACCTGCAGTGCCAGCGTCGTGTCTGCAGGGAGTGGCATGGCTAGGTATAGGTGGCGTCAGTCGGGCCGACTTGGAATCGTTTGTGATATCGAGGCTGATAGTTCGTTGAAGTCGAGCCCCGGAGCACGGTATAAGAGTGTGTATTGCTGTCGCCACACACCAACTAAGAGCTGTGTGCGATGATGGTGGTTCAAGAAAGAGAGCTGCTTGGCTGGTGGTCCGGTAGTGGCGGCTAGACAAAGAGTCGGAGGCGCCGGGACCGGCATTCTTCATGAAGGGCTCGGCAAGATAAACGATAGATCCTCTTGTTTATCGTCGCGGACTTAAAATGTGCCTCCGGACCTGTGCCTGCCCCATGGGATGTCTGTGAACGCGGCGTCGACAATATTATGACGAGTACAAGACTCCAAGCTCAACATCTCAGGCTTGCAAGAGTCGACCACAATGAATATTCGGAAAATCCGAAATACAGTACAGTTTATTCGTCCACGAAAAAATCATACCCAGTCCATCAGACAGCACAAACATCGCCATTATTGTTGTCAGGTGCTAGTGTACAAGGTGGATCTCCATGACAACTGTTGACGCAAACAACACGATTGGTCCATCATACCATATTGTACAAAATTTAGATAGGGCGCGCCGGGGACCAATAAGGGCAGATATTCACAACATTCGTGAATAGTCTAGCGGTCCTGTAGGTCGTTGAGGAGGCGGAGGATATTGATGACTGCGATACGAGTTAGTGACGAGGTGGCGGAGTAGGAGGTGATACTCACAGAGATTGATGAAGCTAAAGAAATCACAGAGTTAGATATGGATGGATAGACAAATCGGAGGTCAACATACTCAAGATACAGGCTGATAGCAGCCATGATATACTCATCCGGTGAGAGCCTCTTGGTAATCATGTAGGTATCATAGACGACATAGCCGCTGAAGATCAAGCAGCCACCGCAAGCGAACACGATGTCCATAGCACGGCCGAACGGTATAAAGATACCGACGAGGCCAGTCATCACTGTAGCAAGACTAATTAGCGTGATCTTAACGGCTGAGGTTATAAAAACGCACTGAGGGCCATCAGGCCGCCAAAGAGCCAGGCGCCCATCCCAGAGAAGTCATACTGTTGATATGTCAGGACGTAATATATCAAAAATTGTCCTCTCCACACACTTTGGACTGCAGAGTAAAAAGGGTCAGGCCAAGAAACACTCCCACAGTGATTAGTCTTTGAAGACGAAACCATCAGTGCGTCGCATATCGAAGAGAAGACACCGGCACTCACAGTGCTTGAAGGACAATCGCTGTGTCGAAGAACGCGGTAGTGACCCCAAGGGTAAAGGCCTCCAAGAGGGTGAACGTTGATAGAAGGATTAGGTTAGACGGGTGGCTGTGACGCTTCCAGTAGAGCAGGCCGAGGTTGACCAAGGTACCAAAGAGGGGTATATAGAGGGACCAGATGCTGTGCAGTATGTGAGATATGTGCGCAGTAACGTAGCTATTGGGTATGACTCACTGGGTCTGAACCCACAGGATGGCATTGGGCGAATGAGAAATACCACCAGCGACGAAGCAAGTAGCGAGCTGAAATGGTCGGAGAGCAGTTCATATGATGCAACGCGTGCACCTACAATTTGGCAGACTGGACGTAACGTATCAGGATGAGGTGAATGGGCGCGGAAGCAAAACCACTCACAGAGAATCGTATAGACCTTCCTCACGAAGGCTCTCCGGATCTCCGGTGCACTGTCGGCAACAGTGGTCCCGTACTTAATGCGGGGGCAAGATCAATAAGAAGACAATTGGGGGAGGGGACAAGAACTCACCTTGAAATCGTCCGGAATGTCATCGAAAGCGGGTTGCTCGAAGATGCCGCCCGCACTAGGACCGGCCCTGGGACTTCCGAGTAGAGGCTGCGCAGCCTCCTCCTCAGGCACTGCTGAGAGCTTTGGAGAATCATGGTAGGGCGGGGGAGCGGCGGTATAGTTGCTTGTGCTCATGGTGGTCAGTGGTCAAGATGCAGAAGGAATGGGGAAGACCGGCGGACGCAGGGGAATAGCCTCAGCACAGCGCTTGTTCCGAAGCCGAGAACTGGTGTCATAGGCACGTGACCGACTACGATCACATACGCGCGCCTACCGCCGCTGCTGTATCCGGCGCCCAGGGCCTGTGTGTTCGCCATACGCGCCATGAAGCACGTTCACACCATGCCGAGATAATACTTCCCAGTACCGATGCTCCTAGAGCTTGAGCTAGACACCCTGCACCCACCACTAGACATGTCCGACGAAAGAGAGTCACTGCTCGCCGCTGAACACCGCGCGGATTCGCCGCGCTCGCGCCGACGCGCGCGGCCGCGTCCCAATCCGCTGCCCAAGGTCCAGCTCGCGGTGGTGTATGCTATAAAGCTTGTTGTACCCATTGCCTCCACTCAAGCCATGCCTTACATGAACGTGCTGGTGTCCGAGCTTGCTGCTTCCTCGGGCGCGGAAACCGGATATTACAGCGGCCTTGTGGTGCGTGTTCAGTCGACCATCATCGGGGCGTGTTTCGAACCGTGGACTTCTAGGGCAGCGCGAGTTCTACTGCACATCTCTTAACCATATATATGTGGGGGCGACTGTCTGGTACGTTTGAATTCCGTCGAGGTGCATAAACAAACTTATGCGTACACAGACAAGTACGGGCGCAAGCCCGTCATCATTATTGGAACGGTGTGGACAATACTGTTTACGCTCCTATTCGGAGTGTCGCGTACATTATCTGCCGTGATCTTGACTAGGTTCCTCAGTCAGTCTTGCTTTTCCCCGGTCTTGTATCCAGATACAGTCTATATCCGCGGCGGAAAGGATGCTTAGTACAGCTTGATAAGCGCACTTCCTTTTCTGCGGACGACCACTTGTATTAAGCAGAATAGGATGTGCGCCTACCGAACTGCGCTTTCGACATTTGTTGGGTACCAGCGCGTGCTCAATCATGCTTCGAATATCCACTGGATTACAGCCCTGTGTAGGACGTCAGGTAGAATGCCGTCCTGATTCGGCATTCCTGCGCGTCCTTACTTGTGCTACACGATAGAACACGCGCTCGCTCTCGACATCCTCGTCTGCGACTCGCGCAGTCGCAGGATGCACAATCATTAGGTTAATGGATACGGGACCATTTGCACCGGATCCCAATTCGTGAGCTCACGGAAATGGCCTACACAGCCGGTATATTTTCTGGGACAACAGGCGCGATCCACTCCGTTGTCGGAGAACTGGCCGACTCGACAAACGAGTCCGTCGCCTTTCCGCTATACGACATTGTCTCTGCGGTGGGATTTGCGGTCGGGTACATACCTCACAACCTGATACGAGCGAAGATTCTTGCTTACTCAACTCGTTTGCGACCAGCCCGTTGATCGGGGGTACATTCGCCAATCCGGCCGAGCAGTTTCCTGGGCGGTTCACCAGTCCCTTCTGGAGAGCTTACCCATACTTCCTGCCATGCCTGGTGACGTCACTCATCGCGCTTGCTGCGCTGATCCTCGCAATATTCGTGTTGGACGAGGTAGGCATAGCTAAAACACTTGTTCCATGCTGAGCAATGAACGCGATCCCAATTGCGCAGACGCATCCAGTCAAACGGCGAAAGTTGATTTCCGTCGACGTTGACTCGCTGGACCACGAGGAACCCATCTCCACTCATAGACACAACACAAGTGGGGACGAAGACGATGTCTATGCTTCCTCGCAACCGCTTAGCATTAAGTCCCTACTCTCGATTCCCGTCATTCAGATGGTCTGCGCTTCGAGCGGGGCGCTCTCGTTTGTCGCGGGTTGCTTCAACACCGTGTTCGTCCTCCAGGCCTACAGCCCGATTAACCATGGCGGCCTCGCCCTCTCGGTGCGTACCCCCTCACCACTGCAACGTGCATATACACTGGTGGGCTGACGGCCGCTCGCATAGCCCCCTGAGATCGGCCGGGCGCTGGGCATCATGGGCACGGTGTCGATTTTCCTGAAGCTGCTGATGCCGCCGCTGCTCAGGCGCTTCGGTGTACTGACGGTGTTCCGGTGGTGCATGCGCTCGTGGCTTGTCACGTTCGCATCGATGTCGCTGCTCTCGGTCGTCGCGAAACAGGTGGAGGGCGCGGGCGGCAAGGCGGTGGAGTGGACCGCGATCAGCTTTGTCCTATTCCTCTCGCGCATCGGCTGTATGGCGTTCTCGTGCGTGTCTGTTACCAGTACCCTGGTAGTCTTGCTCACCGGCTCTCGGTTGTCTAGCATTATCATGATTCTAACCAAGGACCATACTCCTGGCACGTCGTCACTTGGCACATCCAACGGAATGGCCGAGTTCGCGCAGTCTCTGATGGGCGTTTTCTCCCCCACTATCGTCAGGTCAGTTGGCAGCTAGACATGTTCGCTATGTTGATGCTCATAATCTCTGCCAGCTCACTCTTCGCCTTCTCGGCAACACACAATGTCCTAGGTGGACAGTTCTGGGTCGTGGTTCTAGTTCTCCTCTCCGTGCTCTTTACTGTGCCCGCTGAGCGCCTCAGGAAGTATCGAGACGACTAAGCATGTGTGTTTCGCTTATCGTTGCTGCCGCTGTACTGTTGCTGTACTGTGTAGATCGGATGTAGAGTATATAGATTGTATGGATTATCGTTTTTCTCCTACCTCAAACAGGTCATTATGGGCGTTATGCAATGGCAAGTTGTGTCTACATTGCGTTGGTGTCATGAAAGTCGTAACGGTTTACTAGTAGCTCTATATAGTACTTTTGTCCCTGCATAGAGGAGTCCTGAATGCTGAACTGCCATAACGCGTAGGTGAACACTCATGCGGGCAAGGGCTCGCCGAGACCATAGAAGAGGGCCTCGTGTGGGAATCCGGTGTCGTACAGATCGCGTAGATGTGCTGCCATAGGATCCACAAGCGTCCGCAGCGCATTCATGATGGCACTTGCTGTCATCTGCAAGCTCCAAGTGCCGACATACTTGATCCGGCGGTTGAAGTTCGCCTGTGCGACGTGATACGCCATCGCTTCGTAAACCTACGAGTACAGCAGTCAATAGTCGAATCGGCACAGCGGGGAAAACGAATCATACCTTGAGAGCGATCTCGTCCATGAGACCAGCTAGATAATTGTCATTGATAATATCATTTCGGTCAGGCACAGTAATACTCACTTTCCCAAAGCTATAACAGACGAGATGATTAGCATGTGTGTTTTACAAAGCAGTAACATGAACTCACTGTCCATGAACCCTCAAAGTCGCAGAGCGGCTTCACTACCCGACACCGTATAGGGACCAGCGTCCGGTTTGCGCTGCATGCCACGCAAGATGAGTTTCGTGAATAATCAGCAGGGGACCTTTAGACACGCACTTCATGAAGGCAACGATCGGCCTGATCAGCGCATTATTCACATAGCTCAGATCGTTCGTGAAGATGGGCACTGCGGCCTTAAGGTCGCGGAAACGCAGGTCGATGTCGATGACCACCTGCGGCTCCGTTTCTTCCATCCGGTCATTATCCGACGGTGCGCTCAGCGGAGGTTTAGCCAGCTCGCGTTGCCCGGGGATGCGCTCCGCCGCGGACGAGATCGCGTCTGCGAGCTCGCCCAGGAGGGCATTCAGGGCAAGGTCACCTTGCGGATCGCGCGGGAACTTGATGTCGAGCACTGCGTCGACCTTACCCGAAGTTATCCAGGAAATAGGGCCCTCGGCAGTGGTCATGGCCTGCAGGTGATCGACGTTTAACCCGTCCATTCGGAAGCGAGACTGCACGCAGGGCACCCCGAGCGGCATCAGCGCAAGCAGATTCGCGTTATGACGTCATTGACGCACCATACGCGCCCACTGCCCGTCCTTGAGATCCTGGTCTGTCGTACGCCCGATGCTCTGCGGACGGTGCAAGCTGAACAGGCAGTTGTCAAATTGACCAACAACGTTCTCTGCAGAGAGGAAGTCGTAGAACAACCACTGCTTCCGGAAAGTGTGCATATCTGCGCGGAAGATCGATGCCGTGTACGGCCGGAAGCCGCCAGGCTGGTACACGGTGATCAGAACATCCTCCAATTGCAAAGACTCAAGCTCGAAGTCGCCAGGTTGCGACTCGTGACGGAACGAAGCAGGGTCAAGCGGGTTGTCGGGATCCCATGTCACTGAACGGCGATCTACACGCCTATCAGCTTGGGAGACCATGATATTTCAATTTCCGTACCTAACACGCCTCTGACACCCTTGACGACCGCGTCGACAATAAGGCCTTTGCCTTCGAACCACCTTGCAAAGGACAAGGTCACGTCAATGGAATCTACGCTAAGATCAAACATAGCGTAGTTCAGGTCTTCGTCGGTATGCACTATTACGTGCCCTTCGTCGTCTTCATCACCTGTGTGATGGAACGAGGGATGATTGCTGACGTCGTAGCCCGCCGCCACCTTATGTCCCGCGTTAGACATAGCCGACAGACGCTTTCTAGCGATTTCGGCACCGCCAGGACCGCGGATAACATAAACGTTCTTGAATGATATACGCGAGTCCTTCCATTTGGGGACTATAGCTGACTCGAAGATGATCGTGGTGCCGGTCTCAGCGGTCAGATAGTCGCTGATGGCGCGAGCAATGTTCTCTATGTAGCGGTAAGAATATGTCGTATGCAGACTTCAGGCCGAAACTCACCTTGCAAACGCAGACTATTGGCGGTGGCAAACACAACTGAAAAGAAGGTCGTGCTGGGAATGGGCACACTCAGCATGGGAGAGCAGATTGTGGTGGTGCTCTCACGTTCCAACGAAAAGCCATAACGTCTGACTCATGAAGAACCACGTTATGAACGCAGAGATCTCATCTGCATTGTACTTGCGGAAAGAACGAATAGTAAGCCATTTGAAGCGTATGCGAAGACGCTGCCAGAAGCCAGTAGCGGCATTCAGGAAGTCGTCGCGAGTCGGTCGATGCAGATGCGGTAACGACATAGCAAGCCTTCGAAAGAGTCGCGGATAGTTCTCAAGTCTTCGAGGACCCAGGTCGTCTGATATGTCTTCATCAGAAGATGCGGGTGTGCGAGGCGAGGCGGAGGCGCCGCGGGTGTCCTTTGCATGAGGTTGGTCGGCTTTGCTTTGAGTTTTGCTACCAGACGTGTTGCAGAAGCGCCGCAGAGTATAAGATGCACTTATCAATGTTGTCGATGAATTCCGCGAAGCTGACAACCCATGTAGAGTCTGCGGAGTTAGAGACTGCTGCCTGGCAAAAAATGCACGAATAGCATCGTAGCGGTCGACGGTAGCGGCTGTTTGCGCTCGGCTAGTATGGCGGAGAATGGACGTGCGCCATGCACGAGAAAAGGACATCCAGAACGCCGCTTTGAGTGCAGCGCAGTAGGATGGAGCGGAACAAGGAACGCACTGCTCACACGAGCACCTTTCCCGGAGACCAAAGGGTAGGGTCACGTGCGACGCGTCCTCGATCGCGTCTGATTATAAGCGCCGATGGCGTCGCGGTCGAGTATGGCAGCGGTGTTGCCCCTTGCGACGTACTTGACGTGAGCCTGCGAATCGTGGGCAGTTGATGCTTCTTTTTCCACGGAGATGGTAAGGAGCTTAGTCTTTCCACTTTTTACTCTCACCCCCTCACCACTATGATCCCACAATATGTCTTGCAGAAGGGCTACACCCTCCTTGACCAGGCGAGACATTTTCTTGCAAGTCTTTTGTTAATAATAATGCTGTTCGACAGGGTCAATTGCCTGATTGGCTTGTGCGTCTGGCAATTCGTATGTTATGCCGCCAAAGATTGCGCGAGATCGACCTAGGCTCATTTGAAGCCAATCATGCTGCGAAAATGGATTGGATCGAGCAAGTGCGGGCCAGGAGCTCTATCGCTGATCTCACTCATAAAGCTAATGAACAACACTACGAGGTGTGTCACTATGTACTATGCAATGGTCCGCATATAACCGGCACCTCAGGTCCCGACTGAGTTCATGCTGCGTTGTCTTGGCCCAAATGCAAAGTACTCCTCCTGCTTGTACCCGATGGGAGATGAATCTCTGGAAACAGCCGAATTGCTTATGCTGGAGAGCTACTGTGAAAAGGCTCAGCTGAGAGACGGCATAGAAATCCTTGATCTCGGATGTGGTACGCGGATATCTTACATCTGAATTAGAAGTGGGTAGCTCATAGAACATCTGCAAACACAGGGTGGGGCAGCCTCACGCTGTACCTTGCTGCGAAGTACCCGAAGGCACACATTACCGCCTTGTCCAATTCTGCTACGCAGAAGGCCTACATCGACTCTAAAGCCAAGGCAAGGGATTTGCACAATGTACATGTCATCACGGCGGACATAAACGAGTTCAATTTCCCTGATTCTAAGCAGTGCGGTATGTCTATGCTATTCAGCGAGTGCGGTGTTGACACAAGCCCTAGGTTTGATCGAATTATGTCTGTCGAAGTAAGTCTTCGAACACTAATACTGTGTTTTCACCTGTCCTCATAATCACCCCAATAGATGCTCGAGCACATGAAAAATTACAAAATGCTGATGGCCAAGGTCGCTTCTTGGCTGAAACCGCACTTGGATGCGCTTTTCTTTGTGCATATATTCTGTCACAGAACAACACCATATCATTTCGAGGAGGGTGATGGCTGGATGGCGAAGAATTTCTTTTCTGGTGCGTGCAAGTCTCCCTTTATTATGGACATTCTTACAAGATCGCCATGCAGGGGGAACGATGCCGTCGCATGATCTTCTGGTATGTACTCTATGAATGGATGGCACTAAAGTCGGTGATTGACAAAGCCTCGAGTTATACTTCCAAGACGACCTCACCCTTGTACGCAGCTGGTATTTGAACGGGCGGCATTACGCTAAGACATGCGAAGACTGGCTCAAGCTTCAGGACTTGCACGAATCAGGTAGTATCGCGCTACTCGAGGTGGACGCCGAGAGCAAGGGAATACAAGCGGGAGAAGGTAGGAAGGCGTTCTACCGGTTCGTGATCTCAGTGATGCAGTGCAAACCGTGACTGAACAACGACACCTTAGATGGAGAGTGTTCTACATGGCGTGCGCAGAGCTGTTTGCCATGAACAATGGACAAGAGTAAGCCTTGGAATCTCTGCCTAGCGCGCGTGGCTTGGAATGAAAATAACGTATCACCAGGTGGGGCGTCGGCCACTATTTATTCAAGAGGAAGTAGAACAAATATTGGGAGCTGGGTACGATGAAATCCTTCTGTCGGTGGACGTGGCGGGTGTGATGATATTCAATCTTCAATCTTATGCAGCTGGCACTTCTTACGGTAGCCATATTGATCCGATGAGTGGGCTGTGTAAGGTGAGCGATCAGTCAGCCTGTCTTTCTCACCCCATTACAAAATTTAAAGGATTGCAACGTCAGGACCTGTTGTGAAGATACGTAAACAGCCTGGTATAAGCATGATAGTCAGCATCTATAATTGCGTCGGTCTCATGGGCCCGCCCTCATCGGCTGTGACCTCATGGAGCTCTATCGGTCGACGAATGAGGTGTTGCATAGTCGGCGTGCGAGCACCGTTAAATCGAATTTCGGACAAGTGATATTGACCACGTACGACAAGTTGGGGATGCTTATGGCATGAACCACAGTGATGTTGTTTGGTGCCTGGGAGGCCGTTGGCGCCGCCGATTTTACACTTTCGTGATTGTCGAGACCCGTGCGGTGGCATCAAACCACACGAAATGGCCAGAGCGGACACACTGATACTCTTCGCCACAGGACTTTGCACAATTCAGACCCCGGATGTGGCTTCTACCCGGCCTCAAGGTCTATCATGTCGATCCAGACCCACGCCATAGCTTCGTAATGCATGCAGCTTCGCAGAATGTGGTCCTCAGCCGCACGGTGCTCAGCGGCTGTCCGGCATATATTTAGCCGTGTGGGTCTCGGTATCTCTCAGGTAAGCCGTCTTCAGCGTTCACTTCTGATCCAGTGATGTACCGTCATATCGGGCGGGAAAGGCTGACAGGACCATCGCAATAATGTTGGGGTGGTAGGTTCCATGGTCTATAAACTCTTGGAAAAATGAAGACAATCGCGTATAATTGACAATAATATATGAAGAGCTCATATAAGGCAAGCAACGAGTGGGTCCCGTTATTACCCATTGTAAAGTCGCAACATTCGACTATGTTCGTGCCCGGCGAGCACGGTCGAATCGCCATCATGAATTCGATCTGGGTCTTTCTCGAGGTGATGGCCATGCAGGCGCCTGTCATGAAGCATGTGTTCAATATCACCCATGCCAGAAAGTCGTTGCGGTACTCGTCTGCGGACATCTCCACATGTGTTGTCGTCAAAGGAAGTCCAATCTTCGTGTATGTGCAGTGGTACACAATGTCGGCTCCGCTTTTCATGGAAGTGAGTCATCGTTGCCGCGTGCGTCTTTTTTGCCTTTCGACATCAGTGACATGCACCACATTGGCGGTGCGAACACGTATTTAATCTGATCCAGGCTGAAGAGTGGCGGACCAGAAGATAAAACTGGGGCATCTCTCGGTCACGGTCATGTCTACCCGGCCAATTTGCACTGCGCAAGATACCGTTGTGATCGGGTATGTTTAAAGGTGTCGCGCTCTGCTGACCAGCACACCCCAGACGATGTCCGAGTCGATATCACCCAGCGAAATCGACGCCTTCGCGTCGAACCGACTTTCTTCACTCAGGGTACCTGTAACGCGTCGCGGGCCTCACCAGTCTCAGCAGCCACCCGCGTTGTTCACCAAGAGATTTGTCAAGGGTGCAGTAGCTGCCTTAACGACTGTCATTCTGTTTGTTCTCTGGTGTATACTTCAGCCGCAAACATCGGTGAGAAAACCTGTACGCGATCCTCGACTGTATGCGCCCATCGTCCACCCTCGTCCGCCATCTCTATTTACGCAATATCACGAACACGAACTTCAAATATTTCAACACAATCTGAATGACAGCCAACAAAGACAGGCCAAGTACCTTCGAATTCCTCGTCAAACGAGCCGTAAGTTGCAAGAACAATATTTGAAACAATTCCTCTCATATTGCCGTCTTATCAGGGACAGGGTGGGGAAACGTGATGCAAGAAATTCTCCTTAATCACTACCTTGCCTATCGTTCTGGCAGGAGGTGAGTCTGTCTGCGCACGCAGCCACCTTTGACTAATGCTATTACACAGCTTTGTCTTTGAGAATTACACCTGGCACGAAGACGGGTGGTTGGACTATGCGCATCTCAACCACGGCTCTGTGGCAACGCAGGTCCCCCTATCCCTCTTCATCCAAGGTATGTGCCATTTGCACATCATGATCGATATAGTCTGACCGTCAGGCGGTCGCTAGGCCCGACGGTCGGAGCGCCTATGGCAGACGGCGCCCTTGCTCCCTCCGCTGTGTTACAAGACTTCTGGGACATGGCCTGCCCACAGCGAATGATCATTGATAGCGCAGAAATCACATCAGGTTATGGCTCACATGTCACGGCGAGCACCTTGATTGAGACGTTCGCCAAAAATCTCGAGTCCATCAACGATCCGTGCGTAGAGATAGAGGGGGCACCTGAGTTCCTCTTCGATGCGAGGTGCGTATTATTGCAGCCGTTATAGTACGTTGTGCTCATGCTCTGGCAGGATGTACGCCAACAGCACACGGCTGTTGTCCGTATGGCCTTCGTTCTCTCAGTCACCAATTCTACAGGAATTTGGCTGGTCTTCGCTGGTAGAGCTAGCCTTCGACACTAACCGCGAGCTCATCGCCCCATCTACCACCCTAGATCCGTATCTAACAGCCACGCCATTCACCACACCTGCCAAACGTTACAAAATCATATCTGGCTTGCTTGTCTTGCATGTCCGGCGCGGGACGTTCGAAGACTGGTGTAGTCATGTCGCCGACGTTGGAACGGGCTACAACGGCTACAATATGTTCCCTTCAATGCCCGACAAACTGGACTTTGACCTTCCCGCCGAGACGCGTGTGCAGCGGGCGCAACGTTATCGCCAGCACTGCTATCCCGCAATATGGGAGATAGTCCGCCGAGTCGAGGAGATACGACAGACGCATGCGGCCCAGGGGCTGCGCAACGTCTATATCATGACCAACGCTCAGACGCCATGGGTGCTCAACTTGAAGGCGGCTCTGCGGCGCACAGGGTATTGGGAGAACGTTGCGAGCAGCAGGGATCTCTTGCTCAACCGCGAGCAAAAATACGTGAAGCAGCCGCTCGACATGCTCATCGGGCAGCGTGCGCAGGTGTTCATCGGTAATGGGGTGAGTAGTCTGTCTGTTTTTGTCGTATCACGTCCGGGCTGATCGTCTCTGTGCCAAGTTCTCCAGTCTTTCCGGCCAGGTTGTCATGTTACGCATGGCCAACGGCCTGCCTGCCGAAACATGTCGTCTATGGTGAACGCGTTGCGTGGCCCGAACGAGCGGCCCAGAAACCTGTCCGCCCCAGCATTTAGCATTCCGCTGATAACGCCCGTATATCATACTTGACACATTGTTTGTAATCTAACACATGTATGGCCGCCCGAAGGCCCGAGAATGGCCTTTATGAGTATCATGCCGTTAGCGACAGCATCATCCTTTGGTGGGACATTGGCATAAACCTGTGTGATCTGCCAGGCAGTGTGTGATTCATTGTGGCGCACTCAAGGTGCAGCGGCTCGTCAAGAAAGTATAACATCGTGATGTTGTATTATACCGCTGATTTGAATACAAGACGACAATTATATACCAGAATCTACTACACACTCTACCACCAAGGGTCTGAATCCAGTGAGCCTGTGCTTGCATAGTACTCAAATGCAGATATTTCACCCTGTAGTTAGATCTGGGATCTCACCTGCCTGTTATGGTCAGCTCTATGTTCATAAGACCTGTAATACATCATCCTAGGCTGCATTGCTAACAGACATGAATGACAGTCAATCCATATCCAGTATGTATCATACTTATTTAAAGGGGTGATCAGGCCACACAAAGAACCCCGCATAATGTGGCCAACTTCAGTAAACAAATTACTATAAATTCCATCCCTCCCCATCCGCACGCAATAATCTGATGAACATCATTTTCATTCCACACTACTTTATACACGACATGTCTCGCAGTTGCCTCAAATGTCACCATCATCACAGGCACTTCCAAGAACATATGGTAAGGAGTTTCCAAAAATTGCTGAAGGCCGAAGCCAACAGACGTGTTCGGATGTGTAATTTGCAATCAGCAAAAGACTGTGCCTCGGTATAGACCTCACTGGCGACAGTACGTGCCCGAGCACAAGAATGGGGTAACACATCCCAGGAGCCTGTGTTATATACCGATAGCAAATGCGCACGGACCAACGCGTTAGGGCAGGCGCGTCGATTCAATTAAAAACCTCCATGAAACGTAAGTAGCAGTATAATTGTAAATCTGGCGGTTTCTCGGCAACTCGCGTTTTGGGATATTCGCGTGACATACTTCAGTATGTTGAGGCTTTCCGTATGCGGGAGACTCGTTAGCGTCGGACAAGGACAAGGCGCACAGGTGTCTGCACGGTTGGAAACACGTAGGCTTGCAAGTGGCTATCACATCGTCACCTTGGGGATGCCTGATCATGAGGCCAATCATACCGCACACAACATGTTACAGCCCGCGACACGCTGAAAGAAGTCTGTGAACTGTGCAACATCATGAAAAAAACCTGCACACTCAGAACAGAGGAACGACAGCGCTAACTCTTCTTTTTCTTAGCTTTGCCATGGGAGGACGCAGCGCCCAATTCTCCTTCTGCCTGCGTTTTTGCCTCCTTCCGCTTCCGCTTCTTGTCCTTTTTCGCCGCCCCTTCCTCCTGGGCACGTCGTTCCGCCTCTCGCGCGGCAGCTTCGTCGCCCATGCGCCCAAGCATCCCGAAGGTGTCTTCCTCACTGTCCACATCCTCGTCTAGCCCCAACTCTTGTAGGTTTTCTGTGATTTCGGCGGGTCCCGATGTACGTGCCGCAGCTTGCGGATCGGATGTCGTTGGAGTGGAATGTGTTGGGATATGTTTGGGAGAGAAAGGGTCGAGCTGAATTGACCCAACGAGGGAAAGCATCTGATTTGCGATTGTAAGACTACAGCGCGGGTCAGCCTCATCAACTGCAAACGGTTATATGGGCGGTACACTCACCCGACAACCGTAAACTCCAGGTATCCGTCGCTACTACCAAGTTTGGTCCCCGTGAGTTTATGTACCCATCGTCCGGTACCCTCCAATCCGGTGTCCGCCGCGCTCTCAGGATCCAACTGCATCTCCATCTCCTCAGCGGCAGTATCTGTGCCAAATTCTGGGTCGTTTTCCGCCGGGCCATACTCAAACTCCCATTGTTCAGTGGGTATATGGTGCCGAGGTATTGAGACGTTGAATGTACGATGCACGAGCAAAGCAACATGGTCGGGAGAACATAGCTTGACCTTGCCGACTGCACACAAAAATCAGGGAATTACAACATAGTATACATAGACGGCACAGACCAAGTTTCATGCCCGCTTGCGGGCTCCAGACAGTGGCGTCGAACGCTATCCGACAATTTGTGAACGGACAGTCGGCTTTGACGGTGGCTACGGAGTCTAAGAAGCGCAGATTGTCGTGGGCCAAAACGACACCTTGCAAAGCTGGTATGTATCTTGCAGGGGTGCCGACCTTCCAATTTACTTCAGAGGACACGACTTGGGCGAAAAACCAGCACACCTCATAAGCAGCGAGTCCAGCATATCCTCCACACCTGCTTGTAGATTGTTCGCAAAGACGGGCGGGATTGAGACTACCATAGAGGCCTGTACGACGCGGAATTCGTTCCCGCCATCTGTCGCGCGCGCCTTGCCCTTGTCCAACTTGCTGGAGGATTTGACCTTATTCCCCTTCTCGGCCTTGTCCTTCTTGGCCCTTTTCGTAGATGGCTCAACGCCTTGGCCAATGTCAGCCGAGGCATGCTTGCGCTTTTTAGCTTTCTTGTCGATAGACTGGGACATGATAGAGGACAGTGAAACGTCCGGAGCCGCGTCGTGACCTAGCCTGAGTATGTACGAATGTAGGTCCAACGCGTTACGCGGGGAAATTTTGGAAGTCTGAGGTCACGTGAGTCGCGCGCATGGGAGGCCGCCGGCGACGCTCGTCAGTAACGCGAGACTTGTTCGCTGATACCTTTGCTACTGCTCTGTCCGGGCTCTGTCTGCTCATGGTGTGTTCGATCTGTCTGCCTGCTTCTGGCTCTTGTTCTGATTCTGTCCCTTGTAGTCGTCACCAAAAGTCATTGTCCAAATTGCGGTCGCTGGGGCGCAGATTCTGGGCAAAGCATTCCTTGCAGCAGGTAGACAAGCGGTACAGAGTGAGTCGTCACTGAAGACTTGCTTCATTGTGGTCAATGACCTGGTATGTACTCAGACGCCAAGCACAGACCAGAAGGCGGTATCAGCGGCGATGTGGCTGGCGTACAGAACGCTACGTCAGGGTCCATAACGGACAAACTGACAAGGGATCATCGTATGACCCTAGATGAAGCGCGGCTCATTCTGAATCTAAAAAAGGAGGATCCAGCCGAGAGTGTTCTCCAGGTGCGCTCTCCAGAAACATGGTCCTCTAATTATTCACTCACGCGTCCACTCGTCCACTCGCCAGCACTACGAACATCTCTTTAAAGCCAACTCTCCTCCGCCGGCGCCACCAAAACCTGCACCAGGAACACGCGCGACCCCGCCACTAGCGTATTCACATTATGTCCAATCCAAGGTTGTGCGGGCGCGGGAGCGAATAGACGCCGAATTGAAGGCGGCAGAGCAACCCCCGGCATCGCCACCTCCACCAGCCTCGCCAGCAGACGCGTCATCGACACAGTCCGGTGGCAAGCCCAGTTCATGATGACTAGACACGACTACTTAGAAGTACTTCACTGTATAATCGTTTGCTTCATTCACCCCCATTCATCGGAATCTAGCAATCACATGTATATCGCTATAATAATGAGTACCTTTGGCTGGCGTCGCGTTGGCGCAGGATAGGAAGAAAGGTACTGCAAGTCTGCATCAGCTTTATCGTGCCTGAATCTGTTTACGGTGTAACAGGCTTATCAGAACCAATTAGCTAAACGTCCGCCTACAAACGATGCGGCACCCCCAATAGCACCTCCGACGACACCCCCGACGGCGTAGGCAGCCACAGGCACGCTAGTCATTGCAATGCTTTGACAAGATGCGAATAGGGACCCTGCCGCGACATTTCCAATCGCTGACTGAGCGGCAGCTGCGGCAGTGCCTGTAAACACAGCTCAACTCCAATGAACCGCCGGCGGCATGCGTGGAAGCGTACCAGCAACAGGTCCAGCAGCTCCGAACCCATAGGCAGAGAGCGCTGCCGTAGTGGCTACTGGGGTGAGGGCGACGCCTACTGCCACGCCTACAACCAGCGCTGCTCTTCTTGCTGGCATCTGTGTAGGTAGACATCAGCCCAAGTCGCAAAGCTTTGCGCAGGACTTACGTCTTCTATCAAGGAAAGGTTGTGCTGTGCGAAAGCTGAACGGACGGTGGTGGTTCAGCTAAGAGAGGCGCTATACATGAGGCAAGGCTCCGTGCTTCCCAGTTCGCATCAACTGGCAACTTCAGCAGCATGAATCTTAACTTAATCAGACGGTACACATGAACGCTTGGCGCTAGACCACGAGGCAGGTCATAGCAATCCCATTTCGTTTTGGATACCTTGAAAAAACACTCTGTATCGAGCTTCGCAAGGAGTCTTCATGCTCTTCGAGCCGCTTAAATGCATTGCTATATTTCGCTGGACATCCAAACTCTCGCTTCTGGCACATACTGAGTTCAAATTTATTGCATTGTGTAAGGCAAACATGGCTTTGTTTAAAAACTACTAGCGTACCTGTAATGCAGACCATCCATCCTAGCTTGTGTGCTAGGCTCTTGTGATTCCTTCGGTCAATGGACGCCCTCCGCAGTGATACGTCTTATAGACCCCACACGTTCGGTGTACAATTGTCCTTGAGCACAACGAGTTCGGCATCAAGTTGGCACGAGGCAATAGGGTGTATAACGACTTTTATTTATTGATCTGCTTTCTGTGATACAGACGTCGATGCTTTGTGACAGCGAGGTCTGATGAGTGCGCGACAGCATTGTCTACTTAGGCTAGAGATCCCACACTTCTTGAAACTGTATGTAGAAGTTGATACGATAAACAAACAATGGCTCGGGTGGAAAAAAAAAGTGGAACGAGCTAGTAACAGGTTCCAGGGTGTGTGCGTTCCAACCACCTAGCCGTGTGGCGCACGACGCTTGGTACCCTTGACACGCTCTAGAACACCCCACCTGCACGCCACGGTCACCATCCATATATATCGCTTGTCTATGACATGTCTATGATAGAGCGGGCAAGGTGAGAACGAACACTAACAGCGTCTGCTGTACTGTACCAGCAATCTGGGATGATCATTAGAGAACGTCGTCTGTGATAATTTTGCAGCGTTGTCAGCACACCAAAGCTGATAGTATAGATGAATCTACGAACAGTGTTTAATATCAGTGTATGAGACAATAGCGAAGGGATGTCCTGTTAGGTCTGCTCCAGGATTTGGCACGCACAGAATAAACTCGGTGGATAGGCTAAAGCATCGGCGCGAGAGGATCAGCCAGACAATCTTTGAAAACCAAGATATGTATGCACGTTACGGGATACAAATACAGAAACGATAGCTTGCGCAGGTGTCGCTAACGTACCGCCAATGTATGTGTTCTATTTTTCACTTTGCCGGAGCGATGTGCGAATTGCGTTCTCGAGCTACGGGATCAAAAATGTCAACCTCATGGAGGCATGTGCAGTCGTCTGATATTCAGATAAAGACGCTCCTATTGCATCGCCGTCCAACGTGTTTCGTCGGGAGCGCAAAGCTTCTGAAATCATCACACTCCCATAAATCCGATGGATGCCGGCCACAGCAGACTAAGGGGATTCGGGAAACGTCAAAGATGAGTGCACCTATCGTGTACGTGCTGGAAATACATACATAGGCAGAAATCTCATGGCTTACCATATGATTGGAATGTATGAATTGGTTTAGGCCTCAATCAGACGAGGCTATGGTATCCCCTATGGGGAAACTGCCATGCAGAGTGACTTTGTGGGAAGCACTTCGGGATGCCGTGCAAGCCTGTGTATTATTGTAGCCGCTATAGGCTACTGTATTCTAGAGCACAGGTCCAACCCTGAGAGGGAGCCCGGAGATACTGTGTATCATGATGGCGATGAGAAGTATCAAGCAGAACTCACTGTGATAGACGTTATTGAATGCTATAGAGAATTAGGATATCTAGTCTGAAAAGTATTGACTTGAGGTAACGCCTGTTGTCACCGGCTGCCTGGCCTCTGTTGAAACACGCCGACCCGCGTGGTCAGGAACGAGCTCGAAAGCTCGGGCGCGCGAGTAGCTGGGGGCCGGAGGCCCCTATAGTATATAACGACCCCGCGCGATGTACGTACCGCACGCGATTGTCCCTTACGGGCATCGCTCCCATGGACAAACGCGCCCCGCGCCGTTCGCACCGTTGTTCCAACAGCCTCTACATCGGTGTGGCAACAAGACCTTCTGCCCAATGCTAAAGCTGCCGAACTTGCATCGCAGGACCATTAGGCGCCCATATTTCCCCAGGCGCTAAGATGGTTAGTTGCGAAGTGATAAGCTCGTTGTTCCAAATCACCGCGCATGTTTACGAACCCATAGCACCATCCCAAAAGAGAAGTGCATTGGTTCGGCATCGCTGGTGGAGCGGGTTTGCGTACCAAATATGGTCAAGACTGGAAGCCACAAAGAATGTTCCTGAGCAGGGGTTTGCTTTTGGATGCGTAGCCGCCGGTTCCAGTCACATGGTTAGTGCGCTGGTGGTTATGTAGGCGTCGCGCACCGTATGTAGCCCCATCGGTTTCAACCACATCATCGAGAGCGTTCTCTGCGGTGGTCCTTCCGGCGTCGTTCTCCCAAAAGGTTGGTCAATGCGTGTTTCTCGTTCTGCAATCAGTTGTCAAACTCTGGATCATAAGAATTACTTGGAGTCGACGGGTGCTATTTTTATCACAAGTATGTATCATCACAAGTATTTCCAGTGACTTGTGAGGATCTGAGCAGTGAATCCTAACCGGCGCCATATCCCAGGAACGACTCTCGGGATCTCCTTCTCATGAGACATCTCCCTCCCGTCCTGCTTTGATACCGGCTTCGCGAAACAGGGTGAGGCGCACGCGAGCTGGTAAGCGGTGGTCTTCTATTGGGTATAGTTTCTCCCCGAATACACAGCGCCAACGTGCGTCAATTCGCATCTTTAATTTTGCTTGAGGACACTGTCGACGATGTAATTCGCCATTTCCATTAACTTGTTCCCACCAGGTATCACTGTACTTAAGCTGGTAGTAAAATAGCTAAAACCCCTAATCGGCAGGTGGGGTTCTGCTGGCTGACTGGCTGTGTAGCAGTGAGGGCGTGGCATCATGAGCAGGCTGTCGGAGTCCATCGGGCGCCCTGGTCGTGGGGCTGTTGGCAAGAATAGACCAAGGTCTTGGCAGCTACGACAGTGGCGGGAAAGCATCCGCGGTTTGTAGAAACGCTGGTCCAATGCAGAAATGTGCGGATGATCTCCGGGTAACGCACACCGCCGCAGTAACCTTGAGTACGTCCTATTCCCGACCAAAGAGCGAGATGAACCCCCATATAGACGTGTATAAAGCTGGAGCTCTCTCGGGTTTCAGTTTTCCTTTCGCTCAACGGCTCTGCAGGCATGGCCCGATTCTTTCCTTTCCCCAGTTCTCACCAGCGTTCCCCTAGAGACAGAGACTACCGGCAGCTTCCCGCAGATGCTGACCAGAATGCGTCTCCTAAAAAAGTGCATCCTTTCAGGAGGCGTCACACACAGATTGCACTAGCTTCTGTTGTACTCTTTCTAGGAGCTGTTGGTCTATGGCTGCGGCTGTTCTTGACTGGCGCTGTCGGGATACCGAAACCTATCCTGTACGCATTAGCCAAGGATTCAAAGCTTCCACCTCTGTACTCGCGATTCCACCAGTATGAGTTGTCTCTGCCTCAACACCACCTCGACCCAGCTTCGCCCAATGCTGCTGAGACACAGTACTTCTGGATAGCTAACCACATGACACGTGAGTTACTACTGCCCTACCATTACATATCTTAGAACTGATTCGTGGATTTTGAAGGCAACGGCTGGGGTAATGCCATGCAAGAGCTGCTCCTAAATTCATATCTTGCCTATCGTGCCAACCGTTCGTACGTACTCACCGTTTCGTCGTACAAGACGCGCCTTAACGTACCTGTAGATTTGTGTTCAACAACTTTACCTGGGACGAAGGTGTATCAGACTACTCGATCTATAACCTGAAACCTATCCCCTCACGAATTCCGCTCACTGCTTTGATTCGAGGTTAACCCAACTATGATTCTGACAAATTACTTCGCTAATCTCTTCGAAGGACCAACTGTCGGAGGACCTTTCCCTCCGGGCGACCACGCACCTCTCGCTGTAATGAAGGAGTTCTGGGATACAACATGCCAAAATCCTACGGTTATTGACAACAACGCCGTCGTAGCCACCTGGGGTGGCGAAGATCCGACCTCCCAAGCCATTGTTGACAAGTGGATAGGGCTACTTGACGCGAGCCATGATCGCTGCGTAGAAGTGGCGAAAGATCCTCGTCAATTGTTCGATATCTGGTAGGAGGACACCACTCACTACTCTACATGATTTCTAGACTGACGAGAGGTAGGCTTCTCCAAGATGGCAACCGTCTTCTAGATCTCTGGCCTGCGTTCTCCCAGTCGCCCATCCTTCGACACTTCCGATGGTCAGATCTAGTCGAGCTAGCCTTCGACACCAACCGCGAAGTCTTCGCCCCCTCCAACACCGTTGAGTTCAATTTGATGTCAGTTCCTGACAACGTCCCAAGCCCAGAGCGCTACACAGTAATCCCAGGTCTGCTCGCTCTCCACATCCGGAGAGGCGACTTCATCAGGCACTGCAAACGGCTCGCCGGGTGGAACGCGAACTTCGTTGGGTACAACGCCTTCCCATCTCTCCCAGACCGTGAGCTGCGCCCCGCGGACTTGGACCCTGGGGCCTTGGACGAGCTATATCGAGTCCGATGTTTCCCCGAAATTGACGAAATCGTGCGGAAGGTGGAGAACGTGCGCAGCACCGAAGCTGGGCGTGGGATGCAGCATCTCTATATCATGACCAACGCGCCGGCGGACTGGATCCTCGAGCTGAAGGCAGCGCTGCAACATGTCGGGACATGGGAGAACATCGCGAGCAGCAGAGACATACTCGTGAATAAGGAGCAGGAATATGTAAAGCAAGCCGTGGACATGCTCATTGGGCAGAGGGCACAGGTGTTCATTGGCAACGGCGTACGTCCTTGTGCATTCCTTTTCTGGCGGCTATTTCTCACTGTCATTTCCTGATCTTTCCCACATTCTTAAATAGTTCTCGAGCCTGACAGGGCAGGTCACCATGCTGAGAATGGCTAACAACTTCCCAGCTGCCTCAAATAGATTGTGGTGACCCATGATCATACTTTTTCGCTGGGCGTATGTAGGCCTGTATCTACTGCCAATGGACAGGTATATACACTATAATTATTGTAGGGACGACAGTTATATCCGGAATGTAATATTCAGCGCGCTAGATGATTGAGTCTGACAGAATTTGTCGGTCTGCGTAGTATCAAGTCGCTACAGATGGCCTGTTGACGTACGGAGGCAGTTGAAATCGGGAGCTGTTGATGACGTCCTCCCACGGAATTGGCACTGTCGTTGCACCTCATGGCTTCAAATTTCCTTCGATATATACGGCAAATTTGTCTGCTATGCTCTCCTCACTCCAGTCTACGGCTCCCTTCTCGATGGTTCCCAGAGTAATCGCCTTCTTGTGCACAGTCACAAATTGTCTCTTTAATCGCTGCAGCTCAGCGAGGGTCACGTTGCGCGGAGGGATCGTGATTCGCGGTCTAAGCGTCCCGCTGAGTGGAAGAGTAATTGATCCTCCTGACCCCATCGGTATGGACTGCTCCGCCATGAACGCTGAGACCATAGCTGCTGTTGTTGACTCTAGCGCACGCAGTGCGTCCGTGGGTGCCTTGGGAACCTGACAGGTGTCACCGAGAGGCAGAGATGAGGCGCTGTCAAGTTCAAACGAGTGCAAGCGCTTACGGCCTGTGTCCCAGCATTTGGCGGTTTGACGTTCCCTTCGGTCACAGCTTTCCAGATGTCATCAGCAGGCACATCTTCGTCTGTCCATGGCACTGTGATAAGAGGTGAGTCCCAGCGGACCATTGATGATGGTTCCTCGAAACGCAGCAGAAGACTGTCAAGCCTAGGGGATCCAGTTCAGCGAGTAGCAAATATTGCTATGAGGATGGCTGTACGCACGTTTCAGGCAAATATGCTCGCCCATCTTCGCGCACGGTGTTCCATTCCCTGCACAGTTCCGGCGTGGCAAGGACATATACCTACTTCAGCCGGTCAATCAGGGAGGCGTGATCCATTATATATGCTTGGGGGACGTACGGTGCACACCCTCAGCCGAGACTCTCGCGCGGCGCAGTACATCTGGTAGCGGAAACCTTTGATGTAGTTGAGCGAGTCGACGATCAGAATGGTGTCCGCGCCCATCTGCCGCTGCAGCGCCGTAAAGAGCGCCCCGCGTGCGAGCTTCTCGGCGCGGCCGTCTGATGTTCAACCCCAAGACGTGGTGAGAATGACAGCAGAGAGGAAGGCGGAGCCAGCGTACCATTGTATGCGCCCCGATCGATGTTCAGTGAATCGTCGGAGAGGACCGCGACCTTCAACTTTGGGCCTATGTAGGCGGAATCTTGCAGACGGGTCTCGAGGTGGTTTCTAATCTGTTCTGCCCTCCGTGTTTTCCCTGAGGAAGGATATCCAGATATCGTGACGAGTGCCATTAAGAGATGTGTTTTGAAGCTGGCCTTAGCGAATGTTGGACCGAGATGTTGTGCCCATCAGCGAAGACCGAAGTCGAAGTCAGGGTCCTCTCGCTCCTCGAATTGATTTGAGCGCCTGACCCGATCAATTTGAACCCCTAAAATGGAAAGCGTAGTATTCAGAGACGCGTATGACTTCCGAATTCTGGATCTAATGGATTTATGGTACGGATACATCACGGCATGCACATGAACACTCGTAGTGGGATAGCTCAATATATACATAATTCCCATGCAAGCAGTCCGGGACACCGGGCGCACACTGCCACTACCTGATCCATGGTCCATGGGGTCCTCAGGCCTGTGCAACTCTCTTTAAATCAACTCTAGCATTTTCCATAACAAGCGTATGTGATCCATTTCACTGCAGTTGTCCTCGATGTCTTCATTATGTCTGGTGCTCCAGGTCGGGTGCCAATGTCAGCAACAACGCCGTTAATGACAATGACAACATCAAGATAATCATTCACGAAACGGACCTCCTTTCACAAAGGAAGAATAGAACCTAAATACGACTCAGCCAGAGGAGCGTCTTTCTCTGCGAGCACAGATGAGTAAAACCCTTCATGAATTCCTAGACACACCAATTGAAGACACGCCTACACCCCATGCGGTTGCGTGCCGGTGTCTGCTGCTCCGCACATGCTTCCGTCTGATATCCCTTGCAATCCGCATACATATCGTTCATAATGACGTTGCACCGAGGTGCTATCTGTCACCTCGCTCCGACAACAGCACATCAGGTCCACCAATAAACTCGGAGGAAAACACAGCATGTAAGTAAGCCTCACACGCAGTCATAAGAACCACGACCATTGATGTTACACAAGTGAACGAAAGAAACGCAGTACTCAATTGCATCGCGTCGGCGAAGGTCGTTCCAAACATGTAAGGCGCGATGATGGTCTTCAATCGGACAGTTGTGTGTGTGTGTGCAACGTGCGCAACAAATGGCTCTTGTTCGTGCCTGAGTTCAACGTATTCTCCTTGACGGTTAGGTAGTGGTCCCTGGGATACAATTCAAGTAATGGTCGCTAAAATCACTACTCCTGAATCAATGGGCGACAGACTCGTCGGGAATGCACTCGTGCGCAATGCCTTAGATATTTCAGTGTTGAAGGCACGCCTAACCAGCTGCAGAGAATAGCAAAGACCTGGATTCATTTGATGGCACCACTTACGAAGGAGGGATCAAAAAGTGGCAGAAACACGTACACGGCTCGAAAATGAGCAAGGCGCAGACACCTATGTCTAAAGATCAATTAAACGACTGTGCAAGTGGAGAAGTCGCGTGAGACTTGATCTCTTACTCAGCGTCCTGCCTGACTACATATATATGAGATTAACCAAGTCAAACTGTGTAACGTATCAACAAAACATTATTCCTTAGAGGAGCTGGGGTGATGTTCCAGGAAATTACGCATAATGTAGCCAACAGCGAATATCCACAGGAGATCACAGACCAGCTCAATGCTCATGCGCCGATATCGCGCATTGACCCCGGAATGTCGGGCCTGAAAAGCATGTAAGGGAGATCTCCGAGTGCCAAGGGATGAATCTCTCCGCATGGCGGCGGTCTTCTGGGGCAAATCGATCGAAGCAGATGGTCGTCGACAAACGATCGGCGTATGCGAGCCTCGAGGTGGATAGATCACCGAGTCGGACTCTGACGACGGCAGACGATGGCCGTCGATAATCGCTGTGGAAGTTGGGTCAAACGAACGCATACGATTGCAATATAACATCTTGTGAGTGAGTATATTCACGGATCCAGCATTGTCAGGTGGTGACCATTCGTCCAGAGCCGTACTGTGTATAGCTAGCAGCAAGAAGACGTACAGGAGTTCGAAACTTACCTCGGAACACTGCAATTAGTGCACGTTATCTAGCGCATCGAAGGTCACACGACGATGACTGCATAATGAGCATCGGACAATCGAGACGATATCGTTACTGTATGGCGATTGCATGCTGATTGGGAAGCGCCAAGAGCCGTTCTTGGGAGCCCAAGAGAAGGAAGGACACAAGACTTGGCAAGACGGAGCATGCGGTCCACGAGATGTTAGATGCGGCCGTGCACAACGCACGAGAAGTCGGACAGCTCCAAGTCAGCCATGCACGTGGAGCAGACCCATCTTGTGAGCACACAGTGGGTGCGCATACGGCGCTGTTCGTGGCATCGGCTGTGGCAGCAACACAGTGTCGTGCGGTCTTAGAAGACACAACGGTGGACGTGTGAGGGCATCTGTGGAAGCGAGGCTGATGCGCGAGTCGTGTCTGATGTGCACGTTATATCCGTGTATGCATGACGAATAGACAGACAAGGCGTGTATCGATGAGGGTGATGCACGGCCGCACGCATTACATACAGAGCCGGGCTGAAGGACTAAACCGGAAGGCGATAGATTGTCGGAACCGGCGGGGGCGGGACCGGGGCCGGAGGGGGACGAGCGGAGTCAGGTGACCTGCGGCGGCAAGTTTTGCAGGGATTGGGCTACTCCCTCTCCTCTTTTTTGGGCATCCACCGCCGCCGCCGCCCCTCTTTCTTTCTTTATCGCTCTGTGCTCATCGCCAGCCATAACGTACACCGGGGACGCGCACAGTGTCCCCTTGCAACGCTGTCGCCCTCCCGCATCACGCGCGGCAGCCAGGTCTCTCCGCCTCGAGGCATAGCCATCCCATTAGTCGTATACCCCGAGGGGAGGCGCTACCTGCTTTTTCTTTCCGTACTCCTCGGTGCTACCTCTGCCATGATCTATGGAACACGCCCTCATATCTCTGTGGGCGGTCTGCTCCGCCAGGTCGACTTGCACACCGTCTTCTTTTGCACCGTTGCACTGATTGTGGTCCTCGTCCTGGGTACGTCTCTTTGTCTGTTGTTCTCCGGTCGCAAGATTTGATGTGCTGTCCCCCTTTCATTTGCTTCTATCTATTATTGCGATGTCCATGTTGTCCGTCATGGAACACTACACATATCGTGTGCGCCTTGCGTCCTTCAGCATACCTGACCAACCCGTCCGAGACATCGTTTCGCACCTACCTCACCGAACAATCCTTCCGTCAACACCTCAGCCGCCTCGATGATAACGCACAAGACGAGCAATCCAGCACCAAAGGCTCCGCTCTTCCACTTGCTGCATCTCGTCGATCGCCGCCCATCAGCCACAACAGGCCACGCCCAGATTTCAGCACGAAATCTCCCTTTCACTTCGTCAATCGCGCTTCAATATCGTTGCGCACTCCCAAGCATGTCATCCACAGCTTCGGCATACTGACTATTGCAGCCGTCCTTCCCAGTGGTTCTCAGCCTCGTGGCGCCCTCCCTGTGGAAGGCTTGCCATCCACCGTCAATGACTCATGGTTCATTGGCGCCTTCGGCAAGTGGTGGCGAGGCGGTCCTATTCGCACATGGTTTCACGATGTTATTGTCAACACCAAGGACGCGGAGCGCATGAGCTCTGGCATTCTTGACGCAAAGGCTCTCGATAACTTGGAATGCTATGATGGTGTGTAGATCCACGCGAATATCGTATAGCATATTGTCTCACACAATGCTTTAGGATTGCCCTTCACGTCACCATCCACTACACTGCATCTACCTTCCACGGAGCCGACGGCGAAACTCAGGGGCACCGAGCGCACAGCACAACGCACGATCAACAACTCTACCCGCAGCACGACACCGCCACCGTTGCCAAAGTCTGCCTCGCTTCCGCTGCACGCACCTCGGGTTCCTACATCTCCGCCCAAGCTCGATCGTAGTAACATACATACACCCGGCCAGATCCAGTCGTGCAATGTCACAGATAACTTGCGATTGAACACGCCCACGAATGTCGCATATGCACCTCCACCCACATCGCTTTTCGACCAGTCGCCAGCAATCGCTGAGATCCTTCGGCAGATCACTCAGACGCGTGACGCGGTGCGCGACCTTCGCGCGCAGCTCACCGATTTCCGCGCGAGTGCGGCGGAGTCACATTCTAACATCCAAGCAGATCTCGAAGCACAGCGCACTCGCAAGCGTATCGACGATGCTGCACGGCTTGAGCTCAAGACACAGACGCGCGCCCTCGAAGACGCTAAGCGCGCAGCCGAGGGAGGGCGGCGCGATGCAGAGAAGCGACTACGGGCCGCGGAGAGTGTGCGAGATAACGCGGCACGTCGTGCTGAGCGGCTTGGTCAAGAGATCAGCACATTACGCGCGCGTGCTGCCGAGGACGAGGCAGCTGTGGTGCGCGTGAAGGAAGAGGGGGAAGCCGCGGCTGATGAGACTCGGAAGGCGATGGATGTGAAGAGGAATGAGATCAAGGTCACGGAGAACGTGATTGCGGCGCTCAACGCGCGCGCAAAGGAGCTGGAGGAGAAGATCGCTCAGGAGGAGGAGCGGTTGCTGCAGGCCAAGGAGCAGGCAGAGCTACGGAAACAAGACCGGTCATTCTATCCTTTGCATGTCGTCTCGACTTTCGGAGGGGAGGAGACGGGTCCATGGTCACCAGCCACCGCATACAGTCAGACTGTAGCCTCGGACTCGCTCTCGCAGCGCAATGATGTAACCGGTCATGACAATTTCTCACCGCCGGCCTTACAGGTGTCTCCTCCTAGCGCAAGAGACATGGGCACAACTCAACCACGCGGCCTGTCCCTGTCTCCTGGACCCAAGAACCTGTCTCTTGGCGGCATCTCAAACTTCCATGACACACTCAAGCCTGGTATCCTGGACGGTAACAACGATGTCTTCTTGCAGTCCTATGGACAGTCAATCTTCGACGAGCAACGCTCCTCACGATCTGTTTCGACGCGGTTTTCTCCTTTCAGCGATAGTGACGCCGACTTGTCTCTGCCCGGTGGCGAGTCGATTTCGCCGCGGAGCACGTCGCTGATACCGTCGAGCCTGATCAGCTCGCTGGAGAGTGGGTCAAGCATGGAGGACATGTCGCGCTCGTTCCAATCCGAGGACGACGCTGTCATGGACCCGAACTGGCGCTCGCTTCGTCCCCGACCGCCTGTCGAGTTCCCTACCTCGTTTACTGCGTCACCGACGGCGATCACGAACCCGTCTTTCGATGGCGTCGACCAGGAAGATCCTTTCGAGATCCGGCCGCCACCTCTCGCTCTACGTCGCCGCCTGACCGCCGACTCTAAGGATATGCCGCGCTCGCTGATCCCGTCGCCCAGCCGCGCAATTTCTGAGCAGTCTGTGCCCCAGCTCAAGCCTAACGACGGAGACAACAAGCTTTCCGCCGCCCACCGCCGTTGGCATTCGGCAGATCCGAAGGAGAAGAAGGGCCTCAATCCCGAGGCGAAGGTTTTCCGGCTCACAAAGAAGTCGCTGCCGTCCTTCTTCCCTCCGCAGACGGCCCCTATATTCGAGCAGCGTGCACCCGGCCCGATGCTGTCCGCGCTCCCTGCGGCCCTTAGTGTTCCGTGTGCGATTCCGCCGCTCACGTCCGACTCGGAGTCGCTCTTCTCATCTTACTCGATGCGCGCGTTCGCACCGTCGCCTGCGGAGCGTGAGGCGCTGCAGCGTGCGCTCGGTGGATCGACGAACACGAGCCTCGAGCGCCTGCCGACCCTCAGCGAAGTATCGCTTGCGAGCATGCCACCGTCACCTTCGCATGTGCACACGGTAGCGGCGCAGAGGACGCCACCTGGTGGGGAGGCGGGCGGCAGGCGCCTTCTGCCTCCCGGGTTCGCCTGGCTACCGTTGTCGCAAACACGAAAGCCTGTGTTTAGCCCATGGGAAGACGAAAGGGTGGAGGGAAGGAAACAGGGCGATGGCCAGTGACTGCGGTTCTCCTAATATATTCTTGTGCCATGTAGAAATGTGTGAATAGCCAAGGGCGGGGAGCGTGGGCGGGGGAAGGAGAGAAGTCAAAGTCCAATGTGTCTCAGAGATTATAACAGTGCAGTAACGATTTGAAATGACAAAGCGCTATCTTCGAAACCCATTTGTGTGCACGCAGTCCGGGCTGCGCAGTCATGAATATAGCCTCCGCGATCCTTCCCGCGGCGTGCTGACGTCGTGTGCTACCACGAATGAGTCTTAGACTATTCATCGAAACACCGGTTGTCAGATCTCAGGCACCTCACCGGGGCCCCGACAGCATGGCTTAGATGATGCTGCTCGCCTTCGGGGCCACATCCTTGTCAGCAGCCCCGAGAATGCCGAGCAGCCGCTGGGAATGTGAAGCGAAGTCTTTCTTCAGAGCGAATTCCGACCGGGTGGAGACTCCCTAGATGAGGGCACAACGGTTGCCAGGTTTGGAATGGTCATGTATTTCGTATCGGCGCGTCACATGGGTAACGAGGACAGGAAACATGTAGTAGCCCAGAGCATGGGAAAGGGTATGTAGTTAATAAATACCGTTGATACGCTGCAACCCGCACAAGTCAGCATGTGGACCACCAGGTGGCAGAAGACGACATACATGTGCAACGATTGGCGATATATCAAATGAATGTGAGGGAAGATGCGATGTTCCTGCAGGTTGTTCGTGCCAGGGACGAACCAAGAGAAAATGGTGTGTGATCAGCTCTCGGCTTTCGGGACTGCCGTATGCAAATTTGAAAACCGCATACGGAACTGTGGGGTATACTTGGATCTGGATGCCTGATCGCCGAGAAGAATAAGGAATGTATGACAATTACTGTGAGGACGCTCGGTCACTGGACTGAGCATGGGGAAGGACCGCCGGGTCCCAGAGGGCCGGATGGATGTCCTTTGGTGGAGTCTGTTTGTAATGACTCATTGACAGCGGGGGCAGCTGGCCGGACGCGCCGCATATTGGGGACACCGCCTCATGAGACTGAGTCTAGTGAGACGTTCAGAATCCCGCGCACATCGCCAGAAGCCGACCCGAGATCTGCGAGGAAGGGGAACAGATCGGTGAGCTCAGTGTCGTGCTGGTCGTTGAACCACGACGATATTGGTACAGCGTTGTGGGGGTGGAAGATGTATGACGCGGGCGAGTTGTCGATAATGATCGTTTCTGCGATCGGGCGACCAAGTTGCGACAGGTCCTGGGAGCGGGCGCAATGAGCATGCCTATGCCCCGCACGGAGCAGGTGAGGAGCGTACCTTGACGTAGTTCCCACGATGGTTGTAGCAACTTTCGCGGAACAGTCGGTGTGCAACGGCGCGATCTGGGTCAAGTCTGTCGAGCACCGGATCGGCATACTGAGACACCGCACGCAACATGATGTGACCATGGGCATGGGCAGGAAAAAGACGAGACATGGAAGTGAAGCAGGTTGAGGATACTAAGAAAGGTCACGGAGCAGGGGCCACAGGTGGTCGACGCACCTTGCTTAGGCTCGCGGTGAACACGACGACCTCGTAGATCTCGCCCATCCTCTTGAGAAAGCTGTCCACACCTGGTCGTTTGAGGACGTAAAAGTTGTGCCAGTACGCCTCGATCTCGACTGGGACGACGTAGTCTGGAGAAGGCACAGGCTGGCAAGCAGTGTTCAGCAATCAGTACAAAAAACAAATACAAGCCCACGCACTCTGAGGCTACTGTGCACTAAAGTCTCGTCAAGATCTAGGACAAGGCATTTACGACCCTGATGTTGAGGCGCAATTGGCGGAAGAAGTGGTCGTGGATTGCCATCCTGTAGGGTGGTATATGTGTGAGCCACTACATAACATGAAAACCGCATATATGCGCGCACTGGACCCATAGGAATGCCCATACCGCCTTTCCGGATCAGCATCTGCTCTTCCGCCTCAGCATCCACACGAAGCAAATCCTTCAGTGCATCTTCTTCAGTGAAGGACCCGTCCGACTCTTCGGCCGAGTCGCTTGTGTGAGTGCGTTGCTCTACAGAGATGTCATGCCCAGTCGAGCCAGGTGGTTGTACCGCGCCCGAGGTCAGTCCATCCGTCTCAGAGACCGGTAGGAGACGTGACGGCGTCGGGGGCACTATAATGTCGACATCCGCGTCGAGCGTCGCTGCTGGGGACGCGTTCACTGTCGTCTCGCCGTCAAGTAATGCGACGAGCGCGGAAACACGGGCCCCCTGACCTGTGGTGACCGTCGACGACTCGCGCGTGTGCTGCTTCTCAGACTCGCGCGCGACGCGCTTTGCCGTCTCCTCTTCTACCTGTCCCTCCGCCACAACCAGGTGCGTCGCGCCCTCGTCGACGTCGATGTCGTGCTCGCGCGCGGATGGACGCGTGCAGAACATGCATATACGCGCCATCTTGGAAAAGAAGGACCTCTTGGGGGGCTTGGGGGACGTCCGCCCCGAACGCGGCGTTGAGGGGCGCTCGGTAGTGCTCGAGGCGGTGTGCGCGCCCTCCGAGACCTCCTTCGTGTTCGGTCTCCGCCTGCTGGCGGGTGTCGTAATTGTGAGCGCTGGCGGTTTCCCCTTCTTCTCCTTTACCGTCCCCTTCTCTGACTCCGTTTTGTCCGCCTGCTGTATCTCCTGAGGGGGTTCCGTAGTAGTCATCGCCGACTCCGCTGGTGCCAGCCCAGTAGAAGGCGACGGCTGAGCTGGTGGTAAATGTGCCTGCCCCGTACTTTGCTGTACTAACGAATGTACTGTCGAATGACCTTCCTGGGCCGCGGGTGCCATGTCTGCGGTGTTTTCTGGGGGCACACCGCTGCCACTGACGATAGGTGACGAACTGTCTCCCTCGGCGTCTGCGCTTGTCCTGCGGACATCTCCTGGCTGGGGCTGTTGGATGTGCCCCACATCAGCATCTGCGCTCACGCTTTGACCACCGGCATCCCGGGTCTGCTCGTCGAGTGGTGAGCGAGAAGTTGAATCTGATGGGCCAGAGGCGATCAAGTCTACCTGGGACAGGGCAGCTGTATTTACAGTGTCAATGGCGGCCATTTTGACGGGCCCTGTGCGGGCGTTGGAGGTTGCGGGGAGCGACAGAGTCTAGTGGCCGGGGCGGAAGACCCCAAACGACATCGAGCTCGTTCCCGTTGCTCGGCTCGACGGCGCGTGAGAACGCATATCCCAGTGCCTAGGACAGACGCCCATAATAGCTAGTCTAGACCAGTTCTGCGCGCGGAAATAACAGACGAAGTCGCTGCGACGAATGTACTCCTGCTGGGCTAATGAACGGGATTCAAATCCAGGTTGCGTAAAATATGCTGCTGTTGTGCTTCTCAGAAGACACGGAACGCGGACGGAAAAGATGGTACACGACGGTAAGACTGTATCAACGGCCTTCCACGCTGTCTGACGAGAGGTCGAATGCAGTGATCGTTCTGACATTACAACCTGGTGGTCTCCACGTAGAAGTATGCGCATGCGCATGATTTCTTGCTTACAATGGGAGTCTGATCCTGAGGCGGTGAGAAAGTCTATCGCAGGGGAATATGCACATGGGAAATTGTTATGATAACACTCTGCGAAATCGAACTTGCGGGTCGCGTGATGAAAAGGATTGTAGAACCTAAAAACTTACGCGCATTTGCAGCGCCTGAGTGGAAAGACCCACCAGCCGTTTGAGTGAGGATAAGTGAAATGACGAAGGGAGGCTCGAAGTTTAACGGGAGACGATATCCAGCCGATAGACATGTCGGCAAGCCTTGGTAAACTCAGAATCACGGCGCCTTCAGGTGGGAATCATGGTAAGGTGGATAGTGCGTCGACCAGCAGGTGCCCGTGCGTTGATGTGCGACTCATTGAGATGAGTCGGGCGCGCACTTGTGAAACAAGTAATATGTGAAAGAATCTCAGAAGACGCAATTTGAAAGGGTGGGATATGCAGGCGTCTGGGAGGGCATTCGTATGGCGTTTGCAGCTGATACACAAACTCGGTATGCCTAGTCGAGAAAGATATCAACAGAAGACAATGATACGGCATTGAAGACTGGCCATTTTTACTAGACTTGCAGCCACCTGCAACGGGAGCCGTGCAACAACTGCATGCGATAGCAACGGCAACTGGTCTCCCTGCTAACCTGAACGCGTCGAGTCAACATCGAGGAACCACAAGGACTTTGAATTGGCAAGATTATACCCTGCGGTGACTTGTCTGAAAGGAGAACATTAATTTCTATTTCAATGAGTCATCAGAGCGCAAAAGAGGAGGACAAGCATTCAAGACTCGGAAGCTCCAACATGTGCCGCTTTGAAGAATTTGGAACATAGCTTCTCATCGCATACAGACTGACATCGCATCCGTATGAGAGTGTAGAAACCAGCTTATAAAAGCAACGAAAATGAGAGATGGAGAGCATTGTATGTAGAAGTATGCTTGAAGTTCACAACAGAGCTGTGGCACTTTATGATCTGAGCGTGGGAGCCCGACAATGTTCCTAAACGGGCATGATGGCGGGATGCCCGATCACTTGAGCTCTGCTATGTAGGAACGCCCTTCTTGTCTCCGTGCACCATGAACCCGCCGCACATCCTCATCGCTCGCAACTCGCGCGGTCCCAACATAATCAACCCATCCGCGTCGCTCAGCTCGCCTACCGAGACGCATGCCGCCGCCGCAGGCATCTTTCGTTCCTCTGGTGACCCGCCGTACTATCTTGAGGAATGCGAGTCGGACGAAATGGTCTCCGCGCTTAGCATCGACGGTGACTACGAGGACCCCATAGAAATAGACGACACGTTCACGGAAGGCAGTCGCTTTCCCGGCACTGTGAAGATCATTGTCGAGGCCACGACCTTCTGGTGAGTTCCCTGCCTTCAGCGCCTCCAGGATCGCTGGCCGGACGCGTATCGCACTCCCCGGTTCGCGTTAACCAAGGGCACACAAAGAGGTCCTCTACTTTGCGTCGTCCTTCTTCAAGGCCGCCCTCAGTGGCGACTGGGCGGAGACAGGCAGGCCGCGGTCCATGTCCTCCGTCATCACCATCTCGCAGCCCCCCTCGGTACCTGGGTCCCGGTCGAAAATCGAGGACTCCCCCGAGTTGACATTTGCGCCGGTCGACCCGGACACAGAACCTGAAGACATAGACCTCGATCCTGTCCAAGAGGTGAGTGAATCCGACGGAGAATTAGAGGAGAAGAAGGCAAAGGCACGCGAGTCCAGTCTCAACAAGCTGGAAAGCGGCGTTCTCTCTCCGTCTGCCAGCTCTTCAACTTCGGGAGACAAGGGCAAGCATAAGACATTGGTCAGGCGTCGCGCCAAAAGGCCTGACGCAATAATCATACTCAAGGAAGAGAAGGTGTGTAGGCAATAGGTGCTTTAATTCCATAATCTGAGCCTGTTACAGGCCAATACGTTTCACGACTTCCTCAAATTCGTGTATCCGCAGTACGTGAAGTCCTTGATTTCATCTCACATTCGTAGTCAGACCGAAGGCTATTGTGTACACAGCCTCATGTGCACCATCACCTGGAACAACGTCGAGGGTCTGATGAATATCGCACACAAGCTGCATGTGTCTGCACTCGAACAGGAATGCATCACCTTCCTCCTAACACATGCGGCCGGGCGGCCGCTGAAGGCCATGCGCATTGCAGAGCTCTTCGGCCACGAGGAACTCTACCGTGAGTCGAGCCGCTTCGTTCTCGACAATCCCGGTGGGTGGAGCGAGGAGGAGCTCAGCACCCTCAGCCCGGAGACGCTCCTGAAGCTTGAGAAGCGGTACGTTACGTTGCTGCATACCCCAGCACATTCACCTTGTATTGACATACTGTCGCGCCACCAGGCGTACCTGGTTCCTCGAGCGCGTCCTCAAACTCGGGCTCATCCAGGTTGCGAAGGAGTACCAATGTGTGCGCACCGCGTTCGAGACTCTTCCATGAATTGCCCAGTCTCAACCCTCGCCATGCAGTGTTCGACGTGTCCGGACCCCACGGCATGTGCGCGTCTCCTGGAGGAGAAATGGAAACAGGCCTACCATGCCGTGTTCCGCTTTGGTATGTGCCGACGCCTGACCACCACATGCCCTAGATTGACATCCCCCACAGGCCCATGTCAGCCATCCATGGTCTTCCGCTATCTACGCACGCTCGAGGGCGTGAGTCCACCTCTCTCGCTCACACATCTCAGCTGCCAGAACACGGCCAAGGCCTTCGTTGCCACGCGTGAGTCCGGTAATTATCTGCGCGTGATCGCCCACAGTTGACATCATGTATCTCCAGTGTTTGATCGGATGTTCTCGCTCGGCATACGCGGAAGCGGGACAGACCCCGCCCCTCTCGGACGGGTTGCTGCTGTCGCAGGCACCGCTCCCGGCCCACGGCGGCATTTTTTGTTCTGCTCTCTGAAGAGCGAGAGTACCTCACGCGGCAAGCGATCGCGAGACTTCTCCTGAAGATCGTCCAGCGCCTTCTAGATGCCAACTCTCCCACAGGAAGGTTACACTAGTGCGTACAGTTCTGCTCAGGGACGCAGTCCCCTGTATAATACTAGGACGGAGGAATACATAGACATAAAACGATGGGGTATACCGTGAGATTGTGTGATGCGCGGGGTGCCGATACAAAACGGGGGTAAACGAGGGGAAGGGCATTAACCAAGACCGAATCCAGTGAAACCTAAAAAGATAAAGGGCGATGTGAATAAAATACAAGAGCTGCCTCCCGAGTGAGATCTACAATATGTCCGAGTCACCAAGAACGAACGTAATCATGCGGCGAAGGATGGCGCGTGCTCAAACACGGATGGCGCGTTCTCTATGAGCCATTCCATGCAGAGGGTACTGCCCGCCATATCGCCGAACTCATTCACAAAGTCGCGAGAGCGCATAAGTGTGGCTATGAGGATGGTTGTCATTTAGCCGCTCGACACTGATGAGAATGCGACGTACGTCCGAAGACTACTCCCAGATTTCTTGCATTCATGCGGTTGACGTCTGCGTGTAAGCTCACCCTGACAGCCATGCATTCAGTACCTGGACTAACGGTTGCTTGAAAAGGAAATGCAACTAACCTATGCAGATGGAGCATCAACGCGCGAGTAGTGTAATAGTGCTCCTTTGGCAGCTCATTGACGGATTCAAGCAATGCCTTACTCTTTGCCTCAGGATCGCGGATGTTCGCAGCGGATGTGAACTTTGCATGCAAAGCGTAGGTCATCAGGGGATCGGGAAGGGAGCGGAGGTAGGTCTTCAACACGGAGGTGACGCTGCATATGTCGTTGAATCGCTCGGTATCGCATAGGTCGAACGTGCGGTACTCTTGGCGTTCAAAGAGCTGAGTGATCATCTTCACTTGACTAGAGCCGCCTGTCTTCCGGTAGATACCCTCAAGATCCAGGGCTGCTCATGAATGATCAACAAACACGTCCCGTCTATCTATGATGAGAGAACACACCTAAAGCATCGACAGCCTCGATGCATTTCTCGACAAGGATAGGAATGGGCCTTGGCTCATCACGCGCTTCTGCTCTGACTTGCTCTGTTAAGTCCCGTCCAAACATAGATGGTGCTATTAGACTCTATGTCAATACTCTGCGTTTTCCCAGCCACCATCGACGTACGCAGAGGAGCCAGGGGTCGAGAGGGTTCATCACGGCTATTAACCCCCTGCTGCGAGCAAGTAGATTGAACATGTGGAAGACAACGGATGTGGACAGCAAAGTTGCAACCTAGATGGCTTGTCAGAAAGAGTTTGTAGTTTGTACCAACGAATCTACGCACCCGTGCAGCGGTACTGAGAGCCCCACATCTTGTCGCCGCAGTGGTCACAGCGCGCCACCCGCAGCACGCTGATCTGCTGGAAAGCATGTTCCTTACCACCCTTAGGCTTGGAAGGTTCGGGCCATGATACCATCGGAAGGTTCTCTTTAGGCGTTTTGTGGCCGGGCCATTTGATGAATTTACCAGCTTTGGTCTGAGGTCCTGGCATTTCCATCACATCTGGTTTTGAAACCTTGATGAACTTGGACTCAGCTGACTCTTCAGTGAAGGCGACAGTAGATGATGTGACTGAGGATGACAGATCCTGGATCTGCCTATACCTGTCGTGCGTCATGTCCGATCCTTCCTGGCTGCTGTTGTCGTTCCTAGCGGCAGAACTATCCAGTCCGACCGCTTCCAGACGACGCACATACTGGGCATTCAGCTGCGCGAGTTCTTCATTCCTCGCGTTGAGCACAGTTGTTTCTTCTAGGAAAGCCTCGCGGGATGCTTTCAACTCGGTGATCTCTCGCATGAGAGCCTCGCGCTGCTCTGTCAGGGGAAGTAGTTCGTGCTGATACTGATTCTTGATGTTGTCAAAGCGCATCGACAATGCCCGGGTGAACGAACCAGCACCGTCTTCGTTATCAACCGCTGGTGAACTGTCAAAGAATACTGTCAATGTCTTGCTGATTTGGTCCACACGCTAATAAGAACAAACCTCTTAGAAGCAGAGAGTTGTTCTACTTCAGCCAGAACGAGATCACGGTCGACCTTCAGTTTAGAGACTGATCGGCCAAGATCTGACAAATTCTTGCTCAATTCTTCCGATAGTTGCTTCTGGGCCTCCTGCCTCTTTGTATCGGCTGAAATGGCTGAGAGTCTGACCGCCTGACCAGATAACAAGACCCGAAGCCGAGTGACCTCCGCTTCCGCGTCTCGGCGACCCTTCAACTCTCGATCGTACTCTGTCTGTGCGACAGTGAGACCGTCCTCATATCGCTGACTCGCTCTCTGAACGAACCGCTTCAGAATTGAGGATCAGAGAACTGCAATGATGGCGCCACTGACCCTCATGCCGTCAAACTTGCGTTTCAGGTCATTGTAAGCATCCTTCTCTTCCGCTAAGAGCTTGAGTAACGTCTGCGCGAGGTCTAACTCAAGAACGACGTGCGGCGAGCCTTCATCAGCAGCATAGGTGACAATATCCTGGAGCTGTCTCATCAATGAGTCAGACAAGCTAGTTCGCAGAGGTTCAGGGCCATTATCCGGGGCGGTTACTTTGATATGAGTGTGTGTGGATGAAGTAAGCGAGTCTCGACGACCAGACAAAGCATCAAGGGAGCGTCGAATTGCATTGTTCTCGTCCAAAGTTGATGTGGGAGAAGGCGCGTGCGAGGAGCCTCCCAATGTTCGGGAGTGTGCTGAATTATCCGAGCTGACTCTGCCATCGGGGACAGGAGGAAACTCCGCCAGCATCTCACCGTTCAATGACGAGACCATCGAAGGGGAATTGATTAGTGAATCGTTACCGTCCACAGATAACTCATATCCACGTGTATCAGGATGGCGGACTGGAGTGTCGCTGCCATGCCCATTCATGGAGTCCGTTATCGTGATGTCGCTACGTGGCGTCAACAACTGATTCGAGTCTCTCCCGGACGCCATGAAGGCACTCGGAGATGCAGCAGAAAGATCGAGCTTGCGCCCACCTTCCTTTGTTGTTTCAGCAATCTGATCCAGCTTCAACACATTTCCGCCCACGGATTTGAGCAGCTCTGAGAAGTCCGTACCACCCATGGAGATCCGTATAGGTGGTAGAGCAGGGGCAATGAATGTCGCATGGGAGGTACGTTCTACTGGGGAGGATTCGGGCGAGTCGGTAGGCTCTTCGCTGTCGAGACGTCTAGCATCAGACGTATCACGCCTGATGTCCGCTGTATCAAGCCGTAAAAGGGGCGGCCGCATACCCGGTTTCCCGCTCGGTGAATCCTTCGGTGGCAATGCAGGTGGTAGATCAAGCATGCTCTCAGGCTCCGTCGTCATTCGGTGCTCGTCAGACTCTGCTTCAGTGTCCGTCCCACTCTCGATTCCGTGGGGAACGTCAACACGATGCGAAGGAGACGTGGGCGTCGGAATGCTCGATGGCCGGGACGGCAGCTCGAGCTCCGTGCCTGAAGACTTGCTGTTACGGATGGGGCGGATGGAGGGAGGCGGGCTTGCGCGCGCTCTGTCGTCAAAGGAGCGCTGAGGTCGAACGGTCGGCCCTGTAGGCAAAATGAGACTGGGCGGTCTCCGCCCCTCGGATCCGCGGCGGACACCACCCGCCGAGGGGGATTCTCGTAAATGATCCGGACGAGCGTTAGGACGAGACGGTAGGCCTGGCCCTGAGCGGGATGGCCCACGCGGTGTCTGCTCCAGGCTGCGGTATGGTGTAGGGCCAGAATAAGTGCGCTCTCTCTGGCCACCGTGCTCAATCGAACCTCGGGCAGAGAGCGGGGTAGATGGGCGTGTGGAGGAGGCGCCCATGCGCGAGAAGGGGGTGAAATCGGCATTGTCAGTGTGGGTCGGCGGGGACATGGTGTGTCCGGCGGTGAAGTAGTCATGGAATGGAGACGACGGACGAGGGTCGTGCGCTGAAGACGGAGAAGGAAGGAACGAGGAGGGGGTGACGTTTGCTGGCGACGATACCGTGCTGCTGCTTCCCAGCGCCATCGCAGGATTAATTGATCGTCGTTTGTCTTTGCGCGATGTCTCGCCGTTGGGTATCCCCAAACCATAAGAGCTGCTGCTGGCGGTGGTGCTAAGAGAGTTGGCGCTCGGGGTGGTGCGTAGCGGAGGTCGCACACCTCCGTCAAAGCTCTTCCTAGAAAGCAACGACCTATCAGACCCATCCGGAACCGCCAACGAGTCGGCACGCGAGCCTGACGGAACCACAGATCTACCCAAAGAGCTCTGAACCGACGAGTCATACGTCGATGAGCGTGCTGGCTCTGCAGTTGCCGCTGTAGATGGCCTCTTTGACAAAGGCAGTGCAGTGGGCGGCGACTTTGTGGTCGTAGACGCAGGAGACGCAGCCCCATCTGACTGATCCCGTCTGCCATGGCTGTTGACTGAAGACAGCGAGCTGCGTTGCCCATTGGAAGACGGAACACTCGAAGGCGAAGTCTGCGATGACTGAACACCCATTGGCGACTGTGACGTGCTGGACTAAAGTGAAGCGTGAATACTAGATACTAAGTACGTCGCCACACACGCTTACCCTCTGTGGAAGCTGGGACCTTGGTACTTCATCCCGAGACCTGCTTGAAGTGTCTGCACCGGTCGTTCCAGGCGCCGTCAAGGCAGCCGCCGCCCTCTCTCGCTCGCGTTGCCGCTCTTGCTCCTTTTCGCGCTGCCGCTGGGCGTGCCGTCTGCTTCGCGCAACACGCTGATTGTGGCAGTTCATGCAGTATATCCCCTGGCTCGTTTTGGCGAACACAAGCTCGTCGATGCGGTTCTTGCACACTTTGCACTTGAAGCAATGAGCGTGATATGAGTCGTCGCCGGTCATGATAGCCTCATCCAGGATTGGCAACTTGCAGACATTGCACGAGTACGAGCAGTTCGCGCATATCGGCGAACCGTCAGATAGGAGGAGGAGATTGGTGTCTGCCGTCACTTGATTGCCGCATTTGGCGCACTTGAAGCAGTCCACATGGAAGAATGATTGCCTGTATCACAGCGGAAGTCAGCATCGGTGGTCACAGAGCTTGAGACAGCAGCGGAACACAGTGATCGATCGTTCGACAGCGTGTGGATCATCCCGAGGGGAATTTGTCCTCTCGAGGTTCCATGACAAACCAACGTTCGGGAGGAAACACAGCATTACACAGAGATAGTGGTGCCGCAGCGTAATAAGGACGTGCATCTTCTGCGAAGATGCCTTGCAGCTGCCAATAGGGGACGGAAGGAAGTCAATCTTTAGAAATTCAAGCTGCAGGTTGGTCGAGAAGGCTTCGGTATAACCACCGACTATCCACACGAGCCGAGTGGTGAAAGGGGCTGGCCAGTTACACGCTTAACGCATCCTCAGAAGCCAACCTTTAGAAAGTCAAATTGCAGGCTAGTCGAGAGGGTCTCGAGAAAACCACCGACTATCTGCACCAGCCGAGTAATGTAAATGGCTGCCCAATCACGCGCCGAATGCATCCTTCGAAGTCGCGATGGGTCGTGCCTTAGACCGATGAGATGCAACTGTATGGATCATCGCTGTTGTGACATTGACACACTGGTGTCCAGACGCTGGTCCTCGCGAACGGTCCAAACTCGCCCGACGCAGGCAGGTTTGTGCATGCATTTTTGCAGCACATAAGATGAGAATAAAGCTCACCCGAAAGCCACCACCACACCACCATTCTCATCAACCACCGACTTCTTGCAGCCCGGACAGAAGCCATTCTCGGTCGACAGTGACGGGTCGAGGCCCGCGGCATTTCCAGCAGAAACGTCGGGCGATGCGTCGAGCATAGGTACTGGACTGGACTGTAAGGCGGCCAACATATGCAGACTCGTGTTGTAGCCGGAGGGAAGGTATCCTAGGAGTCTGGTTCGGACGGAGAGTAGCTGTAACCAAGAGACCTCGCGCTGCGTCCTGCGCTCGGGGCCGTTGCAGTGCTATATGTCCAGTCCAACAAATACGAGAGATGACCAAATCGAAAGAGGGGAAGAGACAAGAGGGCTTTCCGGAGCCTCAGGAACGTCGAGCGCAACGTGCAGGTCGCTGCGCGCGCCCATCAACTAGGCCGAGCGTTCACACGTGACGTCCCCCCAAGTGTCCCCGCCACCGGTTTCAGCAACGCTGAAACGAAAGTATATCCGTGTTGTATTGTAGCGTCTCACAGCTATCATTCCAATACAAGTGGTGTGCGGAGCTATATGCCTTGCGCGGCAGCTGGAGCGTCTTCAAGGTGAAACCGGTTGGTCCCGCCTTCGAAGTCCTCAAACTAAGAGCGTATCAGAGAATATCAGTCTGACAGCTGTGAAGGACCCGAGCCACGGCATAGCAGCTGTCTAGGCCTGTCTACCATGTTCTTCATTACTGATGCGACGTACTCAACGCTGCAGCGGTGATACGAGGATTGATAAACAGTGGCTCGACCGATGACTGTGGACATGTACTGAGAACAGCGCTCGAGGACGCAAACTTGATCCGGTTACTGGCGATAGCTCAAAAACATAACGACGCTGATAAGTATGCATAGTATAACTGACGCAGGCACGTAGCCGACTCCGCCATAAACTTGTGAGTGGCGCATGTGCTATCAGCAAAATAAAACGGAGATTGATGTTAGTCTTCATGAAACCTGACCCGGTTTGCAGGACGCGAAAATAGATAATGTCATCCGATTCCGCAATCCGGTCATTTGACATGCCGCATCCGTCAAACCAAGGTTGCACCCCGGTCCACACATTTAGAAACAGCCCTCCCATTCCATGGATAGCTTTGAACATCCAACCACAGGCTTGGGGCCCTAATCATAGCCTAGCAAAAACGTGTCCAGCAAATTATATCATGTTTCTTTAGCTAGTGAGCCTCAGTGAACTTGAAGCTTAATGGGCGCTAAAAATGCGCTCGAAGTGATGATTATGTCATGAAAGCATCATTCAGGGGTCTGCTAGCTGTATACTCGAAGCCATCATATGTTAATTTTAATTCCTGATGACTACCCAATATAATGTCGAACCACCGGCGAGGCTCCAGAGTGTGAACGGCGGTAGCTGCGACGGGCGTCTCACTTAGACTTCTATAAATGGTTCTTAGACCTGACTAATCGGTGACGGTCGCTGGTTCTCACACGTGATGGCCCACGGGCGTTCGTCCGGGAGGACGCCCAAGCGAGACGGGACGTGCGATGAGAAGTACTACATGTAGTATTTTTAATATGTAGGTGCTGTTTAGAGGATTTAAATGATCTAACAAGCATAGTATTCGACGAGGAGGGTGAGCTGTTCTTAAATGTGTGGACAGAAGTGTAATCTACTGATGACAGGATTGTCTGGCGGGCGGGGCAGGATGTCCGGCGGTTAGGGACCGGAACACTGACCGGAGCGGACCAAAACGAGTGCCGGGGCGGGCATCAGGGCGGTTTGGCGCAGGCAGGAAGCTTATCTGATTTGACCGATTTGCGATCCCAAATGACATTATCTACTCACGCTTGCAGGACGAGCCCCTTACAGCACTTTCCGGGTCACGTGAAGCGCGTTTCGCAGTGCAATCGCGCCTCTCATAGAGCGCGTCGCGATACTGTACACAGGTAAAACGAGTGTCCATCTTGCTGGTAGAGTGCGTTATGTGTTCTATTCGTCTATGGTAGCATTTCTGTTGAATTTCCAGTATGTCATTCTACTAGAGGCCTTATATCTGCCTCAATTTGCTTGTCTGATGGGATTGGGCTGCAGTAGAGACCAAATTCTTGCTGAAAGTCTACCAAAATGAAGGATAGTGCATAATGATATTTTAAGTGCACAATTTGATAGCACAAGATGCAGAATATAGGTCGAAGTCGACACTAAAGGCAGCAAGCTGCAGCCGCGTTTCCTTTTTGGGACGTAAGGCGATGGTCCAGCAAAGTGGGCGCGCTTTCCGGCAGACCATATACTAGATATGGATCGATTGTCATCCATGCCCGTTTATGGTCAGCCACGCAGACTAGATTGATGTACAGTTGCGCGGCAAGTCTATTGCCTCGATCGTTCAACAGCTCGTTTTGGAAACCCGCCTTCCCGATCTGAAGGGCAGATTCACTATGACGCAATGCTCCCGATTACTCTTGACATGAGACGCGGTTGGTACTGGTTTCGTATATTAAGCGTGAGGTTAGGGGCAATTATTCTCTGCCTTCTTTCTCCCCTTCATCCTCACCCTGGCCCTCCCAGGGTCACGCTGAACAAAATATTTTCACGCGGAATCCTATTGATGGCTGAGCCGCCAGAATTAAATATCAAGGCGATGCATATACGTAGTGAAACATAGCAAACGTGTGTATAGTTCGCCTCCTTTGATGCTCACGCAGTCTTACAGTGCTGCATTGTAACGTTCGCAAACCCCTTCCATAGAAAGGCACAGTCTACCTCGTAAGATTTAAATAGCCCGTCACAATTGATATTGTTGCTCGAGGTATGTGGATTCCAATGCATATTTTCCAACGAGAGCTCACACTTCGTATAGGTGCCTTGTGCGTCAACGAAGTCCCGAGTAACTTATGCTACCGTAGTCCCAGCATCGAGCAGTCACTTTCGATTATCAAAAGCATATCGTCACTATGGCCTCTGTACGTACTGCGTCCTTGGTTGCTTCGGGGTCGGAGAAAAACATCGACATGAAGGCGTTACCAGGGCTCGAACCTGGGTTTTGGGAAGATGAGTCACGTGACCAGGACAAACTCAGAATCCCAAGTGATGACCACTACACTATAACGCCAATGCCTATCGTTCCATTGCATTATATAACAGCTGCGAACAATTCAAGACCGAAGGACCTAATGCATGCTTGTGAGCTCGACTACCGTGGTTTGAAAGTTCGAACTTTCAACCATTCTAAAGCAATAATTATGGGACACCAGAACGACTATAGACGGGAGAGCATAAAACTACTCATAGGAAGACAAGGTCGTGAAGAGGGTGTGAGAACGACGCCGGAAAGACCGCCGGCAGCCAACGTCCTCGATGGACAGGGATCAATGGTGGATCAGGTTACAAACCGATGGGGCTACCTACGGCGCGCGACGCCTACATAAGTCCTATTCCCACACCGGCGCACGACCACGTGACCCGGGCCGGCAGCCACGCTTGCCCGACATACCCAAAAGTCAACAGAGGGCCATAGCATTCTCGCGGTGTGCATCTGCCGTAAAATTAAGGACAGTTTGGGGTAAGCACTTTAACTGCATATACTAATGGAAGTATGTTGTCAAAATCGCTAGCACCCAGGTGCAAGGACGGTGAGATCGACGGAGGTGATGTTGACGCTGCTCTAGAACCTGAAGTCCTGCACTAGACGCAGTAACACCATCTACATCTTAAGCAAGCATGAAATCTCAATGTTCTTGATCTCAATGAAGAACTCTCGAGGTCGTGCCAGCGCCATCAGCGAACGATTTAAGTGCGGGTTCTGCCGATGGACTAGCAGACGCAACTGATGCAGTCATGTGTATATAGATCCAGTTGAGAAGGTAGCTTCGACAGCGATACTGCAAGCAGAAAATAACGGCGCACAAACTACCGCGAGAGCCATAAGTAACGGTAACTCACCGGCGTATTCAAAAGTCACGAAAAGATTCGTCGACCCTGCCATAAATAGACGGTCAGTAGCATAGGATGCCTGGTTGAAATGTAAATTAAGGCGCATGCTAGTTTCCCCTACCGGCAACGTATCAAGGCACAATACAGTAAGGAACAAATTGAAAGACGTGTATTGGGCGCTGATACGCCTTTCTTGAGCCAGAGAGTACTTATCCCGAGGACCACGGAAAGGTCTGCGCCAGGACGAACAGAAATGTTCGCCCTCCCTCGGGGGGCTCACCTTGTTAAGTTCGCACGACTGTCGTCCAAGGTCTGTCAGCTTGCGAGTAGGAATTTCTTGTGACAAAAAAAGAGGGGAGCTGGAGCAATCAAGGAAGCGGACGGCAGCAGAGCATACAGAGTAGAGATCCTGGCGAGCGGAAGCATTGGGTCTAGCGGTGTAATCGGCAATATTCCAGAGTCAGCTCACCTTGATAGCGAGTGGCTGAGGTGCGTGACTATCGACTGAAAGCCTGAATGCGTCCCTGAGTAAATCAGTAATTCGAAAAGCTATCGAGAAAGGAATAAGCGAGAGAGGCGCAACAGTAGAGAACACCTTGTGCCGTTGCTTTGGCTTGGCGCGGGTGACCGACGAACAGGACTGAGTGCCTGTAGGCAAGATCAGTATAATTAACAAGGGTTAAAACTCGCCGTCTGTCCGTGTTTGTAGTTGGAATGTATGCATACTACAGGGCGATCACATCTGACAAGGGAGAGTGAGTTGCAAGATGCTTGACGAACGAAGACAACCACTCACCATCCGCGCACAGGTATTGAACATTTTGGAGTATATCAGTCAGACAGTATACAATGACCAGCCACAGAGTATCCAGAAGGGAGCCACATAATAAAATAGCGAGAAGGAAGAAAAAGAAGCAGATGAAGGATGTCGACAGTACTCAAGAGATCAATAACACCAGCCAAGCAGGGAGAAGCTGGTCGCCACAGCCCAGATTCGCACACTTCGGTAGCTGGCGGAGGACCATTCTAGGGTAGACAATTCCAAAGACGAAGCGAGAAACCCGAGAAGACAGATGGGCAGGAAGCAGGCGCAGACAGTCAAGTAGCGGACAGAAGCAGATACGCAGCTAGTTGTTCTCAGACGTCGCCTATATTGTTAAGCATCAGGTGGGCGGGTCTGTACATGGCACGGTTCAAACACTTACTGAAGACCTATACCGGCAGTTCCAGTTCCAGACCAGCACATCTATTGAGTCTACTGCCCAGGGTCCAGCCTGAATCGCAATACGCGGCCTCTGGATTGCAGTGGCAGACGGTGTGCAATATGCGTGACTACAGGCATACCTTGATACAGTACACCGCCACAATTTGATAGGATGTCAAGAAGCCATAAAATGTCGATCTTGAGGAGACAAGCCAGAGCAGACAGAAGATGTGGCGGACAAGTGAGACCTTCAGTACAAGCCTTGAGAGAGGGTAAGTCAAGCACAGCATAAGATGTCATATACCGAAGAACGAGGTCGCCAGAGATCGAGGATGAACTTGTGGCTTGGACCGGGTTGACAGTGTGGCGCAGAGACGAGGGATGAAAAAGAAGAGGAGAACAAATAGACGAGCAACATGACGAGCACGATAACACATGAGAGGCAGTCGCAACAACGAGATGACATGGGGACGGAAGCACATGAGACAGCAGCCACAACCGAAGCACATGCAAGGACAAACAACAAATGACAAATAACTTAGCGATCACTTAGACGACTTGAGGTATCATGTTTGATCGTGGAGGGTATAGGGAATGTAGAGAGGGAAGACGATGAGGGAGGGATGTGAGGAAGGCGCGGAAAAGTGGGTCCTTTTATATTCTTGGGCGGAGGACACTGGCGGGAGGTCATGGACCCTGGCCCTGCGGTTATCCGTTTACCCAGCGATTGCGATGCAGTGGCGGTGATGACAAGTGTCATGAATTTCTGTAAACGGAACAAGAACGTGAGTTTCGCTGAGTCTGAAAACGCAGAACAATGGGTCCAACTGGGTCCGAGAGGCATCCACCGGCTAAGTTAGGAAAGCACGCTTCGCGTCGCTAGCAGCTTGTGATGGTACGTTCCTTGAACAATGAGCTTCGCTGCTCGTCCAAGCGAGCCCATGAGGTTTCATGATGCCTGTACGCGCGGCCTGCTGATTGGTACAGGGGTCCAGCATTTCGCCACGCTCCAGGCCGCATAAGGTCCGTAGTCGATTGAAAAATTCGGAAGTGGGGTGCACTAGGCCGCAGTGCACACATTACCTAGCTATATCAGTTTTCATTTTCGTAGAGCTTAAAAAGTCGGATGGCATTCTGAGTATGTCACTATTCTGCTTCGTCAATCAGTATTACGTGGAGGTTCCTCGCAGACACCCAGTCGCCTTGCCTGCGATAACAAAAGAGTGCTTCGATAAGAATTAAGCCTAAGCTGTCTTCACTTGCGGAGGTCGATTACAATCGCTGTACTGGATTTTGTGTATTGTCTAAACAAAAGTACCGGTGGGGAATAGCACTTCCAGGACTACACAAGCACAAGTGTGAGTCATGAAGTCCCTATTTATCTCTTAAACACTAACCAATAGTGGAGCAAAGAACTCGACAGGACCAGTGCTAGCAGTATAGACTGTCAGCTGCAGAGTCCGAGCTAGTAGTCCGAGCTGAAACATGGTCACGTTGTCATCGCTCTGAATGCAGACATACATCCGCGATGCATACTGCCCTCTTGTCAAGCAGTTTCCCCTGCGACTCGATATGCACTGGAAAACTACTAGTAGAACAGGCAATCAGCGCTTATGCCAGTGTGTCGAATAATCCCAACTTCGTCGCTCCAGTGACACGCGTACTGAATGAAAGTGAGATCCCTCACGTGAACATGCAGTGGTCCCCTGTCGGGCGCTGCTTAAGGCTTAAAATCTATGTGTTGACCCAGTGCGGTGCAGCGTCAGTCAAGAAATCGCAAACCACTCAACGGAAAAGCGGACTCGAATACAAGTGGGAGGATCGAAGAGAGAGCTCAATCATCAGAATGCGATCGGGATCGGCAACTGAGGCTGACAGAACGGAGCGATGAAGACAAGGCACTCGAGGTCCAAATAGCTGAAGCCCAATGCAAGCTGCACTCAGTGTATACTGACAGGGAACCATAGAATGACAGTACGTTCATCAGGACAATCGTGATTGGCCTCGATAATGTTATAATACATGCCGTATGATGAACTATAAAACAAGTGTGCTACACGTGGGCCACCAGACGTAGTAGAGATACAATGTGGGTGTCACGATGCAATGTAGAGCTATTAACCAAACGAGAGACTATACGCAAGAGCATGTAAGCTACGAAGCGTCCGGGCGTAATGTCGATGCGCAAGATACAACAACTTTGGGAACGGGAAAATGGAACAATAGACCCTTTCAAAAGGCCATTGCAGCGAAGGGGTTCGTGGAACGTTTCGCCCTGTCAGTGAAGGGATCAGCCGGCGAGGTGGGACTCATGGCCTGGTGCTCGTCATCAAAAGGCGTCGCGAACGGGTCCACCGCCTGGGAGGACTGTCGTGCGTGCGTCGTTGTCAATAATCGCGTCACAGGCGTTGAGGTGTCGGGATCGAGGGTCGCCTGCCGTGTCGGATGCATTGGGGGCACGAGCCACTCAGTACGTGTAGGCGGCGTCGTGGGGGGCTGCTCGAACCCATGGTAAAGAGGGATAGCGACAGGAATTTGAGGCAGAGGGGCTGGAAGCGGGACAGGAACAGCTTCGCTGTCAGACGCCGCTGGCCGCCTTGACTTGGGGTGAAGAGGGGGATGAGGAGGGAGGCCGACCTTCTTTGTCGGGCGAATGGCGGGCATCCAGGGTAGCTTCGGCGGCGGTCCAGGTGAAACAGACCATGCCGAGACAGGCGCAGGTTCCTGCAGGGAATTGTCAGGTCCCGCCTCGTCATGCGCCTTGAGCGACGCGTGCGAGATGTCGATGGTCAATGGGGGTTTAGCTTTCTCTCGCATCTGTGCCTTCTCGCCAGCTGGTTCTTCGCCGTCTTCCTCATCGTCCCCATGCTTCCAGAACACGCCACGGACGCGGTCGAATAAGTTTGGCCGCTGCCGCTCATCAACCTCGCCATCGCCTGGCGTGCGTGCAAGTTTCTCCTCGTCCGGAACCCGCGTCTCTCGTCGTGTCACTCTCCGGCCCAATGCCATCAGCTTCATCGGCCTGCTAATCCTCAAAGGACCTGCATTCTCCTCGGACTCCGCAGAAGCATGATCGAGGAAGCTGTCCCAGCTCCTCTCGTACGCAGGAGTGCGCGAGTACAGAGGGTGCTGCAGGGGGGCGAGCTTCTCGTCGTCGAAGGCGCTGACGTTGTGCTTCGACGAGGTGTCCGGGTGGACCATGGTCTGGCCGCCGAGGCTGTTGCCCCTGCTAAGGATACCGCCACCAGGCGCGTCCCGATCACGGAAGGGCACGACGAGTCCATCCACGCCCGCGCGCTGCTCCTTTTTCCACTTGCGCCGCCGGTATGCCTCCACCCAGCCGCATCCATACGAGTACCAGAAGATAATGCACAAGGCCATCAAGACGACGACGCCCCACAGGCCCATGAAAATGCCGAACATGATGCGCTCCGCCTTGAGGGACTTGATGTATGCGTCGATGAGGTCGCCGACAACGCCCTGGTCATTCCCGTCGCCACCACCAATAGCAGCGGTGGCAATCGGGGTGGTGACCTCGTTCACGTCGGCAGGTGACAGGACAAGCGCCGTCTCATTTACGCGCGGGATGTTGACCTGCAGGTTGTTGTGCAGAAACGTGAGCGCCTCCTCGAGGTCGTTTACCTTCGAGCCTATGAAGCATCGGATGAACTCTTGCACGGGCTCCTCGAGGATGGTGCCGTTGAACACCGTCGTCACCGCATTCTGTAGGTCGTTGTAGAACGTATTGAGCGTGTTGTTCAGCGTCGTCGTCGTGCCGTTAACCCAGCCGAACACCCCATCGTTGATCGTCGCCTGAATTGCGTCGACACGCGAATTCACGTCGTTTGCATATGTGGCGGACTGGTTGTACATGCTCCCGTTGATCGACGTGGCAATGAGATCCGAGTAGCTGTCCACGGATGCCACCGCCTGCTGTGAGAACTTGTCCGCAAGTGGCCGTACGGCAATGACCTGGATCTCAACGGAGAGCAGGCCGAAGAACCCGATAAGGAAGCATGCGAGTGCAGGCGGGTGGAAAACATAGTGCAAGAACCAGCGCAGATTGACGTACTTCGACGGCCCCATACGGAAGAATGCCGCAATCGCATTTGCGATCTTCATGAGATGCGGATGCTGCGCGTCAGCCTGCAGAATCATCAAATTGTGGTCGCTGAGGTCGACTGTCGGCGTCGTCTTTGTCATGCTCTCGTGATATACGGCGGGGTCGGACGTCCATGCGTCGCGCGTGTTCTGCAGGTGCTTCTTGAGGAGATGCCACTTGTACCACTCGAATGCGCAGTTGGCTCCCAGTAGCAAGAGCGCGAGGAGGACGAGGATAATGATGCCGATCTTTGCAATCTTAAGCAGGTCCTGGCCAAGATCATCAATGAAAGAGGTGTCGAGGTTGTCACAGAAAGTGAGAGTGTTCTGCTGGGGAACAGGCAATACCGACGAATCAAAGGTAAGATTTGCGAACGTATCGTTGATTTCCTTCTTGAGTAACTCGAAGGGCGTATCAACACTAGTTCACATTAGACATGCAGTGGATTGCGCTGAGCACACGGATTAGCTTACATGGAATCAATCTCGCTCTTCAGAGTGGAGAGCGTCGGTAAGGATGCGTTCAACTTGATTAACGCTGTCTCGAAATCGGTCGGCAGCGTGACGTTCTCGAGGTCGCTGAGACTCGGGATGCTAAATTGTGGCACCGATATATTGCCGAAGGGATTGATCTTGTTGATTTCGTCCACCGCCTTCGTGATGACAGAGTTGGCGTTGCTGACATCGTTCTGAATCGCCGTCCGAATAGTGCTGAAAGTGCCAGTGAGGAAGGAATTGATCTGTCTCGAGTTAATGTGGCACATTTGCGATAAGCGACGCGAACATACCTCCTGAACAGCACCAATAAGCAGAGACAGTCCTCCCCGCACAACCAGTTCGAGGAAACACAGGAAGGTGGAACGGTACATATCAATGATAAAGTTGATGATGGCTTCCATGATTGTAAGTGCAAGCACCATGGTGGCCCGAGCAGCATCGAGGGTCCCGTTCACCGCATCCGCGATCTGGTCGTTCGCGGCCACCGCCAGGTAGCGCGGCATACTCGCAGCAGACGTGGCGGCCTTCTGCGCAGCATTGCAACTAGAGATAAAGTCGTTCTTCGCACTGGCGACACTGTCCTGGGCAGACGAGGCAGATAGCTGCAGTCGGAACGCGACGAAGAGCAAGGACAGGATGGGGTACGCGAGCCATGTCAGGGAGAGCAAATGAGGTAGCTCAAGATACGGTTTGAGAACCCCAGGGGCGCGCGTGGATGAAAGAGCGTCGTAAACGGGTGGGGGAGAGTTCCAGCCAACATGAGAGGAAGTGGACATTGCAGCCAGGGAGAGTCGACCGGCGACAGTGTACGAGGAGGTCGTGGATAGACGTGAAGGGGCAGAAGGGAATACCGCCGAGGCAAGTACGCCACGGCTCGATTGCGGCGTACATTTTTGAGACTGACAACCTCATTGTTATAAACGGTCATTGTTGTTGCAAGCCGACAAAGAACAATAGGCTGAGGTTGCCTTTTACGTTTCAACGCTTGTTACGCGTGTCACGTGGCCGCGCAATCGGCGCCTAGCGCACAACGAGGCTACTATTACGCTCGCCGCCGGCCTTAGCCAGGTATTGTCAGTGAGCATACGCTTGACTTTCCGTGCGTTGTTCCAGATGTCCTCCGCGTTGCACTGCACACAGGCACAGCTACTATGGTTTACCAGTGGATGGCCCCCCTCTTGATGGCCAGGTAACACTTCGTCACATTAATGTGACAATGCCGATTCAGAGGTCCGCTCGGCTCACAGGGCCGGGGCTTGAACTTTTGCTCAGTGGCGTGTGGCCCCACAGTGATCGACAGGTCAATTTTGTAACTCCGCTCGCGTCCGTCGTGGCCATCGTGCTCTCGGGCGTGACATCGCCATCAAACCCCTCGAAAGAAGGACTCCTCAACGACTCATCCGTTCGCTCTGATTCCACTTGGAGGTGGAAGCAGGCATACGAAAGCGTAGGTGTCCACATAACTTCGAGGGCAGGGGAGTGCCCAGTTGTTTCGCATCACAAACCTGGCCATCGAGAGGGGGGGCCATCCACTGGTAAACCATAGTATCTAAGCATGCTTTGGGATAACGCGCTATTTGCGGAAATCTCATCTGGCGCTTGTTGCATGTCCCTTTAAGCTGCGACGCAGCATTCAGCTATTTCGGAAGAGATGCTATTAATTGACACCCGTGGTCTAACTTCCAGACGATGCGATCGACTGTACCCGGGAGTCAAGACCTCGAGGATGCCGTCTTGCGTTACAAGGAGGGGTCTTACACGCTCACTGGAGCTCTGCAGGCATGAGTAAGTCATATTACTCCTTGATTAGGGACGGTCACTAATGTGCTCGCTGTATTCCGAGGCTTCTCATTGCCAGAGACTTGAGGATCTTCTGTGGCTACATAGGCACGCTCGCCGGGCCTGACTTATCCACCATATCACCGTAAGCTCTATGATTAGAGACAACCGTACGAGAGCTGTGGTCCCGCATACACTATTGACTAGCGCATATATTCAACTCGGCAATCGTCATATTCCGAACGGTGTTAGTAGTGCCACGGCTCACTCAGGCAGGATCGAAACCTTGACGATCGAGACCTCGGAGTCACCGTCAGCCTCGGGCTGACAATGTCATTCGCCGTTATATTTTCCTGACGTGCGTACATTCTTTGAGTCTATCCCATCTCCTCAAGACTATACTTATCGCAGCCTACCTCACTGGGTTACAGCCCTCGAACATCATGCAACCGGTCACACTCATTGTCCTCTCATGTTCGGCACTATTATCTGTGTCTGCAGCCCCCATTGCTACGTCCACCGTTCTTCATTTTCCAGGGATGTCGCCAATGGTCGTCGGTCTCGTCGGGCCCTCGGAAGTACCCAACATGCTCACGCCCTCGGCAGTACCCAACATGCTCAAGCACTCGGCAGTACCCGACTTCGCTGATTTGCTCAGTGTGCTCGAACCTCGACAAATCCGCATCAATGATTATGAAATTCCTACCAACTCATCACTGCCGAGCCTGAGAAGGGCCAAACTAATCGGGAGAAACGAGAAGGCAGAGGCAGAAGAACGTGCGCGACTGCAGGCTGCTCAGGCTACTCAAGCTGTTCAACCCTCGGCGTCCCCTCAAGGCCTTGCGCCCACATCACCGGAGCAGGCGGCTAGCTCCTCGATACAGGAGCTGGGTGAGAGTAGACTCGAAGCATCCGATGTCTTCCATAAGACGCTCGGCGTGGTCTTCTCTGGGTTTAACAACACGGACTCTCAGAATGCGTCTTCTACCACTTTGCACGAGACGTACACGAAAAGCGCTCAAGACAAGCCCTTGCCCGTCGGACCTGGCTACACCACAGACACGATGGATGCAGTACCCGCGAATACCGGCTCGGGACAAAAATCCACATCCGTGCAGAAATCCGCTCGTAGAGGGCTCCCCGCACTGTTGAAGAACTTCGCACTGTTGGAAACCTTTGACAAACCCCACACCATGGACATCGACTTGAACGCGCTGTTACCTGAAGAGGCCTCGACGTCTGGTCCTCAGGCTGCTTGGCAGAAAAATACAGGCCTCATCAACCTCGACAGCAACCACCCCCCTCCGCCGCCCGTTACCTCTGCGAACCTCACTACGACCGCGGCGAACTTGGCGGACGCGCAGACGCCTGCTAACATCACGAGTGTTGCGTAGCTGTTGTCCGGAGGGATGCCGATCGCTTGTAGCATCTACATATTCTATAATGTCTCACTCTCACGCCCTTGTTTATGATGGACTGTCCACTTGTCTTAATTGGACTCGATCTGCCCGCCCGAGTGCTCTCAATTGAACCGATAGGCGAGTACACGTGTCTCAAAATATCCCGAGGACTCTCGATTGTGCGACATGTCGAAGTCAGATTGCACATAGTGTACTGGGGCATGACCGCGTGAATAATGGTTAGTAACATCTCCGATATCGCACTACAGATCAATCATAAGCATCGCTCCATGGGCCCTGCTCGGGAGCTTGCAACATCGCAGAGACAGGCATGGAATGTCGCCCCTATGATTCTCGTTCGTGTCAATTTTGCATGTCCGTTTCAGAATACTGTCTGATGCGAGTGGCTTGACAGGTAACCGGAGTTACCGGTTTCTTAGGTTCCCATCTTGTACTGCAACTATTGAAGGCGGGCCACCGTGTTAGAGGGTTCGTATGCATTGTCACTCTATTCATTGGCACAATCCCAAACTACAATTTCATGATCAGCACCGCTCGATCCGGCAAATTGCATCTCGCCCAGACGGCGTACGCCAAATATGACGAACAGTGTGAACTAGTTGTCGTGGACGACCTGATCCACTGTGACTTCACCTCTATACTGCAAGGTCTGATGTCTATAAAACGCCTCGTTGTGTACAAAACACTGACTTTCAGTATCGGAAGGAGTCGATGGGGTGCTGCACCAAGCAGCGCCTGTGGCGAGCAAAGAACAAACTCTTGAAGCTCAACTTGATGTATGATTATTGATCTGCTGTCAGTGAAATTACGCATTTGACGGCTATCCAGGTTGCCGTCCAAGGATCCCTCAATATCCTGCGGCAGGCCGAGAAGGCCGGTATCAACACATTTGTTCTCGCAAGCAGTTACGTCACGCTCTTCGATTGGCGACAGCGTCCCATCTCACGAATGCTCAATGACGGAGGTAAAGTCGCTGGTCAAACATTATCTTCATGAGATCTAAATTAAGATATCATGAGACTGGAATCGGGCCACTAGGGATGAAGCTTTGAGCGGATCCTACGATTCCATGTTCGTTTATTGCGCCGAGAAGACATTGCAAGAGCGCGCAGTTTGGGAGTTTGCAGATCAGCACCCCAATCTGAACATTACTACTGGTAAGTGCACTTTCTACATTGTCTTGAGGCTGCGAGCCTGACCTCTGAGACGCCGATTAGTGAATCCCCCGTTCTTCTTCGGTCCGTTTGTCCCGGGCTTCATACCAAGAGATGCGACTATTCTCAACGCCAATGAGTTCATCTATGCCCTCCTCGATCCTGAGGGTCAACTGTTCTCGGACGTCGCAATGGGCGTTGATATTCGCGATGTGGCACGCGCCATGATCAGTGCACTGTCTGCTCCACATTATGAGCCTCGGAAGCGTCTACTCATATCCGGAGAGTGGTTCAGCTGGCGGGAAGCTGTAGATCATATTGCGTCAGTGCGTCCACACCTTCATAGCCGTTTGTCGACAACTGCGCTCGGGGCGCCATCTCAGCCGGTGGCCACTCTCATGGATACAAAGCGCGCACGAGAACTTCTTGCTATCGAGTTCACTCCTTGGAAGACCACAATTACCGATGCAGTAGACAGCTTACTCGAAGCGGAGGAATTATGGTCTAGGACGCGTTGAAGGCACAGTTTATCGTCTAGCACAACAATATGTCCTGCGTCACACATATAGCCTGCAATAATAAGAACTTCGAAAAACAAACCAAACGAAAACATACAAGTGGACAAAGTCGCCTTAAAACCAGCAATATCACCGTCGACGAGCACGGCCTGCGATGTTCGCAGAGTATCATGTTGATCCTGCTGGCTGGGTAAGACAGGGGAGGACCCTGAACCTCAATGGATGCATCGGGGCATCTGCCGTCGGTTGATGAGGCGAAAAAAGTCTGGGAAATCAAATAAATAGCGTTCGTAAGAGACCGTTGAAAGATTGAAGTGTTCTTGCTTGGCATCTATTGCATAACATAGCTACCCAAGAGAGCTTCGTATCAACGCCTGAAAACGAGGTGACGTTCGGATGAGAAAGATGTTTCAGCAGGTCAGCTTCTCTGCAAAACGTCTGCGAAAGATTTCAATGATGAGAAGCCAAAAGTTTGCGTTATACTTACTTCCTACATTGCCATAGGATTGTCCCGGCCACATATACGAGGGTCCTTCACAGCCACAACATCGTCCGAATTTACTTAGCCAAATATCCGCGGAACCGCCGGATGCCTCTGGATGCTCTTTCTGGAGACACAAGCTCTCGGGGATACATCCTTCTTCTCAAGTTTCTCATATTCAGGCCCGAAAGAGAACGCCCTGAGTGAAATATCACGCGGAATGGAATGTGCGCGTAGTGTACACTACGTAACCAGTGGCTAGGATCTTCAGTATAGCTTCTCATGTAGGTTTATCATCACTGACGGTCTCCGGAAGATTTGGCAGTTCAGTCACACGCTCCACTTTGATATCGAGCGCCGCTTTGATATCCTTGCTGAGAAAAGGACGGTCTTCAGTGCATCTAAATTCTGTTCGACAGAAGGCATGGAGAAAACATTTTGAGTGCTTACATTGTGGTTGTTCGCTGTGCTGCGATTATGACATTCGTTAACATCTGATGCCATTTAAACAGAGTCGTATCGGTATTATCAAATATTGACCGTGTAGCGTACAAGCAACCGGCTTACCGTTTCGCTTGCTCGAGCCCCTCCGCATCTATGTCGGACGCGGCACGCCAAAGCATCAGACTCCTGCAGATGATGTTCAACGTTGTGCATATGATTCGCACAATAGGACAAGTTTGAATGTCGGTTGTTGTGTGACTCCTTCGGTATACCTGGGTCCCCGGGAACTTAATGTCAAGCCTTGTACGTACATAATTCCTTATGCATGAGCACGTCTAACATCTTAAATTGGAGTGCTTATAACTTGAGCCGACAACGTCTGACGCGGAAGATGGTTCAAACTTTTCGAATGTCCTTGTAGTTGGCATGGCAATACTGGAAAGACACTGCACGGCTGGCAACCACTCAATAAAATTCAGATGAACCATCTCTTTGAATCAAATAATGACCTGCGGTGTGAGATATAAGCTCAGGCGCGTCGATGCTGTTCGGGTTCAAAGCAACCTTTTCGACTCTGGAATCAGACAAAGTTGCTAGCGAGCAAAATGCACCAAGAAAGTAGAATGCAAGGAATGAATATCTCCCGCAGGAGATGGGGGGTCCGGATCAAGGCGATCCGAACGTGAACTAGATCTGAACCACGATCCATGATTGTAACGCGTGGCACGTGAGCGACGGCGAACTGCTTGCCACATTTGGCGGTCGCCTTGTTCCCCATTACCTTGAAGCGCGAGGTGCGAGGCTGGCAATTCTCTGAGCTCTCCGTCTTCCCTCACTGCCATCCCCCCAACCCGCACGTAATTATGATTTCGATGACACCCTCCGCCTCCGCAGAGATGCAGCTATCGCGCCAAGTCTGCGCGCAGAGAGGAAGCATTCACGCCCTCCCCGACGACATCATGCTGCTCATTATCGGTTTCATTGAGGTCAAGGACATTCTCTCGATTCGAAAGGTGCGCAGGCAGCGTTTGATTACACTGCAACCGTTGTCATATTCATGCTTAATGCAGGCCTCTAAACGATTTTACACCATTACCAAGCTGCGTTGGGTGTGGCACGACGCAATGAAGCGACATGTCATTGACAGAGGTCTTCCTGTGCCCGCGGCCGATGCAGATCTGAAAGCGTTCTCCGCGGAGCATCTCGAGGCACGCGCAGTCCATGCTGCCCGATTCCACGACAACTGGTGCTCATCGAAGCCGAAAGCCACACGAAAGATCGAGTTCCGCGCAGACCGACCGTTGCTTGACGATTTAAATTATCAGAATGGCACATCTGTCAGCCAGATCTTCTTCCTGCCTGGCCGCAATGGCGAGTTCCTTGTCACGGCGGTCGGCCGCGTGATAACATGCTGGGAGGTGCCCTTGGATGGCTCAGGCGCCTACCGTGTGGCGGAGTGGGTTAGCAGTAAGAAGATCGATCAGTTGGTCATGAATGAGGATCCGAGGCACCCTGTCGTCCTCGCCTATGTGAGCGGCGATCCCAACCCGTGAGTAATTATTCGAAGCGCATCACCTTGGGCCTAATTATGTCGCAGACAAGGCGCCGTCGAGCTCTGTGCACTCTCTCTTGACACGTTCCATGGCTGCTTCCACATGCGGGCAAAATTGAGGGGTCATCGCGCAAATATTCTTCCTTTGCACGTCTGCCACGGAGACTATGTGATTTTCGGTGATCCCCTCATTGCTTGGTTCACCATGTCACCGTCAGAGATAAAGACTTTAGGCGCTTACCACAGCCCTACGGTGCAAGAGGTGAGTCGTCATGAATTATGGACTGCCCCAGTACGCTGAGAGTGCGGCCAGGGTGAGTCGGACGACATACTTGCAGTGAAGGTCGTCAATCGTTACATGGTTGTCGTGCGTCAACGGTCATGTGCGATAGACTACGCGCCATCCTGGAATGGGAAACGCATCACGTACAGCGCTATGAAGATGGCAGTCATGGCCTTTGATAACATCGTGTCCGAAGCCGTCATCGTGGTCAGAAACACTACCGTAAAGCGAGCGGACGAACCTGAGCCAGAGTGGCCTAGTGAACCCGTGACTGTCCTGGCGCGGTGCACTTACGATGGCCTGGACACCCTACAGCAGTTCGACTTGCTCCCGCAGCGATATTTTCCTGTGGTAGTGACTGAAGACGAAAGCGGAAAGCCGGTGAACATCTTCCGATTCCCTTGTATCTTCCCTCCACGGTTTACGAGAGTGGTCGTAACAGCTCCGTCCTGTCGAGGCCTGTACGTCACCCGCAGCGGGAAGGGCTTCTGGATCGAGACGCGAAACGTCACTTCTCGACACTCCGTTCATCCTGCGCGCTGCATCGTTGGCTTTCAGGTCGCCTCGAATCCTGAAAGCGAAGCCGTCATGGCCGAGATCAGAGCTGCAGGCGTAAAGCAAGGATGCATACCGATAACAGAGGTCGGCAATGGCCTGGAGATTTGCCGCGACGCCCTGTACGCGCGGCGGTGTGATATGAGCGAGATTCTCTGGAAGAAATATTCGCTGGCCTGTGCTGCGTTAGAGGACACGGTGGGCCGCATCGCGATCGGTGACAGGATGGGCAAGGTGGAGGTTCTTGACTTCGCATGATGGTACGTGCTTCGTCTTCTGCGATTCGGGTAGGTATTGACAGTTCTGCCTCGCAGTCGATGTTGTGACGTGGCGGATAGAGGTGAAGCAGTCGCACTCATGCTGCATCGATGGGGTGCAGTAATACTGCGTTGGTTTTGTCATGATGCGTCTGCACACGGACAATAGAGAGATCCCTATTTAGGCATGTTCTCTTAAACCCACATTTTGTAACAATACGTGACATGTAAGCTGCCTTGTATTGTTAGCTTAACTTATCTTCTTGCAACTTTTCACAAAGTTAAATTATCAGTGCATTTGTAGCATACCTTTCGCGCTTGCCATAGATAACGATAGTTCGCTGGACTTTGCCTCGTGCTTGCTCCTTCTCCTCGACAGACCAGACTACAGGCCGGGCATGATCAATGGACAACGTTTTCGCCATCGGCGTTGGTCTCACTTTGCGCCTTGTGATAAACACCGTCACCAACCATAACCACCGCGTCAATGGTTCGCTCGTCGGGCTCTGGGAGGGTGCTGTCCTCCATCACTTCCTGGCCAAGTTTCCGCGTTCTCTTGATCCGTATGTCGCGTTCGGTTTTCGGCTTTTCGTCGACCTGCTCTTCACCACAAGCGTCATGAGGCTGGCTATCGTCGTCCTCTGGACGGGCCTTGGGATGCTGCTGTCCGACGTCAGTTTCGAACTGCTAGAGGATAGACGGTTCCGGCGGATCTGGCGTCGTGTGCGACGGGCACTCCCCTCCTCGCTCAAGTCCCTCACTCCAGCTCGTTCCTCCTCCCGTGTCCAGTTTCTGCAAGTGCCCACTAGGTCCTCGACCGCCTCATCTGCCAATACCGCTCGCAGTCCAATATTGCGCTCCCCGCTTTCGCCGCAATCAAGACCCCAGCTGCGTTCCCCTCTGTCCCCTCAGGCTCGGACTATACCTGTTCCACGACCGGCACCGGCACCAGCACCAGCATCCGTCCGCCGCCCAAGCGCACGCCCTCTGCCAGGCTCATTCACTGACTTATCCGAGGCAGAGACCGATGCGAGTCGAGCGCAGCAGCGGGATCGAACACGGACGCCGTCTGAACTCGAGTACATCACGATGCCTGTCATCCCAGATACCCCTGGAATCGAGACTTATCCTTCCTACATTCGCCCGCCTGCGACTCGTTCTGTCGCATCAGGGCTCACAACTTCTAACGAGAGCGATCGCCTCCCTGCTGGCTCAGAGGGACGGCCGCACGACTATTCCGGCCTCACTTCGCCCGTGGGACACCCGTCTAGTCCGGCGAGACGCGATGAGTTGCCCCCGGTCACGATCATTGACTACGATGATCCTCAGGGCCAAAATCGCACGCCAACTAATGACTCTGTCGAACTACTCGACCCTCCCCCGATACCCATACCCATGCGCCCACCGTCGGGATTTGCTGAGTTTATCCCTCCAGAACTCATGGACCCCCGGCCTACTCCTAGCATAGCGCCTGCCCTTGGCGACATGCTCGACATTTCAACGCCGGAAGAAGAGGGCGGGAATCTCGAAGCTACGGAGCCACACGTGAATGTGGCGCAGACAGAGAGGAGCACGGCGACGCGCAGTCCACCACCTGGGTATACGCCGAAAGTGGGCGACCCAATAGAAGCCGCCTCCCTGGCCGAATCAGACGGCACGGCTACCAGTATCATTGCCAACGAGACGAGGAGCGTGCTAATTCAGAGGGCAGACACGCTTCGTCAAGAAGCAGAGAAGCTCGAGCTGAAGCGAGCGACGCTGAGGCGAGAGCTGTCACAGGCCGAGCGCGAGAGGGATACCTGGAGTGCGTTCCGGCTACGAGTCGAGTTGACAAGAGCCGACCAGGGCGCGATGGAGCTGCATAAGAAGGCAGAGCGGCGGTATTATAAGGGTATGTTCCTAGCTAGCTTACCTATTGGCTCGAATACTGACAACTCAGTGACGAATTACAGCACACAACCAAAAGCCTCAGCCACAGGAGATCGATGTGCACCGCCTCAAGGTGCCAGAAGCGCGGGCCAGGGTTGAGGAAGCGTTATATGGTGCTATGATGGCGGGGGTACCTGAGTTGCGCATCATTACTGGGCGAGGAAACCATTCCAAAGGGAAGATCCCTGCGCTCAAACTAGCCATCATAGGTCAACTGCAAGAGTATGTTCTTCGCTGTCCTCATTGCACTTGCAATTGCTGATGCTTATGTAGCTATCACATTGAAGCGGTTGAAGATGCCACCAATCCTGGCGTGCTACTGGTACACCCTCCTGCAAACCCGTCCACAAGTTCTACATGAGATGTCCTTGCTTGGTTCATGTTTTGGTAATGCTGCTGAAACCAGGGACATTCCTGGCGACTGATTTGTATTCGTCCAATTGTACTCAGTACTAGTGTTCTCGTGGTCGCCTTCTACCTGTACGCCTGCTATGATCTATCGCTATCTCGATCTCTTGTTTTTACCATCCCGCGTTCCAGGAGCCGCTCACCGAACTGTATCGAAACCACCGGTGGACAGCGAGAAAGGCAGAGATGCACCACAATCGTTCACCGCGTCCTTGTCTGCTGTTACCTCTATGACCACCTCACCACCCACGCGAAACACGTCGTAGAAGTCGAAATGACACCTTGAGAGAGCCTCGGCGCCATTGATTGTGACGCTCTTTACGTATGCGGCGACGCCTGGTGGTATGGTCTGCTGTACTGACCTAGGGTCGAAGTTCTTTACCGTGAACGTCGTACTGATGCCCAGGTATTCGTTGTGGATGGTGTATTTAGGTAGGAAAGGTGAGACGACCAGGATCTCGGTTGTACCGGGGACTGCATCTGCATAAGATGAGCGGGTCTTGTCTTGAACGGCAAACACGCACCCGGGTACAGGCCAAGTAAATCCCAGGCCAGTATAGTAGCCATCGCCCCCTGATCATCATTTCCAGGAAGACCAGCTGGAGCTGCAGAGCAAAGTCACTACCCGCACTGAGAGTAGTCGCACCAGGCTCACTGATGTCAAAGTATGAGAACACCGTGTTGTGGACCTGATCGACGCTCTTCGTTGGACTATCAGCGTAGTGATAGTTAATTGGAGTCTGTGAAAGACGTCGAGATCAAGGGCCATTCCATTAAGATAGTCCAGACTTACATTGAATGACGGTTCATTTCCGACGTTGAAGTAGCTTGCCTGAGCCATGGTCAGTAAGAACACGCGCACATTGTGCCAGACTCACGTTGAAGAAATGGTCTAGACGCTGTATAAACGTCGTCTGGATTGCAAAAATTAGAGACCGTGTAATGTGAGCACGATATATATCGCACATTGCCTCCCATGAGCTTCACAAGATAGGCCATGTCATGCGGCGCGAAGCTGAAGAGATGTCAATCGGATCCATATATAGAGAAATAAAAACCTACTAGCTATATTCCCATGACGAAGACTCGTAAAAGCCAACTATGTTATCATCTTGCAAGGAGCATTCTCTATTCTGATCAGGATCTGCAGGTGAACAGTCGATGGGGTCGGTGTAGTAGAAAGTGCCGTTCGAGTAACGTTTTTGCGAAAATCCTGAGCTTCCTATTAGACGTGTGTGTATGCGGAGGTCAAAGTACTCACCAGTAAACCCATCACTTTCGACTGTAGGATCCCACACATTGCGGTAAAACTAAGGAATACGATTAGAGTGAACTACTACGGTCGAAAGAATAAAACATGCATAAGATCGATTGGTGTATGTCGTTACATCGTCTGTTTTGTTGAGCAGCAGCGCTACTTGACGGACAGCAAAGTCTTCGTACGCGTACTGAAGTAGATCTTATGATAGGATCTAGCGGTGTCAGATCAACATGTCCTACCTCAAGAGTTCGACTTCCTTCTCTTGTCATGCGACCCGTACTTGCTGTATCGAGGGCGGCAAACGGTACGTAGCCATATTGTCTATCGTAAGTGGTGAGTGACCGTGTCATACAGCCAAATAGCCTGCATTACTTGTAGACGTTGACTTGGCGACCTTGTATGTTCCACTCCGGGGGATTGATCTCTGCATCTGCAATCATTGCTGCATACAGTTGCTCGAGATTGATGCCGAGTTTCTCGGCTTCCTCGTGGTAGGTCATTGCGAAATGGCCAATAATGACGTCCGCGCTCGAACCTGACCAGGATCTTGGTGAACAAGGCAAAGAGATAACCGTCATCATGGCTTACCTCCTTGTGTCCACCCGGGAAGATTGTTTGCTCGGCAATCTGGCATCCAGCCTCGCTTGAGGTAACTATCAATATAGTTGTCCACGATCTGCGCGAATTCTACGGGAGAATGCAGTGCCATCAAGGGATAGAATGTGCGGAAAGTGTCCCAACTGCGTGAAATGTCGACACGGGATACCTTCACAAGGCATCATATGACACACCTGCAGTACAATGAATCGAAGTAAAAGTGCGTCGTATTGACGAAGTCGCCTTGCGTTTCGTCAGTCGCATTGTTCTTGTAAGATATGTTGAGACGATGTTGATGCGATAGAAATAAGCATCCCACTCACAGGCGTCAGGAACGAACGATATAAGGAGGAATAGAGCATTTCGGTGACGTTGGGCTCTGTCTGAGCAAAGTCAATCTCTACTTTGCTCAATTGCGCGTTCCACAGCGCTTTGGATCGGTCCACAATGTCCTCGAACGAGGCGTCGCCTACTTCCGCCTCCGCATTGGCGCAAGCTTGCTCGAGCGACACGAATGAGATGCCAACTCGAATAATGATCTCCTCGGGCTCCCCAGCGTACGATAAGAGTGCGCCGGACTGGTACACATCTCCTATGAGGTCGACAGACAAGTTGAGATGCGTTAATCCTAAGCCCTTTGCATCATCCCAGTAGTTAAGACCAAAGCTATTCGCATGTCAATCCCTTATATTAGTAAGAAACGAGAAGCTTTCCTACGTTTCTCCAGTCCAAACGCCGTATTCATCGAGTGTTTGTTTTCCACCGTCCAGTAGATCATAACAGGCAAATGCTTGATAATGGAACGCGCCGGGCCCGAAACTACCGTAAAGAGGTTAGCTTCGATAACACACCAATTCTTGAGAACCGCACCTCGAGCCCCAATACCCGCCCATTGTGATCCTTCCCTGTTCTGGATCGATGTTCATGGAACCTCCGGCGAACGACTGTGGAAGATCGTTCGCCAGATCGAGCGTGAAGTAGGGTTTCGATCCGTTTGGAAAAGTGAAGCGCTCCAGACCTGCACGGCGCGTGGAGGTTGCCTCCATCTTGATGTCATTATCCAACGTTTGTGCGAAGTAGCCAGGGTAAGCCTCCTGGTTGGCATACTTAAATCAGAAAAGACGCAAACACTCCCCGAAGAGATAACCTCACGTCCGTGTTATTCTTGCGATAGCGAAGGCGATCATCCAGTCTCACAGCGCAAGTGTCGAAGCCCTCTGGGCATAAAAGGGGCATAATCTCGAAGTTGCCATAAGTCCCTGATTAGAAGTCGATGTTTGATTCAATTCCAGGGTCGTCGATGATGATTTCCTACATACCAAGGGAAGATCCGGTACCGCTGTCATGCATCGGGCTTAGCCCACGAATCTGCTGCGTGGGGTCCGTGACATATCCTAGCGCTCTGTTTGCATGATCGTAATTGGTGCTCGAGATACGACTCCACGTACCAGCAGGGGCATAGCCGGTGAGATCGGTGGAGAACTTGACCTGCAGCACTCAAAGTTACCGGACTGGGATGGCGACGACAAGCAAATCACATGCCATGCCAAAGGGGATCGACGCCCCAGGACTTTGACCAATCGTTGTAGTGACATCATTCCTTCAAGAGGCTTACACTTACCAAACATCGCCATAATTGTCAGTTCCTATGAAGACGTTGACGAACTCCGTGTAATCGACATTCTGTGGGTCGATGGCTGCACGGGAGATAGCCGCCGAGATGCGTTCTTGGACAACGGGAGAAGGCTGCGCACCAACAAGGCTTAGCAGCTGAGAAGCCACACCCAGGACCGTGACGAGGCCTCCGAGCTTGAGGGCGGACATAGCGCGTATGAGGCGGATTCGCGCTCAGCGTCGAGGATAATAAGAACATCTTCGCCAAGCTATAAGTACGGCCGGCGTCGAAGCACACCAAATACAGCTATCAAGCCCGAGTACGGCACCACCTCATCGTGCCACACGCGGCAGATGGCCCATATGTGCGCGTGACTAACATCCGCACCTTATAGACAGCTGGTTTCCACGGAAAGCGAAAAGAAGAAAGAGAACAGCCGTCAGAAGCTGTATGGAATACCGCAGTGGGGGAATTTGATGGTTTGATGCCAGGTTCAGACGAATATGAGCCAGTAATATATGCAAAAGGACAAGATAGCGGTTCGATGTATGACTCTGATAGAACCAAGGGGTCGTCGCGTGACATTGGAAGTACATTCGCTGCATCCTCATATCAACCATTTTCTCCAAGTGTCCGTTGTGACTCACATGGATATGTACGTTATCGCGAACCGGTCACGATTTTTGTCAGCCCTCGCCAGACAAGTTCAATACCTGCGCCGTTGGGTCCCCAAAACTCGCGTTCAGCAGGCGATAATGGCCCAAGGACATAACGTGCAGCGTCGCTTTCGTCACGGCCAATACCGGCCCGCAAACGATGGAAGTCCATGTTGTTTCCGAGTGCAGATACGATGCTTCGTACGCCATTGTGGCCGTTCGCTGAACCTCCGAACTTCGGCGACATTGACATCGGCTTGTGGGAGAGAGAATCATGTATCACTATAGTTTCCGACGGAGACACCGAGAGGAAGCGCATAGCATCCGCTACAGGCTTCCCAGAGATATTCATCAGAGCCTCTGTGGTATGGTTTCAAGTTCACGATTCAATGGCAGGCATAAAGACTCACTGGGCTTGTACAGCGTCAATGTAACTATCTGACTACCAATATCAACATCTGCTTTCGTTGCTAATAGACCTCGCGTTGATCTGTCCGCTCTTAATGAGATGCCAAGCCTTGAAGCGAGAGAGTCGACGATGAGATGTCCTACGCTACAGTACAAGTGAGTAATCTTTGCAGCCAGACATTCGGTCTACAATCTGACCTGTGTCGCGTTAGAGGATAAGGCGAGTTTCCAAGGCCAGCCAGTAGGAAGTGCATTCCAGCGCAGGAATTTTGTCTTTGTGATGATTTATTACTTCTTGCCGGACTACCATGCAATCAAACAGAGCTCGGGGATTTTGACGCGAAGCTGATGGAACATCAACAAAGGAGTCGCTGCGATGTTGATAAAAATGTGATGTAGGCCATATAATAGTGGGCAGTGATCGCAGATCTTCCATATAAGGTATGTTCCCAGGACTTGTTGGGGACCTCTTAGAGCGCTTAATATATTCTTTAATTCATAACGGCACATTGCTCGCCGCTGAGGGCAATATTATCCTCGCCAGAAGTCTTCTGGTCGGTAGAACTAAAGGGAGCGCACTGTCTCCTGCAATACAACAATAGCGCAGACCTTGTGGACGCTTGGACAGTCTCCGATAGCTCAAGCTTCACCCTACCACCGCCTCAGCGCCCCGAGCTCGTGACCACGGCTATGCTGATTCTCTGATTCTTGTTCCAGTATCCAGCTCCTCATCTCTTTCTACAACTTCTTACATACAATACTCCTTTCCGCGCATATGGCCACCCTAACGGAGACCATTACGCTGCGTCGCCGTCGTACACCGGGCGCGCGCCGCTTTTCCACAAATCAGGCCGGAACCTACGTCGCTCGTTCTCTATGCCAGTCCCTGCCGCATTCACTAGAAGCTCTAGACCTCTCCGGTTCCACCATCTCTCCAGCTCTCGCTGAAGTACGTCTCCAGGTCCTTTCGTTCCTCGCCGACCTCGAAGCGCGCCTTGTCCTCCTTGACTCGCCCAAGTCAGAGTCATCTCAAGTGCATGGCGAGTTTGCCGCCGAGGACGCGCGAGCGTGGGCCAGGGATGGAAGGCAACTGCTTCACTCGATACGAACACAGGTCTGTTCGCATCTGCCGGAGCTGACCCTGGATAGCGTCCGGTCGCACATGTCAGAAGTGTCGCCTCTAGAGGGTATGCGCGCACACCTGTCGGATATGCCAGATGCAGTGCGTTCTCGCTTGCCCGAACTAGACCTATGGGATATGCGCGCACGCCTAGACGATATGTGCTCGCGTATCTCCGACTTGGGCCTTAACAGACCGCTGCATTACATACAATCCCTGTCCGACAACCTCCAGTCGCTTCGGGCGCACTTGTCTTCCCTAGAACTACCGCAGAGTCTCAATCTGGCTGCGCTATCTCCGAACGCCAGCTCTGCCTTCAATGACCTATATGACAAAGTCGTCTCCTCCGAGCTGTATGCTGAGATATCCTCCGACATACGCGAAGGCGAGAAGGCTGCGCTCGAGATCACACGGGCGGTCAAGCAGTCTGTAAATGGCTCCCGTCTTATCCTTTACGTGGACCTTCCCCAGCAATGGCGAAATAACCCCTTTGTTAAGCATGGATACCGGTGGGCACCGATAATTAGCTAGCTAAATTGCAGGCTACTAATGCAATCACGACAGGTTCATCCCGTTACAGGAATGGCCGCGGCTAATTCTGTCCCTCTTCGCATTGCACAACGAGACCCGTATGTGCATACAATACCTTAGATATTCGGAGTTAACTCACAATATTGTTCACTAGTGAATATCCATACGCATTTGATACCCTTCTTCGCATGGCTCTTGACCATCTTTCCTTCCTCAGCGGGGCAGTCCGACATGCCGCTGCTGACCTTCACTGCTTTCGCACTGCTTTGCCTGTTCACGAGCGCACTCTGGCATACAATGGCTGGTTGTGCACATCCGACGGGCATGGAGCTATGTGCACGGATAGATTATGTCGGGATCGGATGGTATGTACAGTCCGGACCATTTACGACGGGAACGATACTGATCTGTACTTCAGGCTCATCAGTGCATCGATTGGAACGGTAGTGCACTACGGGTACCAGTGCAATCCGATGGCATGCAAATTCTTCCTGTCACTGTGCTTCATTATGGGTTTGTCTGGAAGCATCTTGCCATTCACCGACTGGTTCAATAAATACGAGTACCGCGTACGCACTCATTATCCTCCACGAAACCACCTAGGCTTACTTTACTGGCGTCAGAGATACCGCATTGCGTTCTTCGTTGCTCTCGCCCTGACGAGCATCGCGCCGCTCGCACACCTCGCAAAGCTGCACTCCGCCATGCAGATGTTTTCGTTCATGCGTATGTCCTTATCCTTCTTGAATACATGAATACTACCTCACTGTATTGCAGGCCCCATTGTGCCTTCGCTCGTCTCGTATGTCGCCGGGCTCGTCTTCTACGCTACGCACTTCCCGGAGTGTTACCTCTCCTCGCGTTGGGCGCACTCCCATTTGCTCGATCGCTTCGGCGGAGGCTCACACGCAATCTGGCACGTCTTCATCGTGATTGCAATCAGCCAGCACAAAGCTGCGATGTCGGAGCTGAAGAGGGGTATCGGTGAGGCGTGCTGGTGATGCTGACCTGTTCACAACCTATCAAGCGTACACAGTGAGAAGGTGGAGGATGTCTGTTTTCTTTTGGTCTAATCTATTAATGCATATTCCCGCTGTCGCTACATGTCTCCGCTGTCGTGTTTTCTTGGTTGTTCTGAGAGACAAATTTGACTCACTGAACCATATACCCGCCATGATACTGATACTCTCGAGATAATGAGGCGCTTGACTCCTCGTCGCGTCTGCGACGGTGTGGGTGTTAATTGTACAAAAGAAACACACCAGTCCGCACGCCGTTTAAAATGAGTCGACCCAGGCTCGAACTGAGGACCTTCTGTGTGTAAGACAGATGCGATAACCAACTACGCCACCGACCCTATAGCCGCCTGTTAGAAGGCAAATCCATATTGGCCATTACACTAGAATGGTAATAATCAACCCGCACTCAAGCTGTTCATGAAAGCCTGCACAACAGATCCATATCATACAACATGGTCATCAGACACTGTATCAACGTCCGACGTAGCAAGGATACATGTACAAGGCGAAGGAAAGACTCGCCCTCTTCGCTATCTTAGACTAATTTAGCCTCTTTTTTCGCCATTGCTACTTGTGCAAGTCGTTGACTGCGCGATGTTGGCCCAGACTGCGTGCCTTGTGCGCCTTTCTTGGCGGTACCGGCAATAGGTACCGCGGGCGCTGTGGTCGTCTGCGAGAGCGATATGCGCGTCTCGTCCGACGCGAAGCCCGGTATCCGAATGTTATGATTGCGCTCTACATGCATTTGTATGAGGGTATCAGCCGTTTCGTTACGATGCCAACTCACCGAGATGAAGCTGGAGGTCTTTGACATCTAGGGTGTCAGCGCCCCTGTGCTTCGCTAGACGACATGCGAAGTTTGTCACGGAGTCAACGAACTCGTCAGCTATATCCAGCATGAGCTAGAACAGGAGCTGTGAGATGTAAAGGGCGCCGGTTGCATGACTGGGACGCACATCCTCGACCTCTGGCTCAAGCTTAACGTTGGGGTCGATGCTGTACACGAGGTCTAGTATTGATCTCCGCATGCTTTGGTCGCCGGGAGTGCTCTTTCTCCGTGTGCGGTTGTCTTCGGTGGACAGCAAGCTGGGGTCATCTGATGGCTTGGAGATGAGTGCAGGGGTTCCTTCGGCCACATTTTAGTATGAGTGAGCAACTTGCGTGCAAAACATCATCCTGACCGGACATTCGACCCGCCGCTATGCCTGCTGTCAATGTTGCACGGCCTTGCTGAGCAGCGGGCCACTGAACCGGAGTAGTGCTAGTTGGGGTCAAGGACCCGCTGACCGGATAGGTTTCCGTCTTCGGTGCAGACTGAAGGTAAGGAGTATTGGCTGTTCGGAATGGACCAGGGTTGGACGAGGGGCCCTTGTACCAGGCTTAGGATACGGATGATGATGGCCACTAAAGGAGGCTCACCGGCGCCGACGCCGCAGCGGTACTGCCAGACCCTCCTGCTTTGTGTTTGTCCGCATATTCTTTCAGCTAAAGGGGGGCGTGGTTACATCGTGAATGTACAGAAGCTGCCAGTCAACATTACCTGCAGTATCTGCGATTGATTCAGCTTGCCTTGTTTTGCGAGCTCGCTCAGCTGGCCCATGTTCTGTATGAGAAGTTGTGCGATGCGGTCGCTTTGCAAGGGTTCGCCCGTTTGTGTCTTATACGCATTACCTAGCGCAGTGATTATGCTTTCCGTGTTCGCTCTTGGCGTAGGGGTGGGAGTAGGTGTGTTGGACATTTCTGACGACGATCTAAGCACAACTCGAGTACAGTACCAGTACTGTGGCGGACACGGATTCACGCATTCGCTCAGTGAGGAGATCAGGTGATGTATCTGTTTTTTTCATTGATAACATGGTGTGTTCTAAATGAAGTTGTGAAGGAGGGTCGGTGGCGTAGTTGGTTATCGCATCTGTCTAACACACAGAAGGTCCTCAGTTCGAACCTGGGCCGACTCATTTTTTTCACAAATTTATGCACGGTTTATCTTGTACTACCAAGATGAAGTTCTCCCGAGTGCTTGACAGCTCTAACGTACGTATTCAATGTAGATATTTTATACAGTGCGGGGTCCAACTCTTGCTTATAAGTTTGAGCATTCGGCCTGAGCGAGGAGTAGTGATGCTTTATCAACCCGGTGCAACAAGATTGGAGATACTGATGACATCGGGCACATCACTGTCGCCGTAAGCTATGCAAGTTGGGATTCACACTCATGGTTCTGGCCGGAACATCAGATACACAAACATCTAGTAGGTAATTTGACTCCCAAATGTGGTACGTTCTTTCATAGCTGGTGTACAAATCATCTAGATTGACTCCAACATGTGGGACTTCTGGTAGTCGTCGAGAATCAAGACGACTGCATTGCCACAATTCGAATCCTGCAAACAGTGATAGGATGCGATTTGGTGTGCAGAGAACTCGATCTAGCCATACTAAGTCAAAGCAAGGGAGTCACGCGGTCTTGTACATGCCTGGTCGCGAAGAGAACATATCATCTCCCTTGACGCTGTGCTACGCCTAGTATTCGGACGTTATATATATCGCATTCGACTTGAAAACGCTCATGGTAACAGCGTACTTCAAGTGTCCTCAAATAACTATGTTGGAGATGGGTATACTGTTCAACGAAATTCATATATATATATATATATTTGTAACGCTCCCAAACTCTAGTGGAGTCGACCATACATCAACACAAGGAACGTACACAGACTAAATAGAGTTACCGTACTTAGCACTTGAAGGTCGAGACGTCCGAATCATCTCTAATACATACGTCCAGCACGCCAAAGAAGTAGGAAGCAAGGTGGCTAGTCCGACGTTGCACAACAGGGTGTCGACGAGGTCGTCTGACTGAAGCAAAGATAAAGTTAATCTTCTGCGGCATCTTCGGTTATAGACGACATGGAAGGCCCGTTCCGGGATTTCTTCGCGCTTGAAGTTTCTGCGATGTCTTCTGATTCCTCTGGTTTCCGTTTCGAGCCAGAATGCGAGCTTGTCCCGGTTGAGAGGGTGGACTGGCCCTTGGTAGTCCCGATCTTGAAGTTAGCGAATTGATCGTTCGTCTTGTCATCAGCCCAGACAGCGCCGCCGAAGATTGCATCGGCGAATGCTTCCATGACCGCTTTGTGCGTAGAGAGCACCTTCGCCCCTACTTTCTGAGCAGCATCTTTCTTGCTAGGCGGTACATGTGCTTGGGCATTGGGCCGCAACCGAGTATTCCATTCAGGAAAGGCCACTGTTGGTGTCGGTTTGGCTACTTTTGCCGCAGGTGTATCACTTGGATTAGCTTCCAGTGCCTCGATGTCGATCCCAGAGTAGTGCTCTTCGCACAAGGCTGAGAGTTGTTCAAGCAGGGTCTTCAATGGTCCGTGGCGAGCAAGACGGACCGCAGGTTTTCCGGATTGCATAAGAATCAACTTTGCAGCGCCACCGAAGGCTTCCTTGCTTGTTTCGTCTTTTTCGCTCACGTCATAGAGCGACGCCACTAGTCGTTGGAGCGCGACCGTGCGATGGTCGTGGCGATGAAAGCGAAGACAGAACCAGTTGAGGACGTGCACAAACGATTCGAGATCATCAGAAACACCGTGAGGAGTCAGACCTGGGAATTTGAGAAGCAATGCAGACATAAATTGCCATGTGCCCTGTGATCCGTCGGTCAACATCCAGATATGCAGACATACCAGTTACTGCACGTACCGAGCGACCATATTGGGTAGCAGACCCCAGTTCCTTTTCATATCTGCACAGGT